AAATGATGTTACGCGCTAACTCTCTTTCACTCTACCTTAAATATTTATTATCTTTAACAGCCAGTAACCCTTATTTGCGGCCAGATTTAATTAAGCAACTTTATATGATAATTAATAGAAAAAAATTAGCTTCAATTTGACATATAATTAATAAAAATAGGTTATAAACGTATAAATTTATCGAAATCATACCTGATTACACCTGGCTGCAAAGAGGTGCGGCCAGGTGCGCAACGGCAACCGTGATTTTTTAGAATCTTCATATTAATTACCGTGATGTAGGCGTTATTTTATTTAAAAAATAAATAAACAAAATTTTTTACCAAAAATCAATTAAAAATAATTTAATTAAAAATAATGGCGGCCAAATTTTGATAGGCACCCTAGTAAATATATATTCTCTTAATTATAAATAAACATAAAAATTTGGTTTTAAACAAAAAGTCGATGAGCACACCAATCCTGCAGCGGGATCTTAGACTATTAGCCAGAAAGCCATAAAAAATACGTTCATGTAGTGCTTGGACATAACGATAAAATAGGTACATATTCAGTTTCACATTCTCATTTAATAGTGATATATGGTATATTTCCCAAAGGAACATAAAAGGGACCCTAATTTTTAATATTTTACTTTAGCAAATTAAGATATAATGAGTTTAATTAAATGTTGGAAAGGACCATAATTATAACTTTATTATCGTTAACGCACCTCGGCGTAGCGCAGGCTGTATTTCAATCTTTATAGCCCGATACTGTACCTCACTTACCTAATGAAAATCTTTGATGATCTACTTTGTGTCTTTATTACGAAATGCGCTTGCTAATTTAAGAACCTTGATATTGTTTAATGAGTTTGAATGGCGTTATTTCAATAATTTTACAGCGAATCCATAGAATTAGCAACCCATACATTGTAATTTGGTATATCCATTTGTGTTTCTTTTTATTTATTTTTGAACTTAGTTTATATTTCCGGTTTTATGAAATATTACATTTCAACTTATTAAGAAGCACAAAATACATAAGGGAATTCATTTAAGAAACAAAGTACTTTTCAATTAAATTTCAACTTTATGCATTAGTCAGTAAAATTTGTTTCTGTTGTATTCATATAAATTGGGGTTTTAAAAAATATAAGGTTTTTTTAAGAGATCATATTCGTCAAGCGCGTGTCTTGTTTTATTATATGTAAAGGAAGCTCATCTTTGAATGTTTTCCTTTAAAAAAATAAAAACTGTAGTTACAAATACATAATTAATCTGTTTAATTTAGAGAAACGCAATTAACATTTATTACAAAAGACCATGTACATACAAATTACATGCGCATTGTATCAGACATTTTTTTTATAACAACATGCCACGTAAATAACATATCTTGAGTATAAAATACGTAACATTATTTTAAGTAGATACATGCACTTTGATATGGAGCGTTTTAAAATATATTTCATTATCCAAATGTATCCTTACGTACAACACAATAGCGTTTCAATGAAAGTATTTTCCTGTCCACAAATTGGGGATTATCCGGGAAAGATGGAGTATACAAAGGGACTTTTGAATAGAAACCCTTTTGTAATATACCTGACTTACGAAATCCAATATTTCACAGGTGGCTTTTAGTCAAAACGATTACTCGATATAGAGATAAAAAAATAGATTTTATAAGCGACATTATATTTGTTTACGACGTACCAGAGACAAGCTTAATGAACGAGGAAAGGAAACGGGATAAAAATAAGTATGATGCTCGCAGACAATTTCCAGCGTCTCGTAGGAAATAGTTTTTAGTTATCAGTATATTAGAAACAGGAATCAACTTCGCATTTCATGTTTTTATCAAACATCATATTTATAGAGAAATGGATATCCTTTCCATGTGAAATCCAATTAGGAACTTAATAAATGGAAGGAAATTTTCTACACACTACAATACTCCCAAGCGTGTTGACCTAATTTTTTCACTCTTAGTTCAGTAATGGGATTCGTATAAAATTAGAGAGGATAACAATCTCCTTCCTAAACAATATTTGATTATTTTATTTACATATTTTACCTGTTCTTTTGAAATCAAATTTCTGCAGCGCGATTATAGAAGCTATGGTTCTTTTGAAGATACGTTACTATAGTTATTTTGGGCTGGCGATCTGAGTGAGTTATTTTTATGGTGCCACTGGCGGTATTATTGTGTACCGGGTTGTGCAGCTCCCTCAAAAATGGTTGAGCTGCATGAGCTATTCGGGGCATACTTGCCGTCTGCTGGCACAGGCTTCCTCAGATCGATCTGGTTCTTTCTTCCAAAGACCAGTCCAGTAAATACTCTGCATTTGTTTACACCAATTTATTAATTTATTATTGTCTTTGATTAACATAACTTTTATTCATTTAATAAAACACTATTTTGACCGGATTGAACGGTGACACCGTGACCACGCACGCTGTAAAGCACGCGAAACGTCGGATAAATTTAAAATTATGTTAAATAGTTGTAAATTTATAATAATACATAACTTCAATCCGGTCAAAATAGTGTTTTATTAAATTTATTATTGTATTATCTGGACTATAAAAGAGACTAAGACCCCCGAGTTTGTTTCGACATTTCTTCTCAGGGCAGTCAGTTAGGAAATTTCGACTTTATCTAGTTTAGGAAGACATTGTAAAAGTGATTTATATAGTCCTACTTGCAAGAATAAACTATTTCATTTCATTTCACTTTTTTATCAGCCATACTTCGTTTATTAAGGCTTTACCTATATCTTCTAAACCTTGCACCTTTTAGGTCTGGGCTGCGTGGCCATTTGTTGTTTTAATAGGGAAGTAGGTGATTAATTTTTTGAATAGGCAACTTATTCAAACGACCTTTCCACCTGTTAAACAATCCTTAAGCATAATTGAGATCCATATTAAGATATACTAACATTATAAAGAGGTGGTTTTTGAAGTTTTAGCATTTTAGGGGCTTTCACCAACAGAGAGCCACGTCATAAGTGTCTGTTCTCTATGGACAATACAACGTGGAAAAAACTTTTTATAAAACAAGGCTACAGATGTAATATACATATTTTCGTAATAGTATGGTTTATGGTTATGGTTTGTGGACTCTGTTTCCGCACTTAGACTCTCAGTAGGTCCGTTGTGCGTATTTTCGTAATAGTACAAAGAATACGTATATTTATAAGTAAAAACCTTATTTTTCCATACACTCAAATTGGGGCAAGATAAGTCACCGCTTATCGGCGTAGTAGTTCGGTAGGATTAAAAAATACCTACGAATATTATCGCTAAATTCACTTATAACAAATTCATATTAATAGGGTACGATTGTTTATTTTTGAGATGTTTAGACGTGTCGTATTTAAATAAATATCAACTATAGCTAATATGTGCCGTGACCTATCAAAACAAAATTTTGTTGCAATCAATATTTTAATTTAAAAACTAAACAATAGAAATATAGTTAGTAGTTACCATCCCTTAGGAATATGATGTTGTGATCATTACACAAAAGATAGTTACATTCCTAGATGTAAATTACAAAGCACGAAGCGGTGCGCGCGACTTGCTTTGAACTAGAACTTTCGGCGAAATCCAAAAATTTTGTGCATTGTTCAAAATTTGTTTTAATAGGATAACGTACAATTACAAAAGAGTCAGTCGTCTTTTTGTTGCATGTACGACGATTATTTTGTGTATGGAGATTATTCTAGTATGATGTACGAATTTTTGTTAAATAAAATCAAATCATCTTTAGAATAAAATGCACTTTTGGTGAAAATAAAATATGTATTAAGGTTTTGGTAAGAAACTTACTGCTGTTTCCGAGGTTTTTACTCTTTTTTGCGGGACTTTACTTTAACGGTTAACTTTTAGTGATATCTAAGATAATTCTTGGTTATTAGCAAACAATTATTCACATTTATTTGTACCTACTTATTGGTAATTCTACCTATAGGTTCTTGAACTACTAACACGATTATTACAACACTTATTAATACATATCGGGTTTTAAAAAAAACGAAAAATCGAACTTTCATATTATATATTAACAAATCCTCCGCCGTGTCTTTCTGTCTTTTTCCACCAAAATTTAGAATTAATCATGAGGATGGTTTAAATATATATGTATCACATAATTATTTCAAGATGGGTTGCTAGTGTTCAATAAAGGGGTAAATAAGACACACAAAGAACTACTATACTTTTAATTTCATCCAACAAGTTAAATTTTAAGCTGATCCTTAACATCTCAATACTTATTCGTAAATAGCTAAATATCTCTTTCACTTGTATGTCAAGTACAAAAATATGTAAACAAATGAAAACTCACACTCGTGATTGACTTAGCATAAATGAAACATGTCCGATTGTCCGTAGTTTCGTAAATTTGAACTTATTCAATAAATTATTCACAAGCCAAAGGGCCTGGCTCACAATATGAAGCCACAATATGCAGGTCACTTATAAATCACACTTTCTGAAAATAAATAAAGTTTCATTAAACATCTGCTCTACCAACCAGGGTCATATGTGGTTGACATTTTACTGGTATCTTTTTATAAGTGAGCCTTCCAAACTAAAACATCTTTTCCTTGGGAACCAAAAAGGTTTAATTCTACATTTAATTGCGTCTAGTTATTCATGCAATTCATCTAAAAGGGTAAAACTATGGCACAATTATTTTCATTAAATATAACAAGTAACTGATTAAGAACATAGGTTAAAAATTAAACCCTAATTTAAAAAAAAACTAAAACTTCTGTCCGTTTCTATATTGTAAACACAATTTAGAAACAGGCTGGGGATGTTCATATAACTACATCTAATTGTAAATGTCAACTAACGCCTGAGATTATTTCATATATTTTACCACTAGGTGTCTCTTCAAACAAGAAAATATTTTCATATTCGAAATTTCAAAAAAATTGAATTATCTCAGGTCCATATCTAGATGACACTCTTCCTATGCACGGGCTGTATCAGTACAACTCACCACTAGGTGTCGCTCTTCCAAAGCTTGATCGTCTTGTCGTTCTCAAGTGCGGCAGAGGCGATAATATTCTCAGTGGGATGGCAAGCCGTGCACAGCACCGTGTCTGTATGCCCCGATAGTCGCTGCACAATCTCTTTTGATTGCAGATTCCATATGTATACCAGGTTGTCCTCCGAGCCTGATACTATCCACTGTAATAAACATGAAATTAATTAAGAATGATGTTTATAATCGATACGTTATGGCGACAAAAAAGCAAACATGCCATCAGAAAACGTCCAGAACTGAACTTTGTGACAGGTTTGAGAAGACTGATAGAAGAATGTAAGTTATTTTTAAGTATAAATAAAAAAAAATGTAGTTTAGTAAGTTAGAATTTATAATATAATTATCTATAGGCATCTTTATGCTGTAAATATCTAGAAGTATTCTAAGCAGTGTTGGCCTAGTGGCTTTAGCGTGCGACTTTCATCCCTGAGGTCGTAGGTTCGATCCTCGGCTGTGCACCAATGGACTTTCTATCTGTGTGCGCATTTAACATTCACTCCAAGTGAGGAAACCGGCTTGCCTTAGACCTAAAAAGTCGACGGTGTGTGTCAGTATCAGGAGGCTGATCACCTACTTGCCTTGATTGACAAATGATCATGAAACATATACAGAAATCTGAGGCCCAAACCTAAAAAGGTTTTAGCACTACTGATTTTTTTATTTTTTTTTATTCTAAGCATGGTAGCAGATAAGGCCGATTGTTCAATCAGGAAGCTCATTTAGAAAACATAACACTTTCTTTTAGCATAGCTTTTAACTGCACTAGATCTAAATGCGCCTTATTTTCATAACTTTTTGATTAAGGTAATTTTCTATGCAAGAATTCCATTTTCTTTCAAGTGATTGGATACAGATTAAACTGTTTTTAAACTTGTTTTATTTCTTTTTTTTTGGGTGTTAAATCTAGTATATTGTAACATTTGATATACTAGATTTAACATAATATTTACAAAAATCTCTAAACAAATATATTAAATCTCTAAATAAATATATATATTAAACTAAATGGTTTTCACCATAGAAAAATTACATACCTTTCCGCCAGTAACGCTGAAGTTTGCGAAAATACAATATTTCTCATTCTTATGTCCAGTGTAGGTCTTGAGGCACTTGCCCCGACTGTAGTCCCATAGTTTCAATGTGTTGTCCAAAGTCGCCGCTAGAATGTACTTGCCATTTGGTGAAAACTTGACAAAGGACACTGGCGGGTTGTCATCGTCTATGAGTGTTTTAAGGCACTGACCGGAGGCTGTATCCCAAATTCGGCTGTGAACAGAAATTTCATAATTAATATTGATAAATCATGTAAAAAAGTTTGTTCAGTCTCCATTTAAAAAGGGACCCAGTCTCTTTATACTATATTGTCAATTAGGGTGTGTATGAGCTATAATAAACATGTATGGATATTAAAAATGCGTAATTGTTATATTATAGATACTATGGTACAAGTACAGGCTATTTGCCCCAAGTAACATACAGCATAGAATAATATCATCTGGTTTATTTTAATGTTGGTCTACAATATAATCGAAATACTTTACAATAAATATATCTATTAATATATATAATAACTAATATATTAATATAATATATATAGTCTCATACATGTACATAAATAAGCATGGTTTGTAGAGGTCTTTTAATTATTCATTCGTCATTCAGTACGCACGCAATAATTGAGCAATATTTAATCAAAACGGTAGTTTACTATTAACACTCGTCGGGACTATTACCATACATGTGTTCACATTCTTAGTATATATATCTCGTGTGATCTTGGGATCCGAAACCCTGGAATATAATTTCAAAACACAAAATCCAATTGCATCAGACCTTGATATATCTGAATAAATGAATTTTATGAGATATTTAGCAATTTTTTTAGTAATTGTAGAACATTACGCATTACCGCTGCTGACTCATCTTGCGACTTCTTGTCGTAATTTATTTTTAGATCGTTAGCCTTGAAACACATGGGTTTTAAAAATATTTTACTTAGCAATAAGACTATTGAGACAAGGTGTAACTCTTTGAGTTTTGATACTCGATTGGCGCTTTTATACAAATGCCAGTTGTACCACACGATGCCGCAAAATTGTTTGTTAGACACCAATTCAGATACGAACTTACGCGAGTCACTAAGCCTAAGCCAGTAAAAATATTATTAATTTACTATAATAATATTATATTATGTTTGGAAAGTTTTAAGGGGAAATAAATCTTTTTAGAATTCTTTCTAAAAACTGTAACTATAATTTCCAAGAAAAATAAATAATTATAAATATTTTCATTTGTCGTAAATAAACGAGCGGAAACCTATTTTTTTTAATTATTACTGAAATCATAAGACTACTACTCACCATAGACCATCATAACTGGAAGATACAATAAGACTTCCATCTCTGTTGAAATGCACTGCGGACACTGGATCTGAATGCGCTGGTAGTGTTTTTAAACATTTTCCTGTTATAAAAAATCTTATTAGTGCTTTTAAGCCTTAATGTGCTTATTTATTTGATTCTTATGACTGATAAAATTCAAATGTGACATTACCTGTTTCACATTTATATTAATGTCTCCCTTCAGTTATTTTAAGCACTTTTTATTTAACTTCTATTTTGTTTGATTAGATAAGCTATGCAAACAGAATTAAAAAAAATTAATAATATCAACTGTGACTTTCACAGTACTTCAAATTTTATATGCCTATACATTTATGTTACAATTTTATAATTCAATATTTACATTTTAGTATAAGAATTTCTTGTTTGAGGAATAGAAGCACTATTTGTTGAGTGACAGGTTGCGAAGAAATGAAAAAAAAAATCGAGATTATGTTAGTCACCATCCATAGACACCATCAATTCCCATGCTTAGAAGTAAGTTACTGGTCTTTAAACCCAACATACCAATAAAAACTTAAACAGTACCTGTTCTGACATCCCATATCCGAACACTCTCATCAAAACTACCAGAGACAATAAGATTACTTTGTGGATTGAAATTGCAACAGAAAACATAATTGCTGTGTCCTTTAAGTGTCTTTAGACATTTTCCTGAACTTAGCTCCCAAACCTGTAAAAAATTACACTACAATAAAATTCATATTAATAAAACGAATTTTATTAATGCGAGTATTTATAAATAGCAATTTAAAAAATTGTTGTCTAATGTTACTACAGTCTAGTAAACATTCTTATCATAAAAAGGGTAATGTTGCTTATCTTATTTGATAAAAGAGGTCAAGAACCGTGAGAACCCCTTTTTTAAGTTATATTCTTATCTAAAAAGTATTTCATAAATATACTAAAATTTACTAAGGTCACAATTTTAATCCATATGTAGCCTTTCTTTGTTACAAAACTACAAGCTTAGGGAGCGTTCAACTATTACGTCACGCAATTTTTGGAGATTATTGACCCCCCCCATGTAACGCGCCGTAACGTTTTTCTTTACGCAATAGTAAAACGTTTCGTGGCCACCTAGTGACTCTTTATACCTAAATATACCATTATGTAAAGTGTAAAGTACTGGAAAGTCGATCAATCAAGACTGTTTACAATAAGAGGAGTAATAAATAATATACAATAATAACTTAAAACATTAACTTTTTAGTAAAATATTAATATGTAAATATATTCTGACCTTAAGGGTTTTATCATCACTAGCACTAACAATTAGCCTGCTATCTGAAGACCAAGCCACATCACTGATGCCCATTTTATGTCCAGATATAGTCTTCTCAAATTTGCCATCATAAGCTCCCCACACCTTAATAAGTTTATCAGCAGCTGGAAATAATATTTTATTTATGTAGTATTAGTGTAAAGAGCCCTCATCAATATTAATCCAGAAAGGATAAATTATTTAAAAATTCTTAGATATTTTGGAACTGAAATAAAATTAATCAGGTTACAGTACATCTTAATAAATAAAATTGAAAAAAATTAATGAAAGTAATTTATCTAAATTACATAAAAGTTGGCAAATGTTATGTAGAAGAGAGATAAAACAAATTCTAGTATAAGCTGTGTCTATTAGCAACCTTGAGTCATTGCACAACTTAGGTGCAGATTAGGTGAGAGTAATTCAACAACTGATTATCGCTTCACTTATTTAATAAAAATTTAAAGTAGCTATAGATTAGCTATAGATTTGTGACCTACATCCACTCAAAACTGTATGAAGTTACTTAGTTTTTATTTTAATACGAAACAATTTCATGTAATAAAAATTTACACTTACAATAAAAAAAGTATATGTGTGATTAAAAGATAAATATTATCAAGGCCTTTTTTTGTAAGATTACCCACTTATTCAATTTAACAAACAATTTGAATATTACAAAGTAGGTTGCTTAGATTGTGAAACCTGACCTACTCCTTAATTTAGACAACTTATCAGTGATAAAAATACGGAAACGAACTTACAAGAGCTAGCAAGCCATTCTCCATTTGGACTAAATTTAACAGATGATACAGCTTTAGTATGGCCCGCAAGCGTAAATTTGAGCGTATAATTCGGCTTCTGCAAACAATTATAAAAATTAGCGCGAAATCGCACGTGTTCGGCTCTATAGTTACATAAACATGTGCGAGCCGCAAATATAACAATTTATGCTGCAATATTTAGCACTCTTACCGCTACCGATGACTTGTTTGACTGTGAGGAACTCTGTGATAACGAATTTGGGCCGGACAAATTTGTTGAAGGCCCACCGTGCGTTTGATGAGCGGCAGTATGGCCTGGCCCGGGCCCTAGCGGCACCATGTTTCAACTTTCGACGCACTTATCCTTAGTATATTCGTCACCCACTACAATCACTTATACACAATGAGTTATAATTTAAATTTAATTCTCTAGCACACACAGAACAAAACCTATCATGAACGCGTGAAGTTCCATAAATTTTAACGTAGATTTTCAAAGAACATTCTTCCGAGCGTCTCGATGCGTTCATTTCGCGAAGAACGAACAATGCTGGCAACCGTAACGAACAAATTTCCCTCCCGCATTTCACCCGCGCGCCTCTAGCGGGCCGCGATTTTCTCTTACCAACGTTGCCAAACATTATCTTTTTTTTTTAGTCATATCGGGCAGCCAAGCATTTTTAAACCGAAAATATAATTGTCTATGAAATAAATTATAAAATTAATGAATGGTTTTGATAAATTTGCATGATTAAGTTATGTTTACAATTATAATATTTACGTTCGTTTACATGAGCGTTTAATGATTAATTTATTTATATTATGATTAATATTTTTATATAGGGTAAACTTTCAATTTATTTGACCCTTTTGACATTCGCCGATCCCAAGGTCGAATTTGATTTGCGGTAGCCTAAAATTTTTACCGACAAATTGAATTTATATTCTTAACTTACCGTCCCTATAAAATATAAATTTAATTCAGTATGGCGCTAAATAAATTAAGCATAGATGCTGTAAACTTAAGTGGCAAGCGAGTTTTAATGAGGTAATAAGTCGAGTTTTATTGCGGGCGGAAATTTGACAATAAAAATGGAATACAATAACAATATTCTATTTACAGGGTTGACTTCAACGTTCCCCTCAAAGAAGGAGTAATCACCAACAACCAACGTATAGTAGCAGCGTTGGATTCTGTCAAATATGCGCTAGATAAGGGAGCAAAGTCAGTCGTTTTAATGTCACATCTTGGTCGACCTGATGGTCAAGCAAACCCAAAATATACTCTTAAACCTGTAGCCGAAGAGTTGAAAAAGCTTTTAAACAGGTAAAATTTCTTCATTTTGTTTATTGATGATATGAGATATTAGTATGGAACTGCAAAATTGTGCTTTGAATTATTAATCACTCTTTCTAGAGATATACAATTCCTCCCTGACTGTATTGGTGCTGAAGTAGAAGCTTCTTGTGCTGACCCACCAGTTGGCTCAGTAATATTGCTAGAGAACCTGCGCTACCATATTGAGGAGGAAGGAAAAGGTGTAGATGCTAGTGGGTCTAAAGTAAAAGCTGACCCAGAAAAAGTAAAGGCTTTTAGAGCAACCTTAAGGAAACTTGGAGATATTTACATAAATGATGCTTTTGGTAAGTATATGAAGTTTAAATTAAGCATCAATCATCAAATAAAATCTTGAATATCCTATCACATATGCAATATCAACCTTTATCATAATTTTACTTCGTACAGGTACTGCTCACAGGGCACATAGTTCAATGATGGGTGAAGGTTTTGAACAGAGAGCTAGTGGATTCTTATTAAAGAAAGAATTACAATATTTTGCTAAAGCATTACATGAACCAGAAAGGTACAATTTATTAACAATAACTAAAAACATAGCAGATAATTATAAGATCAATGGCATGTCATACAAAATTAACTATTCATGAAAGTTAGTTAAATGTTGTATAGAACTCCCAACTCGCTCTCTTTATGGCAAACTTTAACTTTGAAGTAAATACATGAAAGTTTAATCTTTATAAAACTTTATTCTCTTGAATGAGAAAATTAAATATATATTTACAGTCTGACATGTTTATTATTTTTAAAATATAGCCTTATTCTTTAAAGACCCTTCTTGGCTATCCTTGGTGGTGCGAAGGTTGCTGACAAAATCCTGCTAATAGAGAACTTACTGGATAAAGTGAATGAAATGATTATTGGTGGAGGTATGGCTTATACTTTCTTGAAGGAAACAAAGGGTATGGCTGTGAGTATAATTTCTTTTATATTATTGTCTTTTAGTTATATTTTAGTTTCCACTTAGCATACTGATCATTTAAAAGCTTGGATTTTTTAAAATAAGGATTTAAATTTGGAACATAGCTTGAATGGGCAGGTCATTCCATAAACCAAATTTATGTGTGTAAAAAATGTATACTTAGTACAGTCTAGACACATAATGTCTTTAACATTATTAAATATTAATTTTTTTACTCAATTGCAAAGAAAATTATTACATTTACATAGAAAGAATGTTATTTTTTTTTAAATTGTTTATTTATATGTAATGTAGTTACTATACATATTAATGGAACACTAGCAATATTTCTTAAATTAAAGGCAAGGCATTTATGTTATACTAAAGATGTTTCAAGTACAAAAATAATATTCTTTTCAGATTGGTAACTCTTTATATGATGCGGAAGGGGCTAAAATTGTTGCTAAATTATTGGAAAAAGCAGCTAAAAACAATGTTAAACTTCACCTTCCTGTTGATTTTGTAACTGCTGATAAGTTTGATGAAAATGCACAGGTATGATTTATAAAATAAATGTTAGCTTTTTTTAAAGTATTTAGTTATTTTGGGTGTTATAACATATAATATAATTACAAAAAATAATCCTTGAGAAGCATAGGCTAGGTGACCAAGAAATATAAAACAATGTATAATTGTAAGTCCAAAATTGATTATTTAGTATACATTGCTTGAAAATGTTACTTTTAAAAATATGTATATATTCTTAGGGATCAGAAGCGATAAATATTTAAAAAAAACAAAGCACTCAACCTAGGCAGTTTTATTCCTTACAAAATGATTTTATTTAACTAACTACAACAATAAAATTATAATCGACCACAAATAATAATTAGCACAACTAAATAGAACAACAACTGAACACAACTGAAAAGTCTGTCACGTCCGAGAGCCAAACGCAGAATACCCCCAATCTGGTATTACACTCCTTTTTTTATAACCTATCACTCGGTCCGGTTTGCTGGGTGGGTGGGGATTTTTTTCTAAGAATATAAAAATTTCCAATATTCTTGTACTCAAACATTTTATATTTTATAGATATTTTGATAATATGCTTATATTTAGGTTGGTGCTGCAGACGTTGAGACTGGTATACCAGAAGGCTGGATGGGTCTTGATGTAGGGCCTAAATCAAGGGAACTCTTTGCTGACCCAATTGCAAGAGCTAAAGTTATTGTATGGAATGGGTAAGATATTAATGCTAAGATTATATATAACAATATAACGTTTTGTATATAAAAGCACTTAAGATATGTAATCTAGAAAACATATCTCTGATATATAGGTCCACGCCAAGCAAGGAGTTTTGCTTTTGAATTTGTTATTATTGTTAAATTGTGATAAACAATAATATTAAGGTTAATGGGTTTTTAATTTAAACAAAAAAAAATATGTGCGCTTAAAAAAAATTAAAAAGTTAATAGGATTTCTAACATAGTAAAGCAACAATACAATGTCTCAAATCCACGATCCAAATCTAGATATTTAAATGTGTACTAACACATGTTATTAATATTTTAGTAGATAAATGCGGATTCTCGGGCAACTAGTAATAATAATTAATTTTACAGACCAGCAGGTGTTTTCGAGTTTGAGAAATTTGCTGGAGGCACACGCGCCCTCATGGACGGCGTTGTGAAGGCCACCGCTGCTGGAGCTGTTACTATCATAGGTAATTAATGTACTAAGTGTGTAAGGGAGCGTTCAAGTATTACGTAACGAATTTTGGGGGGAGGGGGTCCTTTTGTAAAACGTTACGATGCGGGGCGGGGATTGAATTACTCGTTATTTTTAATATTATTTTAGATTTTCCAGTACTTTACACCACATAATGGTAGCTTTTAGGTATAAAGAGTCCAGAAACGTTTTACTATACTTGGGTAAAGAAAATCGTTACGGCGCGTTACATGTGGGGGGGGGGTCAATAATCTCCAAAAATTGCGTGACGTAATACTTGAACGCTTGAACGGTTTGCATTTTGTCATCATTTACATTTCACCCCTACGTTTTACATTTAAAACACTATTTTGAAGTAAGATGCTTTCGACTATTGTCTCGTATATTAAGGGATTAGTCAGATAAGACCTTACTGTTTCCCATAAGCTATAACTGAAGAATGGCTGTGTGTTAGCTTGTGAACTTCGTCGTATCGTATAACAAAAAACAAGCGCGTCGTTTATCTTTGTAGCCTTTCGAGCCGGATTTGAAAGGGCCGTTCGTAAAATCAGCTTGTTTTACTACTTATCAGATTGTTTTCTTATATGTATCTCAAATATTAAAATCAGAAGTGACAAATTTCGGCAATAAAGAGTATAAAGCAATTAACTGAAGAGTATTAAATTGAGAAGATGAAAAAAGCGTCTGTATTTGTTACCTACTGAATCGAGAGCGCAGGGTACCTGGAAACGTTACTCTCTCAAGTATTGGAAAAACAAAGAAACCAGTTGTGACGGATCGCAACGCCGCTAGAGTCGCGCCACAGAGCTAGCGCTCATGTCAAAAAATAATAAACGGCGAACGTCACGTTGCCGTATACCCCCCGTCCCCCCTTGTCACATCTTGTCACACTCAGCCAGACCCCTCCCCTCCCCTTGTATGCGAATGCATTTTATGAACGGCCCCAAACCGCGAACTGTGGCTTGCCCAAATTGTATTTTGTATAAAGAATCAGGGGAATACGGGACGATGGACTGTGTCACGTGTTTGTGATTAGACTAGTGACGCTGTTAACCAATCAAAATAAAGCGTTTAGTATTTTAATTGCCACCCTTGTCGACGATCCGTTAACTGTCAAGAATTATAATATTAAAAAATAAATTGTCTATTGTCTATGATAGAAGCATTCATATATGCTCTTCAGCTGTATGTACAAAAATAATTGCAAAACCTTATCACTATATTCTTTGCTAGGTGGAGGTGACACAGCAACTTGTTGCGCCAAGTGGGGAACGGAAGACAAAGTATCTCACGTGTCTACGGGTGGAGGCGCTTCTTTGGAGTTGCTCGAAGGTAAGAACATTTCAATAAGTTTTTTAGCAATACTAATTAAAGAATAAACTAATAAGTAAGTAATGACTATAGTAAGCTTTATTTTACTATACTCAAAAGATCAAATGTATAACGTGACTAATGATAACTCTCTGCTATAATATAACTATGACAATAATTGTAAATTATCGAAAAGAAACATCTCGAGTGCGAACTATGACAAAATCTATAAATACGACACTGCTTTCTAGTATAGGTTTGATCTGTCTTGTTCTCAGAGCCTAATAACAATTGATAGATCGCAACGAATTATTGATTTTATTAAAACTTTCTAAAAATTTAATTTTTATGAAATTGGTTTAAAATTTTGTCCATATCGCTTTTATCGTTAAATATAGCGCGACATCGTGTGTTATTATTATTTTTTTCTTATGTATTTTTCAATTGGTTTTTACATGTCGTTAGGCGTTACACTCCTTAAAATTTATTTATTTAACATTAGAGATTGTTAGCTTTATTTAGTCTGGTACCATTGAGTTTTTTATCTACTCAACTATATGTGTATGTCATCGTAAAATTGTAAACACTGTTAGATTGTAATCTATCTCGCGAGATTGTAAACTGTCGAAATATTGTGAACCTCAACGAACTGCTTACAATTTAACGTATTATTATTCGGTAGATTGTAATCTATCGAAGTGAAACCGTCAAATTGTGAAACGGCCATTTTCTACTTTTCTATTGGTTATAAGAGATGTGACATTCTCGTTTTCTATTGGTTATAAGAGATGTGACATCTCGGTAAATTAATCGAATCGATTATTTCGTCATTTGTTAATTTTAAAGTTGAACCTAATCGAATCGAATATTTCCTCATTTGTTAATTTAAAAGTTAAACCTAATTTAATCATTACTTGTCAAATGTATTTATTTATTTATTTAGTTATAAAGCTTACGACATCACACACAGTCCTAAATCTACTAATTATTTTACAAAATCTTACTTCTAAAATGAGTGACAGTTAATGTAAGCATAATTTTCTCCAAAAAAAATTTAAATAGAAATTTAAAAAATACAATTTAAACATATACGATAATACAAGCACACAAATAAAATAAAATTACAGAAATTTGTTGTTTTGTTAGAAAATTTAAAATTAACAAATGAGGGAATAATCGATTCGATTAGTTTACCGAAAATGTCACATCACTTATAACCAATAGAAAACGAGAATGTCACATCTCTTATAACCAATAGAAAAGTAGAAAATGTCCGTTTCACAATTTGACGGTTTCACTTCGATAGATTACAATCTACCGAATAATAATACGTTAAATTGTGAGCAGTACGCTGAGGTTCACAATCTTTCGACAGTTTATAATCTCGCGAGATAGATTACAATCTAACGGTTTTTACAATTTTACGTTAACATGTATATCAGCGAAAAAAAACATTAGGGAGCACGTTATAAAGTGTAAATTATAGGTTGTGTGTCGTAGCGTGTACAATCGCGAGCCCGGACCTGTCATTATATTAGGGTTTCTAATACAAACTTTTAAAACGAAATACTAATTTCACGCCACATACTATTTTTTTTTAATAAATCATTAAAGTGTAATAAGCTCCAAGTATTAGTTTTTAAAAATGTCAAGAAGTCTGTATTTTATAAATCTTAATATATATAAATTACGTGTCACGTTGTTTGTCCGTTATGAACTGCTAAACTACTTAACCGATTTCAATCAAATTTGCATACCTGTTAAGTTTGAACTAACTTAAAAGATAGGATAGCTTACATCTTCATTTATACCCGTAATATTATTTCTTCACATAAGCTACAATTTAATGGCATAACCACCAAAAAAGCATGGTCCCCATTATAATAGTTTATTACTATGTAATATAATAAAAACTTTTGCCACAGCAAAGCTTGGCCGAGTCTGCTTGTATAGTATATTTCTTAAACAGGGGTTGGGAGCCCTAACTAATATATATAATGCCAATGTTCGTACTCATACCACGTAGAGCGATCGAAATAGTGCAGTTACGTCATGCGGATCTGCATAGCGTTAACTTCGCTATTGGTTTTCCATAAAACTTTTTTAATTAATATTGCGAAATTTCAATAACAAAACTTAGCAACGTAATTCGGGAATATCGTGAAACTTTAATACGGTAAACTTTTAATATGGTCACCGCTAATCATTTGCATTATGAGCCCTCCATGCGACACTGTTTTTTGTTTATAATTCACGTCGCTTAAATTATCGAGCTAAATTTATCATATTATTTTTACAGATGTTTCTTTCTTTGAGATGCAGCTTTTTCCGTGGCGTAATATATGAATTTTAGATACCTTTATATCAAACCTACAAATTTTTATAGTTTCAATTTACTTTCTTCCGTATTCATAAGGATATAAAAAGCCTCAATTGTTAATGTTTTGTCTACTACCACAACCACCGTTTAGTCTTATAATACGTTTAATATAAGCTCACAAATCTTATGATTGATATTCAGGGAATTGTAATGTGACGATTTGTAATTTTGAAGCCTCATACTGGGTTACTGGGTTCTAAATTGAGATATGCAAAAAGTGGCTATGCATCTGCGTCTGGCAGATAATGTGAACACAACATTTTTGGCTTTGATTACAAATTGTTCAAATAGCGAACCCATAAATTATCAATCCCAACAACACGATTATGACTGAAATACTTGTTCGTCCCTTGTAGGCTCACGGAAATTTACATACCTGTTAAAAAGCGCTGATTGTATAATTGATCCTAGGTAATAGTTTCATAAGATATTGTTTGTTTCAGGCAAAGTTCTTCCAGGTGTTGCAGCTCTTACAGATGCCTAAGACCTTAGCAGATCTTAATTGCACAATTATATTCAACTGTCAAAAGTGTCACCAATTCACTACTCAAAAACGATCTTGCTAATAATGAAAACGAGATTTTTTAGAACTTCCTTTTTGCTGTGAGATGTTAATGTAGATAGTTAAAGGTTATACAAATTATTTATAGAAAATTACGCGCTTAACGGCGTATGCGATTAGAGCGCTGATGCGAATAATTAAATAATAATATAAGTGTGTCATGTGTATATTTAATGTTATGAATAAATGTTGCTTAATCAAGTGTATTGTTTAATATTTTATTTTATAATTTAAGGTTTATATGAAATCTTTTCCATCCGGTTAATACCGGACTTAGTTCTACATAATATAAAACAAACTCGCCTCCCGTCGTGTGTACGCTTAGATCTTTTCATCAACCGAGTTATTAAAGAAGCTTTGTTTAATAACGTCGACTTCTATAGTACGAAGTAGCTTCCCCCCATTTGAACGAAGTTCCACGCATAAAGAAAGGTATTAATTGAAGCGATTTTCCACCCTTCCTTACAAAAAAGAACTACTTTAAAAATGTTCTAACGCCTATTTTTATATCTAAAATATAATACATATTTACAACAAATCGTTTTTGACATTCCTTCTGAGGTAATCCAGACAGACATTACACAAATTCTACAACGGTAATTTTCCTCCTGTCCGGTTGAAGTGTAACTTCAAAACGAACCAATGTGTAGAGAATAAGGCTGGAAGTTAGGAAGACACTTGTAAAAATCATTAAAATATCAATCATTTAATATTAATGGATATATAAACATTTTCCGTGTAAGCAATGATACAACTTACACAAAGTCATGTTAACCGCTATCGCCTGTGCCATGGTTTCTACCACCTACCTACAACCTAGTTTTATATATCAATACTCAATACGTATCACAATATTGCAATAAGAATTTAGATCCATCTCTGTCAAACGTATGTCTATCGCTTTGATTTCTACCTGTTACCCGTATCGATTTTATACACGCGCAAGCGTCCTCATGGCCACCAACAAGACTTATAACAGTCAGTTGTTAGAACGATAAAACTGATCGTAAATAACATAGCCATTTACAAATCAAATGTTAATTGTAGGCTAGAGACAATTAAAAGACTCTGAAGATACAAGTCTGATCGCTTCTTCGCGCATGCTCGTTGCATTTCAAAATAATTTTCTATGTAGTCTTCGTGACGCAAGTTTCGCTGCCGGTCGCCAAAATGTACCTAATGTAAAATAACCGCCACGGATCATATAGTGATATAAAATGATATGTATAGTTTATAGTTGTATGTCAATTGCTGGGGTGACAATGGATTTTAATGCAAGGAATGTTGTTTTTAGGTAAATCTGTTAGCAGGTGAGTGACGCGATTTTTCTTTGATATTTATTATATGAAATCAATTTTATGATTTGGTTAAACGGTTTTATTTATTTTAACCGATTTTATACGTTCTGTTGCGGTGATAAGCTTATTTCTTGTTACTCAGCTCCTAAATAATTGGGGTCTTTTGTTAACACTGTCACTAGTTTTTTGATCAGATGTTGTTTAAATGATATTAAAATATATAACGAACAAAACAGACACCCACAGAACAAAAAAATTGATATTACTACAAAATCATAGGCATAATTTAAGGAAAATGAAATAAATACATTTAAAAGTTATTCGTGTACGTAAACAGAAAATATGATAACGCAACAAAATTTAATTTATAATCTGAAAGTTGTGTATGTTTTTTAGTAAATAGTCAATATTAACATGATACCATAAACATAATATTTGCAGTAAATATAAAACTGACCAAATTCTTGTAAAATAACAATGATTCTACTTAATTAAATTTTACCCAATTAGGGAAGTGCTCGATCACGCAATACATTAATACTATTTATTTATTAAATATTAAAATTACCTAACATAACTATTGTACTTAAAATAATTTGAGTTCTGCACACAAAAAAATATGTTAGTATTTTTTTTAGCTATAAAACATAAGGTTGGGTATAAAATTCATCACTAACATTTCATTTATTCTAAAAAAAATAATTCCATAGTATTGTCTTTGATTAACATAACTTTTATTCATTTAATAAAACACTATTTATAATAAAACGTCGGATAAATTTAAAATTATGTTAAATAGTTGTAAATTTATAATAATACATAACTTCAATCCGGTCAAAATAGTGTTTTATTAAATGAATAAAAGTTATGTTAATCAAAGACAACAATATATAAATTTATTTATTTCATATTAAGGTGATTACCGTCGAACTATACTGACATAACAGTGTCGTCAACATAGAAAAAGATGATTTAGCACTGCTTTGCCTCAAATCCTAGGGAGGTTCCTTATCCGCACATACGCTAAACAAGAGTTTAGTAGAAGTGCTAATTATTATACATACATATATATTATGGACTTCAAATTATTATTATTATATCACAACGTTTACAATTTATACTGTTGAGTTGAGTTCAAACTTTGCAAAACATTATAAATACAGTTGAAATATATGTTCGTGTGTTTAAGTGTATTTAAGATAACAAATATACACGAAAACTAGATGGCACTATCGGGCCTTGGAGCAATAAAGATACACAAACGAAAATAAAGTTAGTAAAAGCATTTATGTACGTACCTACAAGATAGTAAACCATGGTAAAGCCCTTACTTCCCTGGTACATTTTGACTTCGACACCGGGTCGATCTGGTCTCAAAATTAATAGAGAATCTGATTATCCGAGCGGGATTCAGGATACATTTAAAATATAACCCTCATTTCTCTTAAAATATTCTGTTTATTATATTACTGAGAAGTAATCAAGCAAGTACAATATAATCCTACTTTATTACTTCTCAGTCTTAGCTTTCTAGACCCTTTCTCTACAGTCTTGTGATGTGTCGTTACTGATGTACTATTTATTTTATTGTTATACATAGCAAATGTTAATTATGGTAAGATAGGGTAATCCGAAATAACTTAAGTTTTTCTCTAGGTTTTATAATGCCAGACTGGTGGTGGCTATTCATGGCTGCTATTTTTGGCGCCGTGTCAGCCCTGACAATTCCATTAGCATTATTGCTTTATTTCTTTAGACCGTTTGAGAAGGAACACCAAACAGAGGAAGACTTTAGCATTCCAATCACATTACCTCCTGTAAGTATTACATTTAATTTTGAAACAATATTTTTATCACATTTGCAAACTGTAACTGATGACACCACGCAGATTTTGGTTTTTATGATTTTTTAGCAGAAAAAATCTTCGCATACAAATATAATATCGATAAATTATGTTAATCGGCATAACGATTAATAGGAATTAGTCGCCATACACATTAGCTTAGTGTCCGTGATGGTCAATACTACGCCATACTGTTGTTCTGGGTGACAACCTCGCTCTGCGGTCTGTGAACTGGAAATGTTACAGAAGGCATCAGCTGAACGAGAAAGATAACGGCACGTGATGTCCATGAGAGTTAGAGAGGGTACGGCCGTCTTTACTACTGATCTGAATATTTGAAACATGTGGTGGAGCTAGATGACCACGCGGAATCCCAGGTAGAATGCGAAAGCGACCTCAAGGTCTTTTGGAATGCGGCTGTGTTGGTACTATCCGATGTTGGATCTAGTGGATGTTCACCCGGTTCTCTCATCTACAGAGAGATATATATCACTGACACCTTCACCAGGGTGGAGGACTCGTTCATGTATTTCCTTGGACATAAAAATAGGAAAAAGGTATCAAAGTCTGAATAAGAACACTATATTAAATATTAATTAATATTTTATAGATTATACATTTAAAAATTAATCTGTAAGATAAAAGGACTTTGCGTATATATAGATTTTGTTGATTAGAATTTCAGTTAAAACTGATGATACTATTCAGAACGCTATGTTATGTCAGGTGTGAAATATTATACATACTCTTTATATAAAAGTAATATGCAAAGAAGTAACCGAAAATAATATTACTAGAAGCTATTGCCCCCAAGGAATATGTCGAAAGTTACATCAAATATTTATCGTACAGTCCACAAGCGAGATGTTATTGCCATGAAATGTTCTTAGTAAATAAATAATAATTATTATTCATACATTTATTTAATAAATAAACAAGAAGATCTTGTTTTATAATATGCACCTATAGACACATCGGAAAGCTGGTTCCGTGATTTTCAAAAAAATCAATATTCATGATTTAAAATAATTGTTTTCGATAATAACTTTTGAAAAGTTTTGTGGAAGATTTTATTTACCCTATAATATTCTTAAAAACACTAATAACAGACACAAGCCAAAGAAATAATTATCAATCCAATAAACGAGTAATGACTAAAGAACGACATAAAATTGTTATGGGATGGTTACAGCTTTTAATATAAGGCAAAACGAGGTGGAATATGATAACTTATCATTTAACGACGCCGTTTCGCTTCAATTGTAAGCTAATTGTAATCTTTCGCCCAAATTTACTAAAATTTATTCGGTTTCTTAACTTCGAACTTAAAAATCTTTATAATGTTTGTTTTTCCTCCAAAACCGTTTTCGACTTCAAAGTATAATATATTTAAATTACCTTTTTTAACTATACTAACTGTAGCACCTTTGAATAGTTAATTTATTATATCAAACGGTCCGGAAAATGGGTTCTACCGAAAAGTGTCTATTTTGATTAGATTTTTCGTCATAGAATATGTAATTAAGTAGACTGTATAGAAAGTAAAGTAAGATAAATTAATATAAACAAAACACACAAAGGAACAGGTAATAATTTAGTCTCAGTCACGTGACACCAAATCAGCATCAATTGGTAAGATGACTTCAAAGTTTCGTTGAAGCGCTCCAAAACGTCACTAGAACAATGTTTTTGTGGACTGATTAACGTTGACTCACTGTGGGGCAGGGCAAAACAGTGCGCGCGATGCCTCCGCATTATTGCATCTCAAGCAGGTGAGGGTAGAGAAATAGAATACTAATCTACCCATCTGCCTTGGCAATGCTAATTTAAAAATAAAAAATAGCATGGATAAAGTAAAAGCATAATAGCTTGGATAAAGCAATGATAAACGAAGAATCGGGTAAAACGTCTGACAAACGAACCGATTATATGTTAAAAGTTAAAGGGAATAAAAGCTTCTATTTTTGAAGAGTCTTTTACATAAGTGCTACTGAATACGAACAAGTCCCTGGATTCTTCACCTGTTGCTGCGATATCATTACTAGAAAAATGTGTACCACATATCATATATTCACTTTCCATTTAAACAAATAACTTGCAATGATATCGTTAAAACTTTTAAGCTTATTAATTTAAAAAATAGTATAGATATATGGAGTATGTCAACAATCATTTTAAATTCCGTTATTGATGTAATAAACTCTGAATTCGCTGTAATTTTAAACTGATGTATCCACTGTGGAGTCATTCCGGAACAAAGGAAATTAAGTAACAAACAAAGTTACACCATTGTTCAACGCTAACGCAACGGTAGTAAGTCTGGTCCGTCAAACTTTAGACCTGTGCTCCCCGCGTAGAGCAAAATTTTTGAATAGCTTATGTTAGACTAAATAAAAATAACCTTTTGCATAATAAACAGTATGGTTTTACTAAGGGTCGCTCAACAAACGATGCCGGTGGGAAGTTGATTTTAGACATATTGTAATAAAAGTAATAATATGTAATAAAAGCCTGGGAAGAATCATATGATGGAGTCGGCGTCATTTGTGAGATGTCAAAGGCTATGTTCATCCTCATATACTGGTTGGAAAGATTCAACACTATGGCGTTGATGGCAAAGTTTCCAGCCTGATGAATTCATATTTAAAGGGAAGGACCCAAAGAGTGAATGTCAACCTCTCAGGGTTCACATGTGTCAATCGGCTTGGGGGACAAGGCTTGGTTCACGGGCCTTTCTTATTCCTGATTTGCATAAACGACCTCCCATTCTTTATCAACGGAGTTTATGAGATAGTATTGTTTGCTGAAGACACTTCACATCTATTTAAAGTGAATAGGAAAAACGTATTATTGGACGATGTAAACAGTTCCATCTCTCGTATAGTTAATGTAAATAACTTACCACTTAATGATAATAAAACAAAATGTATTAGATTTAATTTATGTAATGTATAAGATTACAACTACTAGCGCAAAGCGAGATATTGGTGAACTGAAAGTTAAGGACTGAACTAAACTTTGCTGACAAAACTCTATTCCTAGACATAACAATAGATAGTAAACTCCAGTGGGATCCACACATAGAGACTTCTTTCTTTCGAATAGGCTGAGCTCTGCAGCATATGCAGTAAAAAATCCGACAGTTTATAGATCAGGACACGGCTAAAATTGTGTATCATAGCTTAATTTAGTTAAATGTGTTTCTCGCGAATATAATGTTTATATGTGAAATTTTGCATGTGTACACTAATCGAGTTTTTAAAATAACTTTTACTTACTAAAAAAATGTTGCAAGTATTACGTGTTACAATTTTGTTCTGGTGAATTACCTATCTACTCAAATACAAATGCTTGCACGTCTTTAGTCGTGTCGTCACGTCATAGGTATTAAACTTAAGTAAATATTATATTCGTTTCCATAAAAAACATTATACACCTTCAGATGTACAAACATTGGTATTGGCTAATGTAATCCCAAAGGGAGCGAAGCGAAGCACTGCGCAAATATCAAATTACTAAAATCGATCAACTTTCAATTTGACGACGTCCACTAAATATTTGTTTCTGTTATACGACTGTTGAGGAGATAAGGCTTAGTTTAATTTATATACAATAATTATTTATCGAAAGATCTATATAATTTATTAGAATATCGCTATATTTGTAATATTGCTAGATTAATAAAGTATTTAAAGCCCACATAGAACATTTCTCTTCAACGTATCATATATCTATCTCTACAAAGTTTTTTTAGCAGTTATAGACAATTATCCTGGGTAAACAAAGTTGATTATACTGTGTAAACTATCGATAACGTAATAAATAGTAAAATTTGTTTGGTATAACACAAAACCCATACATTAATTTACTCTTTATAACGCTACAGCCATTCTCTATAACGAAGAAATATTTTCATATACTTAAGTGTAATTGTTTTTATAATCAGCTTACAAAACTAACCTATTGAGTTGCCAAAATTTCTAAAAAAGACACCTGCACCTACACGTGTGATTCTTAGATTACATTGCCTGTAGAAAATTTTAGTCTCAGTTACTAAACGCACCATCGTCAACTATCGTGTATTATCAGTCGTAAACAAACTTTGAAACTGTCAAGATGTCCAGTAAACAAAATAAATTACCTTTTGATAGTAAAATTAAAAATTATTTTAATTGGTTAAATTTGCTTTGTTTTTTCTCCTTTCTCGATAACAATGCTCTCTATAACGAACAAAAATGCTCGGTCCCTTGAAATTCGTTATAAAGAGGTTAGACTGTATATAATTTGTGTCTATCTCTATGTCAAAGACTTAAAACACATTAATTATTATTAAATGTTGAATTAAACAATCTGTCGATTATTTCATTACAGGAAATTCTGAATGAATTATGCCATGGTGCCGGCAGCACTCCAGAGGGAGCCTTGAATGGGATGTTACAATTTATCTTTCAACAAAGTACGGCTGACACCCGATGGTTAAGAAGACGCATGGCGAATGAGCTGGCGGAATTACTTGCTAAGACATCATCAGGAAAGATATTTGAATCTCTTACGGTAACTATAGTTTATGGAACTAACGTAAATATGGCGTATATTCCAAGACACAGTTGGAAACACGCTGGCGAATTGTACATTGCATTTAACCAGGTCATTAGTTCTATTCCTTTAGAAATAATTATGTTTCTGTAAAACTCACAGGCGATTTACTTCTAAATCTTATGTTAATTAAATACTGGTCACGGTACATGGTGTGAACTTTCGCGACATTAAAATGAAATTGTTGAGGTACAGACACAACAGATCCATGACAGTTTAAATCAACTCAGTTTAATGTATATTTAATACTTAGCTAATAAAGTCAATATGAATATCACCCATTTGTTATAATAAAAATTTACCCAACTTGAATCTAAATAGAATTTTCAGCAGGCATTTGCCCCTTATTCTACATAATATATTTTCTAATTACCTGGGAATCAAAAATTTAAACGTATCCAACACGTTGATAATAAAAGCAAATAAAATCAAATACATTTTAATTTTCGATATATATCTTCGATATTTACACACAACACACTACACAGTCTATAGACTAAGGAAGTAGGTACACAGCATAATTTCAACTATCTCAATATCGATTTATTTACGCTATAGAAAATATATAAGGTGATTATTTATTATGGACATATTTTATAACCCTATCTATGCACGCGTTCATATTCCTATGATTACTATAATATTATTGACTTATACTCGTTATTGATTACAAAAATCAACTTCCTAGATTGTAGAGCCTCGTAATGATATATCATTAAATTGATGCCTTAACACGGAATACATGAGGTTCGATTTTGTACTTGTCGCCCTGACACAATTATATTTAAACAATTCATATTTAATATTTATTAAGTATTTTCGTTTAATCGGACAGTCCTATATTTATTTGTTTTCCTTAACGTTTTAATGTTAACACGTTGAGAAGTTAGGTAATGTAATAAAAACATATTACAATTAAGATACATGAATTACAAGTATAACACAAAAATTTTAAAAAGAAAATTTACATTGCATTAGGGAAAAACCGCTTGTCGCCAAAACTTATTATTATTCAGAAAATCCATACATTATCCTTACAGTACTGACAATATGATAATGTTGAAAAAAATTATATATAATATTAAAAACACAATATCGCTACTGTGAACTCACTCTGCGATCATAAAAAGTTGTCGATAGTGTCGGAGACAGCATTCGGTGAGCGCAACGTCTTTGTCAACGGGGGTCTGTGCAACAGACTGGTCCTGTCCCTTGGTGTCGCAAACAACCTTGGCTTTCGCCGCACATATCCCCTAGGTACAAAGAAACTGAGTTCTTAGAGAACACTTGGGTTGCTTACCACCCTCCGCAATTCTTTAAGTATTGTAAAGTAGGCCAACTGTAAGTCCCGTCTTGTTTCTAATTGATTGTACCCCACCATCCCTAAGACAAATAATGTTTGGTACATTAAGGAACATATAGCAAGATACACCTATAATAGGTGGACCTTAAAGACAACTGTATGGAAAGGACCAAGAGGAAGAAGGAGAAGAGGTCGCCCAAAAAAAATGTGGATTGAAGAAATAGAAGCGGTAGGTGGAAACGAATGGAGAAAGAGAGCCATAGACAGAGTCAGTTGGAAAAAGCTGGGATAGACGCCATACATTCTGTAATAAATCGTGTAAATACACGATACCTTTGTGTTCTGTATGCGCTGCATCATAAGGCAGTGTTTAGCTTCATGCGGAGCCCAAACAGACGAGTCTCACATCCATCTAACCAATGCGTTGGGGCTTTATTATTATTATTACATTAAGGGACAGTAGGGATAGACGCCATACATTCTGTAATAAAGGTATAGTGTAAATGTGTTCTGTATGCGCTGCATCATAAAGCATGTGTTTAGCTTCATGCGGAGCCCAAACAGACGAGTCTCACATGCGTCTAACCAATGCGTTGTACAAGCTTGAGATGGCCTTTATGTTAGTAAACGTTGTTGCCCTTTGAAGCACAAATCCCATTCTGTTGTATAGTGAATTGAATGAAAATTGAATAAGATTTAAGATTAAGATTTTTATTGGCACTACTGTCGAGGTATTCGGGTTTACCTAAGTTTTAAAGCATTTAACAGCCTATATAACGCAACGGCACGCAATTTTTGTATGCCCAACATTCGTTAACCTTATACAAAAATCATCGCGGCAGGTAGTGCGTTGATCACAAAAATGTAGTTAAAAATTGGCTAAAGTATCAGAAGCAAAATTAAGAAAAAGAACTGAAGAAAAGAAATATTAACAAAACTAATAAGCGTTATGAAGAAGCTCATGTTTCAGCACTTCCGGGTGTCAGCCTCGTAAGTCTTATTTTCCTCTGTTACAGTTACGTTCACTAGAAGTAGGAACAGAATTTCCCAGTTTATCAAACCTCCGAGTAGTGAGCGGAGAATTAGAGGAAGATGGGGCGAGACTCCGATCCTTAGATTTACGACTGGACTTGACTTATGACGGCAGCTTCAGGATTGAAGTTGACGCTGTTATGTTACTGGGGAAGATCGCTAACATATCTATCACGGGTAAGTTTTTTAGGTAAAATAAAAAAATAGTATGAACTTCTTACAAACATTGGTATTAAATTTTCAGTCGAGAGCATCAGTGGTACTGTCCGTGTGATGTTCCGTAGAACGCCGTACACGCACTGGGCGCTGGCTTTCGAAAACCAGCCTAAACTTGAGCTCCGAGTACGAGGTCGCTTCCAAGGAAGACAGCTCAAGCCAAGATTGGCAGCCCTTGTCGCCGCTCATATAAGGCGAGCGGTTGCACAGAGACATACACTTCCTAATTACAAGATACGGTATGTGCCCTATATGGTCCTATAATTCTAAACAACATGCGTTAAGGTCTTATTTCTATATCCGTGTATATGAAATCTTTCCAAGTATTTTACTGAGCCATTTGATTTATTAAATTTTCTTTCTTGTTATTTCAATTCTATTTATATTTTATATGAGCCTGATATTTTTTATCCTAAACTATATTCAAATTGTATTTTTATTAATAATGAGGGTTTCTCTAATTCTGCTATTACTTTCCGAATTTCAATTCCTAACACTGATATAACCGTGACATTATTTATTAATGAATAATTTAAAAAAATATGTAATTTTTTGTAATGTTTTATTTAATCAAGTCTCACACAATATTTTAAATAAAATAACCTTTAACAGATTGAAACACGTATTGAATCACGGTCTTATAATTTTCATTTTAATCCAAAGAAAGCTGTCCGTCATTTTGTGTGCTTCAAATTGAAACCAACCATTTATTGGCGGCCATATATTGGCGGTACCAACATTAGACTGTACGTTCTTAAGTAGGTACCTAAGCACTTTCTTTCAAGCGTAACATAGCATGAAATAACTTTTGATCTAATCATTTCTCTTACATTAAAAAACGATATTAAAGTATATAAAAAACCTAAAGATATTAAAGTACCTAAACTATTGTCCTACAGGTATAAGCCATTCTTCCCAAAGTCAGAACCTGGCAGTACCGAAGGCGAAGATGGTCCTACACCACAGGGCCGTCTCACCGTCAGGCTGGTAGAAGTGAGTCGACTGTACTGGCCCGGAAATATCGGCATTGTTCGAGCCGCTCTAGCTGTAGATTCTCATGCTTGGGTGAGTTAGGCTACGTCCGCACAGGCAGGAGGTTTGCTTAGCGCCTAGCGCCTAGCGAGTCACCAAGCGAGTAGCTTAGTAAAACGAACGTTCTAGAGTCTTCGCGAACGGCCGCATTGCGCGCTTGGCGCCTAGCTAGTCGCTTAGCGTGTATCGAAGTAAACAAACGTGTTGGTTTTTTTGTCGCTAGGCGCGAAGCATTTTCGTGGTGGATGAAATATTAATTTCAATAGTTTTTAAAAGGGAACCTCTGTGGAATCCCTCTAATCAATTCCATAAAAATGCAGTCGTCTTAAAGAAGCTACGGGAAGAGGTAGCAGTCGAAGTAGAAAAATACTGTTATGCTTTTTCGTAGATGAGTATCCAAATGAGTTAATTTTACTTTAACTTTACTGAAAAGTAGATCAAATGTTTCTCTGGGCATACGCAAATATTCGTAAAACTTTTCGTCATAATTACGCAATTGTTTATACAGAACATTAAACTCCCCATGACTTGACCGTAACTTATTTATGTCATGGACCCAACATGATGAAGAAGGTCGTGAAGTTGTATATTTTAAAGAATAATTTTCTGTAAGTAGGAGTTCAGAGCTATTTTTGAAAGTGACATGTCGCTAACGTGCCGACAAACAAATGACCAACGCACCTAGCGACCCACTACGCAAGCCACCTTTAGTCCGGCCACCGTGTACCTAGCAAGTAGCCAGACGGCAAGCCTCTAGGCTCTAGGCGCTAAGCAAACCTCCTGCCTGTGCGGACGTAGCCTTACGGAAATAGAAAATATATACAGATTTAGGTAGAATTCATTGTTTATATTTTATATCAAATTATATTTTCAGTTACGACATTTGCGGTAAATCCTTAGTTGCCGTGCAAAGAAGTAAAGAACTTTATCTCTTTATTAGAGATATATGATTTATGATTACACTAATATTCAAAAAATCATCTAGTAGGTCAAAACTATAATTCCTACAACCCCTTAAAAAATGTTCTGTGCTTCATATTTATTTCACCAAATTCGTTTGAGACTTTAATTAACGAATAAAGACAGACTTATAGATAACTCTCTTTTAGGTGTCCCTAAGACGTGGTATTCTTGTACTCGACATAGTACTACCAGCAGTGAGTGGCCCTCTAGGCCTTGTGTGCTGTCAAGGTGTTGGTGTCGTCCTAGTAGACACGGTTGTACCGATGTCACCGGCATACAGAGCTGATCTTCGGAGAGACGACGTGGTTTTAGCGATAGATAACAAGCCTGTTACTAATGTAGCACAGGTAATTCTAAAAGTCCTAATTTACAGGGTTACAATAAGGTAACCAGCTGTTTAATGTGTATAGATCGACATAAAGTTAAATATATAGTACTAGAACCATAACTTAAAATATTGTTATTCATTTTAAAATTAAAATTCCAATATACGTCGGACTCAGTATTCTGAAGGCTAACTACCTCATATGATCAGTTTTATAAATTGAATTGAAATCTATTAAAAAAAAATCCTTTAGTTTCATTCAAAAATTCTTTAAGCATTTTAAATATAAATTGTAGGTTGCCAAGCTCCTACGTAGCGTTGAGCGTCGTGCGGTAACAGTCCGTGTACGGCGGGGTGGAGCTGGAGGTGTGACAAGAAGAGATGACGAACCAAAACGATTGAGGACTAACTTCTCCTTTAGACGGGTTTCAGAAGTCATGGAAGGAGTCAAGGGATTACAAGGAATGCGGTCTGCTTCTAAGAATAACGTGCAAGTAAGTTTAAAATTCGACTTTAAAACAGAGAAGAGAGATTAGGTAAAGATTATTAACTACGGTCCATGCAATTGCTAGAACTTTATTATTGTCTATTGAATAAAATCACACACAATCACAAAACACGTATTAAAAAGACATCGTTACTCAATAGTTTACCAGAGGACATAAGGCATATGATTATTATGAGCCTACACTTGCTAAATTTAAAAGTTTATTAAAAACACCCTTGTTAAACACGTTGTGATCATTTACATGAATTAATTGTATTAATATAACCCAATTAAATAATGTATAAGCTATGTTTATATAAAGCAAGTTACCTGCAGTCAAACTGCGTAAGCAGTTTTGCAGGGCATGGTTTAGAATCTAAAAATCAAAACTTTAGATCAAAGTGTAACTTTTTATGGATATTAAATACATACATATATACAAAACAAACTGAGAATTAGATCTGTAATAATTATACGACTATTACTGATTTTTTGATTAATTAAATAATATTTAACACAGGATTCAGATTCTCCAGCAAAGACAGTTGAGCAAAACGACATCGATACACAAGGAAAACAAAAGATTGAAATAGCACGCCAGCTCACTAAATCCACGGATTCTATAGGACCTAGTAATTTCGGGCTACGAAAACGAAGGTGTTCCGTTGAAAACAAATCCTCTGACAGTTCTGCTGGAAGCACACCACCAGCTTCTGGAGCTAGTACACCACTTCGCCAAGTTACAACCAATAAGACAGTTAAACACCCTGACGTACCCATTATACGTACAGAAACCGAATGCAAGGTTTCTGAAAAGGAGATTGAAGAAGATGAAATCTTCGAAGCTGGCGGTCCAAGACAGACGGAGCATGTTGAGATATGCCAAATGTTTTGGACGAAGAATGTCCAATTAAAGCCTATCATTCCTTTCGATGAAGAAACAGATTTCAAGCTAAATGAGAACCATAAATACCTCAATATAAACGTTTGGGTGACCGTCCCCGGAGAGAAAGATGAGGTGTTACTAGGGTACCTTAACATTCCACTTGCGGCGCTATTGTCTGAATGCCAAGATTCGACTGTTCCACATCACATGAAACGGTACCAGTTTCTACCGCCCGACGTTGATATAAAATTTAGGTAATTGGCACACGTGTAAGAACTAAGACTAAGATATAATATTTGTTAGGATTTCTATAACGTTCTTATAGCCGTAAATTTTGCGAACACTAAGTCTTGTTACGTTTTACTTATTTTGCAGCAAAAGCCACAACCTCTCATCTCACGCTGGCTTCGAACCGTGCCTATGTTTTGGAGATGCCTTAGTGTGGTGGGAGTGGGAAGGCGTCACGGGCACTCGTTCTTCCCCCCGCCCTTCAACTAGAGTCCCCTTACGTGCTCCTGTGGTGTCTACGTCTGTTACGTCACACGACTTCGTACGTACGCACTTCCATCGGTCCACACAATGCGACTTCTGTAATAAAAAGGTATGATACGTTTTTTTGGAATGATAGATTTTCAAAGGTTCGTATAAATTACAGAATAAAACAAACACTATGTATTCTTTTAAATAATTATAATTCTTTGGTCTTGAACATCAAACATGGTCGCCATTTCAAGTTACGAAAGTTGCATACATTGCTTGCCGTTATAAACCTTAACTCCCATATGTATAAATTAAATCCTGTCGATTTCAGAGACCTTTGCCACCCAACCCACCTATTTTTTCTGTAAAGTGGATTTTTTTTGTGTTTTTTTTTTTTTTTTTCTCTTTCCCCCCCCCCCCCCCCTTTCTAACCCCCCCCCCCCCCATATCCCGTAATCAAAACACACAAAAAAACCTCCCCCCCCCCCCCCCTCCCTCCCCCTTTTTTTTTTTTTTTTTTTTTTTTTTTTTTTTAAAAAAAAATCCCCCCCCCCCCCCCCCCCCCCCCCCCCCTCCCCCCCCCCCCCCCTCCCCCCCCAAAAATTTCCCCCCCCCCCCCCCCCCCCCCCCCCCCTTTTTTTTTCCCCCCCCCCCCCCTTTTTTTTTCCCCCCCCCCCCCCCCCCCCCCCCCCCCCTTTTTTGGGCCCCTTCCCCCCCCCCCCCCCCCCCCCCCCCCCCCCCCCCCCCCCCCCCCCCCCCCCCCCCCCCCCCTTTTTTTTTTTTTTTTTTTTTTTTTTTTTTTTTTTTTTTTTTTTCCTCCCCCCCCCCCCCCCCCCCCCCCCCCCCCCCCCCCCCCCCCCCCCCCCCCCCCCCCTCTTTCCCCCCCCCCCCCCCCCCCCCCCCCCCCCCCCCCCCCCCCCCCTTAATTAAGTGTATTAAAGCAGACTAGTATATTAATTATCTTCAAACCAAAAATTGATTAAAGCTACGAAGTTCTAGTGAATCAACTTTTTATCCCTAATACAAAAATTCGCAGATAAACGTTAGTTTCTTTTTAACACTATAAAAGCGAAATGAAAATTCACGGCTATCATTACTAATTTATTAGAAAAATACAAAATTACACTAAAATTTGTCGAGTTCTGTCAAGCAAACAAATTTCAACAGCAAATTTTTACAAACTAGAAGAATTTTATAATATCAATACTATTAGTGATGTAAGATTCCAAAATTTCCATTCTTTAAACAGGTTAGGATGTTTACCTTATCTATTACAGAAATATATTAGAAATTTGGCATTGAGTTGGTCCGCACGTGCGTGTTCTATTACAGTTGTTACATATTCAATCATAACTATTTGAGATAAATATCGGTTATTATTTTTCACGATTTGTACCTAATTAGGAGTTAATTGGGACGGAAGGAAATCTGTATTCAATTCTTGTAAAATTCATTAAACTTGACTTACGATAATGGTTTAACTTATTACTGTGCATTCTAAAAAACCTGTAAAGTCAAAAAGTCATTTAATTAGAGATGAATACTAAATATTGATTATCAATTTATAAAGCTTAATAAAGTACATATTGTAATTATATCAATATATAGTTGCTTATACTCCCCGGTCTCGTATAATCTTTGCATGTTTCCATGTGGTGCAAAAATCACCAGTATCCATATTAGCAGACGCCATTCTCAAAGAGAGACATTGACAATGGTCAAGAACTATGCTGCCTATGTATTAAGGAAATTTAATGATTGCGTGTATTGTCTATTATAATCCAATACAAATAATAATTGATATTTCAGAGACTTTTTCTTTATTTAACGGGTTTTTCTTGTCATTAGATTTGGCTAAAAGACGCAATGCAATGTCGAAACTGTGGATTGTGTTGTCACAAGAAATGCGTTACCAAGTGTCAGGAGACCTCACCATGCATACCCAAGCAAAATCGAGGTATGTCTTTTTATTATAAATATCATACTGATGATAAATACTTTCTTATATAATATAGGGTGTATTTCGACTGATTCCGTAAACGAAAGTAGTTTGAAATAGGAATTTTTTAAAAAGGTAATTTAGTTATTTATCTGCATTAAATAAAAAAGTAGAAGATGGTTTTCAAAATACTAGTAGTTGCGAAACAATAAAATTAGGATTGCGGAAAAGAGCTGTATTCGTTCCACGTTCTAATTTGTTAGTATTTTTATTATTTTAATTATAATGAGAACGATACTAGGTAATGTGGATTATAAATGCTCGCTAAAGAAAGGCCCAGGTTCGAGTTTCGTTCAACATCGTTAAAAAGTCATAACTATTCGTAACAAAGGTTTTTAATTTATTTTCAAACATACATATATATTTCACGACCCAAGTACTCTGGAACTACTAAGCTACTCTAATCTCTACTTTCTCCAAAATAGTTTAAAAAAATTGCTATTGAAAATTTCAATTATTTTTTACAGAATTTGATTGAAATTAGTCGTAAAATTTTATAATTGAGTAAGGATATTGTTTTAACATTTCATAATAGAGTTAAAATAAGAGACCAAACAGAGATTCTTAGTACTAAGATAATATTGATGCAATTTCCCTAATTCAACTTAAACTGCCTAATTATTTGAAATGTATCAATTCATTTCAATGATCGTTCTGAATTAGATTATCCAATGCTTTGCTGACCTAAGTGTTTTAATACATCGCGCTACTGTTACGAGTTCATTATTCTATTATGATATCAAACAGGTGTTTATTAAAAATATTCAAGCTCAGTCGTCTTAACGTCTTCCTTGTATTTGATAACCGCGAACGAGAGGGTTTATAAAGAGAAATGTATCTGGTAGAGTTTTGAGTCTGTGCGGAAAAGAAACGTCGTGGGATTTAAGGTCATTGCAGTACTAAATTATGTCTTTGTTGTGTTGACAAAACTGTTTTGTCATTATCGTTTGATAGTAATCATCTTGATACTTAATATGAAAAATAATAGTATATAATTTTTGTAAATAATTAAAACTGCCTAGCAAATAATTATATTACTTAGTTCGCATAACTGCCACGCCGGTTTTCTCTACGCACAGACTCTTTGATACCCGGGTTTCTGCTTCGATTTCTTTGTTTTTATATCCCAAGCACCAATGAACATAGTCCAAATAGTTGCTCTGAATAGTTATTTGTCTGATGTTCATAACACATTACAATAATATTCCAATACGTAAATGCATTTTATGCTACATAAGGACATGTTTTTGCACGTGCCGTTTTAAAATACATTTTGAGCCATTGCCAACTGTTTTGCTTCATCCAGCCAAATCATGGTTTCCATTTCGGTCACTGACTTCTGAATCTTTGTCAAAATAAACTTTAATAGCTGGTTAATTACAGGTTTAAAAGATGGTCATAATTCTTATTGTTGGCATGCTTTGTTGACTCACGTAAATTAAATTTTCTTCTCTAAACTAAGCGAGATAAATCACTTTTATATTAAAGTGATGTTTCTCACACACTTCTCTTTAATAATCTAGAATAACACCTGTACTATCTTCCATTAATTAATTTTCTTTATATCCTTAATAACACCCAGTTAAGCCTACTATGCGATCTAGAACGTACAAAACAACCCACACACAGAAACACATTGATGCACAGAAGGAACTCTAACGCTTGACTTCAGGGTTAAGAAGCGCAACCATCGAACAAGGAAACCGCATTTTTTGTTTCATATTACATAACTGTATCACTCCCATATTTATCATATTTTGTACCACGCTATAATCCTCTGTCATAGTAGGCGAATACAATAAAAACTTTTACGTGGTGTGAATAATAATGATTCATACTATATCAGTATTAAATAAGCCTCTTACGTAAATTAATTGCGGAAAACTACTTCGCTCCACTTATGAAATTGATATATCTCTGTATCGCAATCGTGTGAAATATTTACAATTTTATAAACTTCAATTTAAACCTTTCGTTTAACCTTGGTGTAATGCGGATTTTGTAACGTTATTATGTGATATTGATGCTAATTCTGAAGTTCAACTCTTTATTAACTTAAATATATACATATTTTACTTTTACATAAATTTACTTTGTTTTAAGTTTAAGTTCGTGTCTGTACTTTTATTCTCCTTTCCGAAGTATAGGTTGAATATGTATGATAGGCTGTTAAATTTTAATTAAGAACTGAAAAGTGTACGCAAATGTTTATTTAATTTATTTTTAACAAAATAAGCTACTATTACAGATAACGCCAATGCGGCAACTAATTATATCACAAACAAAACAATACATACACATAGAAAAAACAACACAACATCAAACAGTAATAGATTAAAATATGTATTTACAAACAGACTAACTATTTCTTACAGTATCAGAAGCAGAGTTTTGTTAGTTCCCTCAACGTATGTACCTAAAAACGTTTGTTAATCTATGTAGTTCATTTTTTTTTCTTTATCCTTCTTATCATGTTACCTTTCATTGTCAGCTATGGAATCAGATTACATTAACAACCTTTATCTTCATTATTTAAAACGTATTAATCTTATAATTTACCGTTGACACTGGCTAAATTAATTTAGATTAATCCGTATGGACTCGCCTCCCAAGTCATACTTTATTTGTAGGTCCCAGATCAAAATTTAAGATTTATTTACTGCTGCATTATGTAATACTGTTTTTCTCTGTAGAAACGACTGGCTTTCAACCTCCCGAGCTAATAACGACCGAGGCCGATGTGGATCCAGACTCCGAAGAAGACGAAAAAGGAGAAAGAAAGGATTCCCTAGACGTACACGAAGAAGGTTTTATAATTTTTATTACATTTTTCTTTACGTATCTTGTCTTTGATGAAGAATTTTATGTTACAAAAATGTAAGAAATTTAATGTAAGGCCAATGCAAATTAAACATAAGGCTTATTCTAGTCAGTAAAATGGTTTAAAAGAGCTTTTAGCCTGGCATACAGTTCTCGAAATAGATTTAAGTTTTTTTGGCAAATCGAATTTTACATTACTATACACACTTTTACAATTTTTAGACACGAACAAATAAACATATTTTTATAACTTGCTTACTAGGTTATTTTTTTGCACAGACGAGCTATTTGAATACTGAAGCCAGCTAAGAGTTAACACCTGGATTTACAAAACATGCAGGTTGATTCAGGTTTTTATTCACTGTGCCGTGCTAACCTATTTTAGGGCTGTCCCGAACATTTGTAATCAATTTAATTTAAGATTCCTTATAAAACTCCTTTAGGGTGTTATATATGAAAATTGAAATGTACCCTTTACCTTAGAATTATTTGAATATACTTAGTCACTTGAATTCCTTCACATTTACATTTCTAACGCCTATTTCTCCAAAACCACAAAATTTTCCGTCTTCATAATTTATGAACCACTACGTACAGTTTGTAATATTGCCAACCCTTACGAAAAGCATTGCAATTTCTGCCGTGTTTTCTGATGTGTATCCAATTATCACACCTTATGCACTATGTCATGTAACGATTAATTGTACCAGTACCCAAACGTCTTAAGTAACAGACAGTCTATTGTACTAGTATTCAAACCTCAAGGATTAATTACGCAATGTGTGATCTTTTAACTAGATCGCGGTGCACTGTGATTGTTATCAAGATTTCTTGATATTTTGCAAACGTTTTTAGAAGCTTTCTTTAAATTGTAAAATCATAATTTAAATAAATTACAAAGGGATCTGAGATTTGAAGAAAATAATTACTGCAACCATCGAACTAAACATTCTATCTTTTGTAAGAAGCTTCATTATTCCTTGACATAACATGACATGAGCATAGGTGAAATTTTAATATCGATTAATATTTATCTTTTCCTGTTTCCTGTAGCGGTAAGACGCGCGGGAAAGACCTAATGTGTAATATGCACGACTCATGCATGAATCATGATGCAGATAATTTCCTCTGACCGCTTTCGAACGCTAGCACCGATGTCTCCTTCGTTTTTGCCATTGTACCCAAATAAATATTGTTAAGAGCAAATCGTTTTTAAAATACTAATAAATATACAAATTTTATTATGTTTTTATTTAATAGATTATTTTGATTTTTTCTCGTTAATTAAATACAATAATAATTGGTCAAAAACAAGTTTTCAATATTTACGTGACTCAGATTCGAAGTATTTCCGAGACATTTTAAAGGCACAAAGAACAAAGAGAAAGTAGAAAAAAACGAAAAGTAAATTAAAGTAATATTAATTGTTGGTAGGCGGTGGAGCAATGAGTGCGCTGGTTGCAGGACTTCGAAGAGCTGGTTCCGCACACTCCCTTTGTGTGGCTAAGAGCAACTCATCCTCGAGATCGTTACCGCCATCACCAAGCCATACACCAAGGTTAGGAATACCACGATATTTGTTATTGGATGGGAAAGGAGCTCAATTACTTCCGCCGCTACTAGGGAACATTATTATCATGAAAAAGATTTACGTGTCGCATAAAAGTAAATGTATGTAGATACTAATCTACTAATACTACGTAATATTACGGTTATAGAAATAATGCTAGTTAAAGTTTGAATTGCCTAGGAACGTCGCTAAGATCAATTCAATATTTTTTTGTTCCTATAAAGGTCAGGAACCTACAGAACAGGTTCTTACACTGATAATCATTTTTGAACTTTCCATAATTGTTTTCAACCGAGCTGGATTCTTTGTTTATAGGTATTATTTAAAAAATTGGGCGTATTATTTACAACAGAAAAAATTCATGAAAGTTAGGTATACAATACCTGTGATGTGATGATAGTGATGTCGTGAATCAAATGCTTGTCTAAACTGGACTTTATTCATTTAATCATGCATACGTATAATTTGTATTTACAATTTTCTTAACCTACAAAGTAATAATACAAATTATTAAAAAGAAAATTAAAACAATTAATAATTAATTAATTTTTTTTAATTATTTATTTGTCTTTATTCATTTGTAATAAGTACAAATATTCACCAGCTATTTGGGGCTTAGTAGTACGTTTACAAATTAGCAGCTACGAATATACCTACCCAGTAAATAATTCTAGCTTAGTCCAATTTGTGTACGGAATTAGAACCATTGTATCGGGCAGGAAGGGATCCCTGGAGTCAGGCAACCCGTTCAGTGGGTGTGGCGCGTCGTGGTTGTCCCAAGGGGAGGTTGGGGCGGTATTGGCCCCCGTGGTGCGGAGCGAATTGCCGCCCGACGCACTTCTTGCAGCCGCCCGAGATTCTGCGCCCGCCCTTGCCGCTGCTCTAACTGCCGCACAGATACATGATATGGTAAGTATAGGGAATAAGATTTAAAAAATTATATTGTACTCCTAATGTAAGTACGTTTGTACAAAAAATAACAAATTCGATGATTTTTGATTGGCGATAACCGCTTTGTTTTTAACTACAATTAATTGTTCTAGCTACAAGCCGTACGCGAAGAACTATCAGCTTCAGACGCAAGTGGTGAGGAGGGAGGAGAGGGCCGCGCCTGCGCGCTTACAGCTCTTATGCTGCATTGTTGCGCAGCCGCACAACTCGCACAACGGCCCGATAACACCTAACTCCTATTCCCATATTACTATGAAACTACAAGTGTCATCGATTAAGCGTAAACTATCACGTATAACGATAACGTCAGATCTTTTTACATAATTGTGAACCTTCTTTCTTTTACAGTATGGTTTAAATTCACTTGCATGTTATGTGAAATGCTCCTATTGACGAAGTCAATTTTTGTCTAGTGATGAATCATGTAAATATCCTTTTAAATAGTTAAAACTATTCCCTTTAAAGGGGGTTAAAACTAACCCCTAGAAACCATTTAGATAAAGATGAGGGGGTGAGTTCCAGAACTGACTTAAATATATAACGTGTCCTTTAAATGTTTGTTACTCACGCTAGGTTGTCTCGGGAGTATTTTTAATACATAGGGGAAGATCGTTACCCTTCGTACCGGGGCACATTCATACAGTCAAAATAAAACTTGAACGAAATAAAGTACAGTCTTGCTTTTGTATGTGTGCATGAGTCGAGGTACCAACTTACATCAACGAAGTTTCGTGAAATTCGCACCGATGAGAGTGAAGTTACAGGCATAGACGTGTTTTCGCCTCGGTAAGTAATTTTTTGATCTATGTTTTTATCTCTTGTTACCGTAGATAAAATAAGTTTTCGTGTAGAGTATTCTATCAGTAACTAGCAAAATATACTTAAGATACGTCTCCAATACTTAATTTATGACGTTTTCCTATTAATATTAAAATAAGTTATATTTTGTTGTTATTCAGTTAGTGGGGTACATTCGGACAGCACTAGATGGGGCAATTTGTACGAATTGTACAACTAAATTTGTATAATAATTTGTCGACGCAACTGTCTTTTTCATACAAATTAAGTTTTCGACTTTCTACATATTACACTACTGTTAAGGCATCTTGACTAAGGTTGATTTTTGATGCTTGTGAACCAGATGCTGTGAATAATTTACCAATCCATCAAATAGTAGTTCCTTCGAAGTCAGTTTTGACACCAGAGGCATTTCGACCCTATTCGCATTCTTAAGAAGTAATAAAACAAGCAAAATGACCGGCCAGAAAACCACGAATTTATACTGCACACCCGAAAATAAGAAGTTGTAATCCACACCAAAGAGTAAAAAATGTAATTCTAAATTTAAGATACCTAACTAATTAAATTTTGTTTTACATAAGAAAAGTATTTTATTTTTGTTTAATAGAAATTAAATCTTATTTTTGTGTTTAATTTCATTGCTAATAAATGAATTTTGAACTACCCCACCGTAAGAAGGTACCCCAAACACTGTACGAAGGTGCCCCTATGGGGCAGATTCGTACGTTTTCCAGATTTAGTTTAAATCATAATTATGGTTGAAACATCGGATGAAATCATTTGTCATTTTTTTATTTGAATCTCAGATAGTTAGACTATAAATTTAAGCTTCAGGTGATTGATTCATGGAAAAATAAAAAAATTAAAAAATAAAATGTGAAAACCGTACGAAGGGTCCCCACCTTCCCCTACTCCTTTTATAAACGTGGGATGATATACGCAATATCGTCTAATAGTGAAATCTTTTATCCCTTTTCCTTAGTAAGGCAGGCATATCCACGATACTACTAATTCCGTGATTTAAAACGAGAGAAAATAGGAAACACGGGTGCTAGAGGTTAGATTCAGAAACGATACTTGCGTGAAATATGGCATTAAATTTACATTTTTGGCGCACCGAAGTCAGACTTAGAGCTAATTTTCGTTTCTGATACCTTACTCTAGGATTAAGGATTATTATAATACTGGTTCTAGTATCCGTGGTTTGCATACAATATAGTGTAGTTTATAATTAGAATTTGGTCAATTAGTCAATTCTAAAGTCGTCTCAGATGCCGAAATCCGCCCTAACTACATATTGTTATATACAAGGTTTACTAAAAGACTCGCATTTTTATTTACTTTTTTATTCCGAAACCACCCTTAAAATAAATCTATAAAGACGTCATCGCAAAGCACGAAGTCTGCATGATTGTTGAGACTTATAGTAAACCTAAAAGTTGGTCAGAATTTACGAGAGAAAAACGGTCTTAAAGGTATTTGCCTAAAAATGTAAATAGGAAATTATTTACTAGTTAATGAAGAACAAACTATGTGTATAATATTAAGGTGCAATTTTGCTTGTCGTTGCTGTTATGACTCATTGTGAGGAGAGCGGGGTCAAACTGATCTCGAACTTCTCACAATTGGATACATTAAATGCATTGTTCATTGTGTTCCTTTGTTTTAATGCTTTATATTTCCCTATAAGTTTGTATATATTTGTTATGTAAAATCGACTAAGAGAGGTTAAACGTATTTGGATAAAATTATAGATAGTCATTACACTAAAGTGACTATACCTATTAAATGCAATGTTTGGTGTGATCATTCCAATCAAAAACGCTACATACCCTTGTAAATAAAGTCGCAAGTAAACAACTAGACACAAAAGTTTGCTCAGTGGGCAAAATATTTAATTCAATTAAAAATAAAATCGTTAAAATAATTTGCAAACACGTCCTGTCGTTAAATATAGGAAATTAAAAATTATTGGCCATCTATTCAACATCCGCCCATAATGTAAAGAAACAAATAATATTTTCCTGTACAAAGCTGAAGCTGTTTGGCCATTTTCCAGATTTTCCTGAAATAGCACAAAGGATACACCGATGAAAAACTTCTGCGAAATGTCAGCGTACCGTTATGGTGGAATATTCTGTGCGTCACTAACAAAGATTTGTTCCAACAATTGTTAATGTCACATCCCGTTACGAATAGGCAAATTTAAATAGCGTTTTTAGCGCTTATTCGGCTCTGGTACATATATATTTCATATACATTTTAGTAAAACACATTAAATAACGAAATGTTAAGCAACGTATAAATACAATAAGTACTTATACGTTGATTAATAGAGACACAAAATGAAGAGAACAAAAGCAGTAGTAGGCAGTAGGGTATATTTCTGTTTCGTTAATAACTTTTCTTTACAAACATGGACAGACTAAACATTAGTTACCTAATCGCTAGGACTTCAAACCTTACGGAATAAATCAGCTGTCCTAAATGTGATTATAGAATGTTAATTTTTGATTATAAACTTTCAGGTAATGTGTAATGAATATATATTATAGAATCGATAATGTGGTTGAAATTACGAAATAGGTTAATGAGGATGGAAGGATAAGGCACCGTGAGCATGCCTAGCATAAGCATGCAGTGTGATTAAAAGATCTACTTCATAGATTTTGCATGTTAAATTGAAAGCGTGGGAGCGAATGCAGCGATTTCAGTACTAATATTTAACATATATTAGTACTGAAATCGCTATTTATTTATTTACACATTGTTACTTTATACAAACCATACATATACAAAATTCAGGTTACGTAAGTTATTAGGCAACTGGCGGCATTATCGCTCCAAGCGATTTCTTCCAGGCAACCCTAGGATGGATAAATGAAAAAAGTAACAGAGGGTAAAGTACAAGAAGTGCATTAATATTTTTTTTTTCATTTTGAGGTTACCTGGAAGAAATCGCTAGTTAGCGATAAGGTCGCCTGTTGGCTTATAACTTATGTAACTGGTTTTATATATTATGTATGTTAATGAATGTTTAAGGTACTGAGTAAATGAATAAATAAATATCTGCTAAAACCATGCAATATCTTGAATGAACAAATTCGCTTTGTGTTAACATACCATGATTTAGCAAATTCATGAATAATGAAGTGAGTGCATTTCAAAATTTAAGTCGTTCTCTTTGAATGATGAAACGCAATATGTGAAATATAAAATTTATACTGACACGTTATTTGGGGCATGAGAGGAGGAAGCCACTTTCATAGAGCCAAGGTTTTTATGAAATTCGGAATAATATTAGATCATAATTTTATACGTAACGTATATAAAATTTGTACATTAATTAAATTTATGGATTGAAGTGAATGGAAATACCTTGGTAGGTACGGGCTTTTTTGTGCGTCATAAATCACCATAAAAATATGTATGGAGAGAATGCATCTATGTACATCTCGTTATTCTCGGTTACTCAATATTCTATACGGTCTGAATTAAGGGATAGATACAAATACTATGAAACAGATCACATATGTACTTTCTATTTAAATAATTTGTTAATTAAAAACAAGCTTCAGAAACTAAAGCGCAATTCCAAATAATAAAGCGTTTGTTTATCCTTACTGCATTGCCGTGTTTACTAGTACTTTAAATAAATAGACATCTCATGAAATTAAATTGGACCACGGGACTTTGTTATACACTGGTTTTTGGCAAAGCTTCAAGGTTTCCAAAGAAGAAAATCTGCGTCTCTGTTTGGCCAAGACATCAAAACATTGCGTTGAACGAACTTTTGGAACGTCAATGTGACGTCATAGCATGCTTCATCACCCTCTCTTGTTTAAAACGTCTAAACAAAAGAAGAACAAAAACAATTTTTCTGTCGGTAGAAGTTGAATACATGAATTAAACTACGACTAATGTCAAATTAAGTATACTCTCGTATTTGTATTTAATAGAAAACTAAAACATTTATCTTGTTAATATTAGGATTAGCCAAGACCATCACTAAAGATTTTCCAAATGACCACATAGGCGTAAACAATCTCCCCTCGAAGATGGTGATAAATCACCTATTATTAGTAATTAATATCATACACGGTTTATTTGATTAAAGTTTCCAATGTTTATAATATTTTTAAAAGGAAATTTGTACCAAGCGACACATCACAATCAGTAACCCAAACAATCGTACATTTAATCACCGATTAGGCGATAAACAAAGACAATCTGATTAATAAGATCCTGAGCTCTCGAGAGTAAAAACAATGAGGCCACCTAAATTGGTTCATTGTTTATTAATAAGGGGGCAATATTTCGTATTGTGAAACGTTGTATATTCCATTAATTTTCCACGTGCTTCCGCGAAAAGACAACTTGCATCAACTACGCAGCAGACGGATAGACATTTGTTATTATTCGCCTCTCGCTCGCACGCCATGCTTCTTTGTTTTGACGAAGATATAAAGGCAGGTTGAGGCCGCGCTCAAATTTAACAGTGTTGCCGTTCAGCCAGGCGCTACGCGTTTCGGAACGGTTTTGCTACATCATTTATTTTCATGTAATACGAAGTTAATTTGGAAAAGTGCAATAGTGACATCAAGTGTAGTGACAAGTGCAGTGATGAGGCCCCCATCGGAATATAATGACGCCAGGATGCCCGCTGAGGCGGAGCAGGGAGATACTAGGGCTCCTGCTATGATGATTTGCGCGAGATTAGCTGGACGAGCGATTATAAGGGTTGTTGGACGTTGTGAGGATGCACAGGAAAACAGTCAATTAGGTACGTTAGACAATTTTTTTTAAATATTAGGTAAATGGTATCTATGTTTAGTATATTAGTTATGAGGTATCAGATAGATATAAAATATTATTTAGTTTGACCTTATATAATACATAAACCTAATGATACAAAAACAGTTTTGTCCGTAAATAGTATCTAATCCTAAAACAAAGCTGTAAAATAAAACATCTACAAATATATGTTTGTACAGTATTACGAATTATGTTTCCAATAACAAAATGTTTCGTTTACCTACTTATGCAAAGTACATCGTATCTTATCTAATAATCTACGTTGTAGCGATCTCCTATTTTTGCATTCATACGAAACTAGAGCAATAACGATAATAGCGCAATACATTATTTTAATTAACCCGCTTACTTAAATTAATTTCTGAATGTGGCCCGTGAATGGACTTCGATGACCTGACATATGCGACCTTGACCCACAGCGCGTAATTAGACAAGTCGTTAGGCCTAAATTCAATGTTATTGCGTATTGAGAGACAGCGCAAATGTGTAGATATGTAATTAAATGTTTACATATTTTGTGGCACAGGAAAAAAATCGTCTAAGAAAAAAATTTAAATCTAAAAAAAATTGAGCTGCAGTTTGACAGTTATTACGTACCTATTGGACACAGCTTAGTCGTCTTAATAGAAATTCTTTAATACTATAACTAGAACTAAATTCTTTAGTACTATTAAGACGACATGACCATATGACTAAAACCTGTCAACGTTTGATAGTTAATGAGAATTTATTTTTTACACTGTACACTTTATAATATATTTATATAATTACAAATATAATTCATAGATATCAGAAACGTACAATATATCTTGCCTGTATCATAAATTATTAAATATTCTTTCAATTTTTTTTAAATTAAACACACGGGAATATAATAATTCATTGTAAAAATGTCCTTTTTCATTTTAGGGTCGATTCGACCAAACTCCAATTTATACACGAGTAACTATACCAAGAATAATCTATTCCAGGATTTTAATCTCGAGTAAATCCATAGTCGTTTGTCCACGTAATCGATAGTATAATTGCGCTAGGAATAACAACAATACGCGAATAGCAAGAGAATGGTGAACGAAAATAAAACTCGGCAAATAAATGTTGTTCTACAACGGGACAGTGTAAGAGCATACATCATGTCAACTCGATTTTGCCGTATTATAGAGTGAAAAAGTAGCTTTTAACAGGTGTCAAACGACAACAAAAAGTTTTTATTTCTTGTTTGTTTGAGGCTTTCGTCTAAAAAGGAACTTCTGTTGAGCCTAGTTGAATTTCATTCTAATATTATAGAAAATAAAATATCTAAAAATAAATAAATAAATACTAAATTGTTTAAACGTTTCATTATACAATGCCAGACTATTAATTTAGTGCGTTGCGTTGACTTGAAATTAAAATACAGAATACATATTTGTGAAATGACAGAAATCAGCTGATTGGACTGACTGACGCCATTAAATTATTCTAGGAATAGCTGTTATAATAGCTGTATAGTAGCTATTCCCGAATAAGACCACTATTCTTAGAATTTGTAGTTGGTAAAACGTAAAATTGATTTACTCTCGATTAACTGACGATTTATTCTAAGATTAAGATTTACTCTTGTTTGGTCGAATCGGCCCTTAGTAAGTTATCACCAGATTGCAACCCATACCTATGCCAGTTTGCAACCCTATGGTTGCAAACTGGCATGGACGGCAATTGTTTCATCTAATAAAATAATTCAATTATTTTTAAATGACTACTCGATGTTAGAACATTTCCTGTGTCATTAACTATTGTATATATCGTGCTTTATTGCGACAACGATGGATCGAGGTCAAGCATTTTTCTCTTTTCCGTATATTATGTATCTATCACTTAGGTACAATATATAAATTACCGTTTTTAAATCTACAATTTTTCCAGGCATGCAATTTTTTTTAAAGACTATGCGTATATATTATGTCTAACATTTCTTTCCAAAATTATCTCTTTTGTCGTAAGACAAAATAGAATAAAGTAGAAACCACTCTTAATTTTTTATACACGTTGTCCGTGCATTGAAATAGTTAAACTGAATATCTAATCTGTAGATATTATAAAAAACCGTTACCTACAAAATAAATGAATCCTAATTTTATTACGACGACGACGTCTGCGATCACATGGTCATTACAATAAGTATAAAGACATAAATCAAGCTCTTGTTTATTGAAATTCACATAATTAGAATTATAATTATGTATTCACTCTATATTTTTATATTTTAAAACAGCCGCATAGGGAACCTAATCATTCCTGTTAGCCCTGTTGCTTTCATCATCAAGGCACAAACAGCAACAATTTATATAACTATTTAGTTCAAAACGTATGACATAACTTTGTAATAAAAACTGATTTTATAAAACGCGCAACTTCCTACCGGTTATTAGTGGACAAACTACCGCATTTTCCATCATAATGATCCCAATCTTTTGTTAATGACCGCGTTTACGTAACAGCTTTCTAAAAAGTAGCCACATACCTATTCTTTAAACTTAGTAGGCTTACAGCTTACTTTCTATGGGTTTTATCTATCTTATCTTACCGTTTTTAAATAACTAAAAAAAGTGATTTATCGTTGTAACTAGATTTAACTTTTATAACGTTAAATAGTAGATAATCTTCTCATGTCTCATTTTTTTTAAATCGAAATTATAAAATCTTATAAAATTAAATTGGTGAAGTAAATTGTAATTTTTTTAAATTGTAATGACGCTGGTACGGAGGTTGGTACACGCACTACAACTATAATAATTTAAAAAAATATGCAGTTGCAAATTTAATCATGGAGATTTTACATACTATCGCAATTATTATACAAATACGAAGATATCTCGTAAAAATTGTGAAATTTGCGAGGTCAGTACGTTGCTGTTATTGTTCGTTTCATTCTGCCTTGTAATTGAGGTATTTCTTACGTTTCCCTGAAAAAAATTACAGACAACGTCTATTATTTTAAATTAAATCTGCATAAGTTTCAATTTCTATAAGATCTATATATACTTAGTAAAAATTTAGTAAACCGTCACCAAGCTTAAATGCTGGCGACCTTATGATTTACAATAACAACTTTTTTGATTATTTCATATAAGAATGTATGGTCTTGAACAACTTCCCGATCAGATTAAAGTGCTTGCTTTTGCTACTATTTCTTAATTTAATAAACAAACAGATAATTTTCTAGGACTTTGAGACAATCTGTATAAAAAGTTTTGAGTTAGAATTCACAATTTTTGTATCATTGTGTTCATGCGAAACTCATTTTGTTGTTCATCCAAAACGAAGCATTGACATTTGACACAGGTTCGAGAATCAAAAGTCATACGAAGGGGTAAGATTTGTAATTGTCTACATCTAATATCAATTAATGATGATAATATTAATTTATCCATTTATGGGAAAGGCAAAGTAATATCAATTAAGCCAGCCAGTGCCAAATATAAGATGCCAATTGCCAATATACATATACGGCCAAAATTAATAATGTATCCTCAATCTATGATTATAACCAATCTTGGACTGATTCATATCTAAAGACCGATCTCCAATCTGCATGCCAATAAACATTTCTGCTATCCGATTGTTTATTTGACAAAAGATTGACAGCAATCTTTTGCGTGATCCTTGCCTCTCGACCGCGTTTCGTTCAATGCAATATGTTGTGTTCAAGCATAGTACCAAAAGTTTGCTGTTTTTGGAACGAAATAAAATAAGTAAGACTTAGGGTCTGTTTCACAATGTATGGATAAAGTAGCAAATAGCTATGCAACGTTTTGTTTGTTTTTTTGTTACGAACAAATAAAGTTACAAAATTCTATAGAAAAACATAGAACCTCAACCTTTTTGTTGGTCATTTAATATTACTTGTAACGAAACGGGCTGTCATTTTCATATGGTATTTTTGTTTGTCAGGTTATTGAGTATTTTAGTACATATTATTACAAATATAAATTTTCTCTGAGTAGTTTGTGTATGTTGTTTTTGTGATTCGAGGTTGGTTCTTTAACTTAAAAAAATGTCTACGCAAAAACGTGAAAGAAGCGTCAATTTCAGCCGGGAAGAAGTTGACCTTCTAACTTCGCTTGCTGCTGACCATAAAAATATATTAGAAAATAAAAAGAGTGACTCAGTCACCTGGCAGGAGAAAGAGCAGTGCTGGAAGACGCTGGAGGCGCTGTTTAATAGCACAAGTGGGGTAAACCTTCGCAGTGCTAAAGCTTAAAGAGGGCTACAAGAAAAAAGTCTTGATACATGCTGAAACATATCGTACAGGAGGTGGCCCTAGTGCTGCTACTCGTCTTACCCCCTATCGAGGAAAAAGTCAAAGACATGATATTGTTGTCTGTCGAAGGAAATGAAAGTCAATTGAAAGGAAGAGCATCTAAAGAAGAGAAAGCAATGGGCATTTGAAGAGGAAGAAAGAGAGCATAAAAGAGGATTATGGGCCATAGAAAAAAATATATTGTTAAATAAATTAGAAAAATAATAGATTTTGTGCCTGGAGCGAGGATGTATTGTATTAAAAATTTGTATTTTTATTTAAATAAAAGCATTGAATTTTTATTTAATTTATCTCAAAAATGTTGTAATTTATAAAATATTATAGTAATAAAGCAAAATAATCACTTATAAGATTACTTCGCACACTTGCAATTCCCACGTTGTCAATTGCGCTTTGATCAATATCATCAGCTGGTTCATCTACTTGTTGCAGTAGTTCAAAATGTTCATCTCGCATATCAATAGCAATATTGTGCAACACTGCACATGCCACTATCACGGCTTGTACACGAGATACTTGAAGCAAAACCTTTTTTGACAAACCGATTTTGGGGAACCGATTTTTTCCAAACACCATATTATGTCCTTTCCACCACATTTCTGCTTCGTATTTGAGATTCGATATAAAGATGTTCTGCTGGAGTCTTGAGGTTTTGAAGTGGAGTTAGTAGGTAGTATCTATAGTAACAAATATTTTTGGTTGTAGCTAATATTTAATTTTTTTTTACAAAAGTTGATGAAAAGATGAAACCTGCAAGAAGTCATATATGATAGACATCACTTTGTGTAAAAGTGTCTCCAAAGCTTCTTTTGTTAACCTAAATCTAAATGTGAATTCGGCGTCATTTAGGCTCTGGATATAATAAATTCTTGTCTTCTTATGTCTTCGCACAGAAGTACGTTGTCTTCTTCCAGCTTCAGAATTACTATCCCAATCGGATAATTGCATTTAAACTTCCAAATCACTATCACTAGAACTGGAAGATGACGAAGATGAATAAATTTTCCCAATGAATATTAAGTTAGGTCGCAATCCCAAACCCAAATCATACGAGTTTCACCGATAGCAATCCGAGATTGATTTGGCCAATCGAAGCAACTGTAAAAATGGACAGATAGGTTGTTGGCATGAGTAAACATTCATTTTCATACAGAGGGCAATCTTCAATCTCTTATCCGCCCTCTGAACGATTGGTTGAATAATTAGATTGGTATCTCAGTCCATGTATTGAATATTGGCATGCTTTTCTTTAGAAATGGATTGAATTGTCAGTCTATGACAGCTAAAATTGGATTGAGATTGCGTATTGGTTTTGGCCGTTATTGACCAAGTATAGTAGATATGAAATTGACAGTTCGTACTTCGTATCGACAATCTTTCGTAAAAAATAAAAATTACAGGGTTGAGGGGGCTTAGACAAGATGCCTTAACAGTAGTGTATGTAGAAAGTCGAAAACTTAATTTGTATGAAAATGACAGTTCGTACTTCGTGTCGAAAAATTTCCGACATGACTTGACTAAACCCCCAGGTCGTGCAGGCCAAGAAAGGGGACAAAACCCCCAGGACTGGCGGCTGGCCTCTGGGTTTCTGGTTTTGTAAATTATTAGATTGCATAGTACGTTCAATTGAGTGAATTATTAATCAATTATTTATAGTATTTTCTTTTCTGTTTTCTAATTATACTCTATAATTGTTACATCTGAAGCGGAATGTTGTTGTGGTTGCTTTAACGTCAATAGATTTAACATTAGCAGTTAGCATGTTTCAAAATCTATATAGTCTTACTAGTACTTATACCAAGTTGCCATTGTAGGAAAGTCTGTAAATAACAAAATTAGAACGAGTCGATATATTTATAGATCAGTATTCAGTCGTAAGCAACTGAACTACGCATAATAGCGAATTTAGTTCTACACGTCTTTTCATTAATTGAAATAGTCGAGACAGTTTTTGATATTAATACAAATGGCTTTAGCTGTAACAAGAGTGATTCTCAAGTGTGAGGATGCCCAAGAAACACAAATATTAGGTAACAGTTTCTTATATTGTTTTATAAATTTATCAGCAAAAGCATCTTAATTTTCTGGGACCATCAATAGATTTGTATGTTAATATCTTTTTTAATTGAATTAGAAAAATGCTGTATTGAGTCTGAAAGTTCTATTTCACTTTCTAATGTAAAACAAAATTAAGACTATAGTTCAACTTAAAAATACTACAATTTTTATTATGAGGAATAACACAATTCTTGTAATGTCTTTACAATTTTTGAAGTTACAGTGTACATAAGTACACGCACCCTTTTTTTTTAAATATGACTCAAGTTCTTTTTTATATTGTTACAGATTTATCAGAATGTCAACTAATGCAAGTACCAGATGCTGTGTACCATTTGATGCGGCACACAGAATTAAAAAGCTGTGACCTCAGTGGCAATGTTATCACAAAAATTCCACCAAAGTTTACTGTTAAATTTAGTTTAATCACAGGTATGTTAAAATTATAAATATTTGCAGATAGCTAAAATCTGAAGTACCATACAATGTGCCCTATTCTTGTATGTTCATATTAGGATTATGGATTTAATTGTAGCTAAAAATATCACAGTTTCTCATACTTTTGACATTTTTTTCTTTATTAACTGAAATCTAGGAAACCCTATATAATTTTTACATGGCTTGTTACAGACTTAAACTTAGCAAATAACCAAATAGCCAAACTACCAGATGAGCTCTGTACTTTGGCATGTTTAGAACGACTGGACATCTCACACAACTCCTTTGTGGCCCTACCTCACATAGCCTGCCAGTGCCCAAGCCTGCATACACTACTCGCACATCATAATCAAATTATTGGTACATGATTTTCTTTTCTCTAATTATACTTCAAATTTATATTATATTTTATAAGTTTAAGCTAACTCCCCCACTTCTGTTTTATATGATAGAAATTTTAATTGATTATTTCATTTAAAAAGACCTCTTGTTATCTATGGAAATGGAAAGTAATTAATCTTTTTACATAAGCTCTGGATTCAAACAAATATGATAGTTCTTTCAGTATATTATACTGTATTTTTTCAAATTTCAGAAGTCGATGTTAATAGATTAGAGAGGTCTCGGGCACTTGAATATGTGGATCTTAGTGATAACCCTCTTCCACCACGGACATATGAAGAACTTAAACAGCTCACCCACCCTCGGCTATCTATGTCAGAGCGACAGAAAGAAGATTGGGAAGAGGATCTTATACTTTAAGAATTTTCCTAAAAGGAAATAGATAATATGGAGATTGTGACCTTAATGTAACAAAAAACTGTGCTTTTATGAAGTTATTTAGACATTAGCACAAATGTTTTGATAAATTTGTATTGTATATTATTTTAATTCAAATAATGTAATATACATTATTTAAACTAAAGTGGTTTACAGCTTGGCAGACTACAAAACTATTATTGCTATATTATATTAAGCATGCTTTATTGAGCTGTTCCTCTTTACAAAGTGATTAAACAAAAAAAAACAAGAAATGTAGTTTTTTAAGGTTACAATAACCTGGTGCTTCCTAGGAAAGGATGGTCCTCATTAACTGTGATTATGTAAATGAACATAGTAATCCTAGTTACATAGATTTAATGTGTCAAACTCAAAGATTTTTGTACTTAAGAGATTGTGATAAGTATAATTAAGCAATAGTCAACCATAACATCATCTAGGCTATAACGATTTTCAGAGTTCATTCAGAGCCTGTAGATTTTTACAATCACTTGAAACCTTGTTTTCCAAAATCTGTCAATAATTATTTTAAGTGTGAAAGATATGAAAGTTATTAGTATTATGTCTTATGACAAGTACACTAAAGTATTTTATTTTTCTAAAATACCTATTTTAATAATATTGTATAAAATAATTTTCTGACTCACAAAAATTAGTTACTAAGTTCAAATTAGTTAATCACTAACAAAGATTTTTTTATGTTATAGCTTGTTTATAATCTGAATTATTCACGCTTTTTGTAGATTTTATTATTATTTGGCATAATATCAAGCATTACAATCTTTTTTATAAGAATGTGTTTGTATCTTATGGTGGTTCATAAAAAATACTTTATGTAAATAAAATAATTTAATAGATTTTGTCTTCTTAATTTAATCTATTTTCCTAAATTCATTAAAATAATAAAAAATATTCTATTGATGAGTCCATAAAGTTTGTAACCAGGAACGTTTTTCGTTCTCTTACTCTTTTACGTTGAAAAAACTATTACAGTGAGCTAAGACAGTTGACACGAACGGTTAAATGAATAAACCCTTTTTGAACCGTATATACGAAAACATGAAATTATAAATGACAGCAGCGATTGCTTCAGACATTTTCCTTGTCATAACAAATAATTCCGAAATTTAGCTCAGTAATAGATATTAATGGCTGGAGGAGTAGAAGATGACCCTAATTTAAAAGGCTTCAGTCGTATTTTTAACAGTCAAACCAATAGGGGCCGAGCAAACGTAAGTAAATATTAAAATTCTGGAAACACATAAATATGTCAGGCCTCACCCATAAAACGTGGCAAATATTTGAGAAGTATGTACTAAATCTGTTGTTGGCACTGTTGAATAATCTTAATATATATATATTTCTTGTGTGCGTGTGTATGTGACTGAACTTCTCTCAAAATGGAGATGATGAAATTTTTGTGTGTGTTCAAGGGGATCTGGGAATGGTTTAGATTCACAAATACCAGATGGCACTGCAGTCGGTACTTTCATACTTTGCTTAATATCCTAATCGCTTTAAATATCATGCAGGACAACGTCTGTGGGGTCCACTAGTAATATATAATACTTGGTATTAGCCCGCACAATATTTCTCAAAGCCCTTTGGAGGTTGCTCTTGCGCTTGGCATTCTGCAACTCTTCAACGTAATAGTATTTTATACGACGTCCTAGTGGACAGAAAAATTGTGTCCAGTTTGTGTTTCACACACCAACTTATTTTCAATTTAAGATCATTTATATAATAAATTAAAAAAATCATATCTGTATAAGAGACGGAAGAGAAAATACAAACTTAATAATATTGTAATCTGCATTTCCCCCGCAAAGCCGGAACCTAATTCAAGGTCATATAAATAGTATGGTTCCTTATTAAGATTAATAAAAACTAACAAAAAGTTTATTTTAGGTAACCAAGGCTACCTATTCCTTATTAGCCGTGTACTATGTGTATTATAAATTATTCAAATCTTCAACAAAGAAAAAAGATAAGAAGTAAGATGAGCTCAAAAGAAAATTAAAAATCGCGATTGGGATCCAAAATTTAAGGTATTCAGTGTCTACCTATTCCTTATTAGAATATAACTATATTTAAAAATAACCAGAGGCGCTACCTATAGCTTCCATATCTGTTTCGTGATCATTATTTTTTCTGCAATTATAGGTGTTCAGCCTTCTGCGCCTGAAACACGCCATCGAATTTCTGGGTATCAGGCATGCCGGTTTCCTTATGTACTATATTTCAAATCACCGTTTGAGCAATTGTTAAATGCACACATAGAAAGAAAGTTCAACGGTGCACAGCCGGGTTCGAATCTATCCTTGGATACGAGTCTTACGTTCAAGCGAAAGCTACTTATAACGATTTTTACGACGTTATGCGTCAGAATCAGAGTCGACATAACGCTAAGTGTGGGTCTCGACTCTCGACTCTCGTATGTTAATTCCAATACGTTTTTGATAAACTGGAATAAAGTGGTATAATATGTTGCAGAGTATATCATTAAAATGATAGAAAAAAATATGGGTGACACGGAATTTCGGATACAAATAAAAAAAAAGACACAAAGCAGGATGTCACGCCAAGTTTAAGGAACTGTCGACCATAACCTAACCCCGATGGCCGATACCCGGATAGGATCGGCTGATTTAAGGATTTAAGGGGGTTTGTCCCCCGCCGCGCCCCCCCCCCGCCAACCTCGGGGGGCGCCCCGCGCCCCCCCCCCCGTTCCCCCCCGGGGGGCCCCCCCCCCCCCCGCCCCCCCCCGGCCCCCCACCATACGGTTGTTGTATAGGATCGGCTGATGCCTGATTGTTGTCGGGTGGAGCCGGGCGCCCCACAAATTCTTGGGGGTGGGGGTCCAACAAAGGGCCCCAAAAATTCAACAAGTCCAAAAAAAATTTTTTTTTTTTGGGGGATACTGATTTAAGAGATTTTTAAAGAAGTTGAAAGTGTCTGCGAAAGAGTTTAATTTTGGCAAAATAATCCAAAAAAATTCCTTGACATGCCAAGATTAAACTTTAAGCCGCGTTTCCACTGTACTGTTGACCTAACATGTTTATACACATATGAGTTGTCAGTTGTCAGTGTTTTTGAATAATAACTTTAAGAGCTGTCAACTGTCACTAATTGAATTCACAGTAGGCGACTACTGTGTGAATTGAGTTTTAAGGTTGTTATTACATAAGAATAAAGATTTAACAGGTATAAAGTTTTATATTCTATTATTTTAACTTTACAAAAGGTCTTCTAGATCTTATAATGGTAACTGCGATATCATTACAGAATGGCCGGTGAACCAGTTGATGAATCCCAGTTCAAGGGTCTCTCCAGATATTTCAACAGCTACACAAACAACGGCAGGGCTAATGTATGTATATTTTAATGTTCATACTTTTTACCCCTATTCTAGACGACTTAAATGAGACATGTTACTATTTCAACAACCCAAGTCCATCAGTATATCTTCAATAATGGAGTTGACTGACTTACAATATTTTAAATTCTGCTTTTTATGAAAAGGATTTAAGGCCTTCTAATATCCACATACGTACCAGCAGAAACTACTTAAAAGAAATGGAAGAGTAATGTAATATATTTTAATTTCAGACCGCTAAAGCTACATATGCATTCTTTGGTGTAGTCATACTGTACTTCATGTTGAAACCTAAGAAGGTGGCAGCACCTGTGTCTAACTAGGCAAAAGCAAGGAACTTTAAATTATTTTAAGTCTTTGATGTAAGATCAGTTGTATAATAGAAGAAATTAAAATCATGTAAAACCAAATTGTTTTTTAATTATGTTGCTATCTTAAGAAAGCTTAAGGTTACCTAATAAATAATAGGCAGAGAAAAGGGCACTTAGATTGATTGTTATTAAAAATAAAAGACCAATTTGAATAAATAGTTTATAATATAATCATACATATTTTACACACCTCAGCTGAAGCACAAAGATAAATTCTTTGGTGATCAAAAACATTGGGATTCAAAAGCAGTATATCATATTTGAATAGTATTATAGCCAAATTAATATCTAATATGATATTACATCTATTTTGTGCTGTCTAATATTTTACTTAGATTAACAATTTACAAGTGACTGGTTGAAAAATATTAAATTAATAATTGTTTTAATATAACTAGTAAATTTATAACAGCCCTGACATAACAAAAGTTGTTATACATAAAAGTGTTAATACATACTTTTTTGCAATATGTATATTCTCTAGTAAAAAAAGATTGTGACTAGTAATAAGTAACTAATATTTAAAATACTCAAATGATATAAATGGTTTTATTGTAAATTGTTAATCAAAATGGAATATTATAACACTGAAGCTCTAGCACCAAAACCACCATTTCATACAGAATAACAGTATTTCACAATCATATAATTATAATGAAATTTCCATGGATTACAGTATAATATTTATTGGTAAAAAACATCTTATGAAATAAATATCTCATCATCATATCTATGACTAGCATTCACCTTTTGTTCTTTATAAAAACTACCAAAATCCTTTCACTTTGAGTCACAAGCCAGTAAAATCTAGAGAATACATTAAATTAAATTTTCATATTAATAAATGACAGTCCAAAAATTATCCAGGGTTAAGAGGCAGATACTCATAAAAATAAAAACATAGTCACATAATAAAGTAATTTAAGCATATCTTCCTTTACCATTCATCCTAATACAGATACTTTTAATACTAATATAAGCGTTGAGTAGTGGAGTAATTTTTTAATTCAATCAAGTGACTGGAATGGCATATACCTAATCTTTATGTTTTAACTTACACTTAACCTAAGAAATTTTCAGTTGTTTGAAGGCGGAATATAAATTGTATAATTGAGCTGCATTTCGTAATATCCCAAGCTTGTAAATTATATTATGGATATTGAAGGCCCCTAATAAATTATTTTACAAAATCATTAAATAAACACTCCAATATTCAATTGTTAAATGTAAATAGCCTTAATCATTACACTTATATTTGTATACACAGGTAAGAGCTGCAAGCTATTTTCTGACAAATAAGGTATTGAAGTGTAAATCATTTATCATAAGCGGTGGTGACATTAAAGGAACATACATAAAAAAATACTTTTGTAAAGACGTATCGTGTGTTTTCAAAATTTCATGTATTTGATGTCAAAACTGTCATATAGAGGTAGTTTCACAATTATGTTGAGGTAAGCTAAAGCTAAAGCTGAGTAAATCAAGACTGTTTCAACGAGATTCGGAAGCAAATGACGGTTAATAAACGCAACAATACTATCTATACATAAATCTTATAAGTGGACTATATTTTACTGTAAGCAAAATTTTTTGTATTATTACAATTCTTGTGAACTCGTTAAACCTTTATTGCTTTATAATTAAGATTTTCTTCGTAATGCACAAACATCTTATGCAACGTCAGCCTAAACGATCATGTTATCTGGAATCAAACTTCAGTCTTAACAATTGTCAAATGTTTGACAATTGACAGTGCTCTAGATAGTGCTCAGTATGTTGTCTATGTCTGCTAACACGAAGACATACCGATAGTGCACCCGTCTAAAAATTTATGGTTCTAAAGCCAGGTTGGTGTTCTAGTAAGTGAGTAAAGTGGCGGTGGATTCGTAGATGCGGGCGGTTCCTCGGTGTCGGACTCTTCGGACGAAACTCGTTCGGCGGCACTAAGGGCCACGCGTGCGTATTCATCTGTGTCTATGCTCTTGCAGAAATGAATTGCGTATCTATGGTCAAAAATGTTTTAGCTTTAGAAAATCACATTGATAAGATCTTGGGTTTTACAGTATGAAAGAAATGTTACTTTGAAAATAAAGTTTTATCTTTTAGTATTACCTTTTTGAATACTACAAAAAGTTTAGTTATTTAATAATCAAAAGGTTTCGTCATACAATAATAATTTATATAAATAAATCTACATAGAAAAGGAAATACTGATGTGTAGCAAAATATTAACTAAGGTTTACCTTAATTTCTCTCGTAATACAGTTTTACAGGAATATCTTGGCATCTTGAGAAGGAAGAAACATGTGTAGCTCTCAGGCAGGAAGTGGTCTGGAGGTTGGTATTTGTCAAGCACCTGAGAAGACAGATTTTAACTTTATTAATTTTTCTAATTAAGTAAATTAAAAAAAAGTATTCGTTTGTGGATAATATAATTCATAAAAATAAATGGGGCCGGTACAAGTACTCTGTATCTTCCAATAACGACAGCGATACCGATCCCGATGTTTTTGTATGTAATTTTAATATACTTCAATATCCGTATCACTCATATAGCATACTTAACATTGTGTGGTACAAAAACATACCATTGAAGTCGGAATTTTACTCGCTATAGCTATTGACAGTTACGGAGTACGAGCGCTAATTCTTATTTGAGCAGTAATATGGTATCTGTTTACAAATATAAGTGTAAGATAAGAGTTTACAGAGTTACGATTCCATAGTTTTTCGATCGTACCTAGTTGTAAGCGAAAACGAATTCATAATATACCGTTATTAATTGTTGTTACAATCCAACAATAGCCTCAAATACCATAGGAAGTAGGAAGTCTTTATCAAATTTTAGTTCGACGCAGAAAATTATTCGTAAAAATAAAATGTGATTAAGTTGTTATATTGACAAATCCATGTATTTTTTAGTATCACATTTTCATTACACCCATTTTCTATAATATACCTGCAATACAAAGTCCCTCTGTCGTGGATCTTGAGGCGCACGAGGCAAACGCGTACGTCCCCATACGAAGCGAAGGAATAAAGCGCGCTCACTTCCAGACAATTCTTCCATTACCTCCCAGAACCATTGTACCAGAGGGGCATTTGGTTCGACGCCTGGAATATTTAAATTAGGTGTAAATCCAGCAAATATTCTGGTGTTTATCATTTGATATGCAGAAGTACGTTCAAGGTTTTTGCTAAAGTACTCGCGCAAACACAAACGGAAAAATTACGTGTCAATAGGTTTACTAAATTGTTTGACATTTTAGAAAAATTATTATTTTTGTCGTTTCTGAATCCATAACTAAGAAACTTTCAAACAAAATCCTTTAAAACCGATTCGATTTAAAAGGAAAAAGAATACATGTGAATTCACAACTTTTTTGCATCACTTACTGCAAATGTTCTAAAACTATACCTTTATACGTAGCAGAGGCCCGTAGTGCGTGCACGGGTATATCAGGCGAGCCGCAAACCAACGTCTCAAGTTCGTTAGCGGTGAATAAAGCCAATAAGGGCGCTGGCACTACGCGGGATATACCATCACGGACTGCGCGTACTTGCTCGTCGAATTCGTGAAGTCTATAAATATATTTATGTTATAGCAAACAATTTTGAATTGTTTAAGAAACTACGTGATTCAAAAGGTATATAAATATATGCGTAGTTTCTTATAACATATCATGTAATATAATTTATTCCATAAGGTTTGTTGATATTTAAGAGCAGTATTTGTATTGTAGCTCGAGCGTGCGAATACCAACCCTCGACGGGGTGTGTCAGGTACCTGCTAACATCTACTTGCCTAGTAACATTTTTTTTATCAAGAAACAAATAGAGAAATCTGTAGCCAAGATCAGGGGTTGTAAAAGATATTATACATAACTAAATAATGTATGGTATCCAATTACTCTTAAAATTGACATAAACCTCTTACACCTTTGTAAATTACAAATACAAAATATTACACCATTTATATTCAGAAAATATTATATTATTTATATTATCTGAAATACTTGTTATATACTTTTACAACATTAGTTTCTTAAAACACCACATTATAGAAATTCATTAACCTGTAATGTAATGCCAGTTGAACGTATTCATCCTTATTGTGCGGTGTGACCCGTTTGTGTCGCGTCGATAGTGGTACTTCATGACCTGCTGCTGAGGGTATCGAGAATGGTAGCTCCAAGTTTTGAAGCTCCTGATAACGAGTTATAGAATAACTTTAATTAACTCATAAAAATTTAATACTAAATTTTGAAACGTTTTTAATATCTAAGAGTATAATGGCATCACAAGATTTTACTTTAGGGGTCAATATAATTTACTTTACAATATAACTTTGATGTTTTTGTAATATGTTTACAGTCTAGTTAGTAAATGCTTATGTAAAATTAAATGGCGGTTGAGTGATTTCTTTTCCTTGCTTACAAAAAAATTATTTGCATTTCTCATTGCAACGATTCTAGCTTTTATGACGTCATTGACATCGACCATTTTCTCAGGATCTTTTTAATTGTTGTTAATTCATAAATTATGGCTTTAATAGTGTCATTTTTTCCAGACTTTTAATCGATAATTTACTTAAATGCCCCTTATTTTTCACATGTCTTCAAATAACTCTCACCTTATTATTAGGTGTCATATCTCGTATACACAGAAGTGCTGGTAGGAAATCCTTATCAACTTCAGCTAAGTCTTGTGGACGTAAGGGCTGACCGGCAAGTTGTCGCCACACCCCTTCCGCCAATGAAAGGGACAACGGAGAGCCAGTACGGATAGCGATACCCATTAACACACCTATACAAAGGTATAGAATGACTTAAGACTATAATAATTAGCTATAATTCATTGGTCTTAAAAATCATTTTTTTCTTAAAAATACTTATTATGCGACATGTAAAATACATAGATATTATATTGAAATGGATTGGACATGTTAAATGCATTAAAGACTACCTTAGAATTTTTAACTTATCAAATATTAGTGTAGTTTGAATGAAATTAAATGTTGTAATAATAAGTCTACATATACGTTAAAACAGTTCCTAGCTCTTGATAGCTTCTTATTTTAAGAAAATAATACAGACCGTAATATTAATTTATGAATCTTACCCAAAAATCTAAAACAATTAAGATGCAATGGCGTATTCGCTATGGGGTTAAGCAAAAAGGCGTCTCTAGATGCGCCTGCGTCGCCGCGGCCGTTGGGCGTGGCCATGAGTAGCGGTAAAGAGCCGTTTTGTAACTCTTCACACATTTCTGCAATACTCTCACTGTAACCACCGCCACAGTCGTCTACACTTTCACCTTAATAAAAAATATAAGTGTAAAAATTGTTGTTTTTAATACCTATATCTTAACTAAGCAAGAGCGCTTAAACTTCAAATAATTAAGACATCAAAGAACGTTGCCTAATTATAATAAACAGGGCGCTAAGCCATTCACAACCAAACGAATGCTCATAATTTTATTTTTTATACCGTTTCTTATTTTAATAGATATCACGCTTTAGTTGCAACTTTTGTAAATATGGTCGAGTATAAAATATATTAAAAATAATATTTTAAAATTGACTAAAAAGGTAATAATAATATAGAGAGGATATCCAACTCAATCGCAAAACTTACCTACAAATTTGACCTTCCAAACGCGATGTGGCAATGCCAATGCATCCTGAGTCAACGCTGGCAATCTTGCTACCATTTGACCAAAGACAGACCTCATTCCCGCCGGTCCAGCTAGTCCCGACCCACCACGTCTCGCACGCCTTGCCGCTACTCGGGATAATTCTACTACGGGACCGTGTTGACGTTCACGCACCATTGTTGTCATTATGGCCTAAAAGGTACATTTCTTTTATTCAAAAGTGGCAGTGTTACTTGACGAACAACGTAATTATTAATTGTATTGGAAAGCGCAAAAGATTAATTTGAAGAAGATTTCTTGTAAAAATAGCTATTTATTTTGAACTAGATTAGGTTTTCAATGTGTAAAATTAAATTAAAAATGTGTAAAAATTAAAAAAACATGTCTGTATGTATATATGTCTGTTATAAAGTGACCATTTTAAAAGTTTGTTTAATACATAGTATGATATTCTTATAGCATTATCATAAACCATTGCGCTGTATTCTAAACATATAGAAGAACAATCGATAAAAGCTTCAAGTTTGTTTTTTATGCGTCGATAGATACATTTAAAATAACCACAACGAAACACCATACCTTTCTAAAAGCAGCTTCTTTAACGCTATAAAACAGCATAGTTCGTAGTTGATCAAACGGTCCATCCAGTATTAGCAGCGGCAAGTTTGGACAAACGAGCTCAGAGAACTGGTGAAGTAATACCTAGGAAAGGGCGTTTTATCAATAAAAATCGTAAATTGAGAAAAAAAATATTTTAAAATATATTCGCCGTACAAATTGCTTGAAGCAATAACTTGAACTACTTCCTAATAAATATAAATAATTGGAAAAATTAGTTTACAACAATGAAAGTATTTTACTTTATTTTATTTTAGTTATAGTTACATGTTATTTTGAGTTTTTTTTGTCAATTATTTATGCACTTCTTGTACTTTACCCTCTGTAGGTGTTTCTTTTTTTATTGTTCCATATTAGGGTTGCCTGGAAGAAATCGCTTGTTAGCGATAAGGCCGCCCGTTGCCTAATAACTACTGTTTTTTTTATATGTATGTTTTTGTATAAGTTAACGAAGTATATATAAATAAATAAAAAGTAATGTTACAAAGAATAATACATATAATTCTTACCAATCTATGACACATGCGTTGTGGCGACATGTCTCTCAGTAAATGGCACTCCAAGGGTGGCGAGGGCGGAGCACGAGGGGCTCGTGGCGCTTCAATGCACAATGCCACTGTATGAGCACTACCGCATGCCACTTTGGTTATACGCTTACCCTGTTTTTTATATTAATTAACAATAATAAGATAATTAGCAATTTAATTGATGTGACTTTTCCTTAACGTTATATTTATGATATATTACATTTTACGTATCATAAATCAATAGTAGCGACGATATTCAACCGTTGGCGCTGTCTTAGGCGGCGTCCTAATTGGGAGCGATCGTACGATGGCGCGATGCGTTTTTCATCTCACGATCAAAGTGGTCGTGCGATGACCTAACAGGTGTCCTAATAGATCGCGCGATGTCCATCGTGTGATGCCGTCGTTCGATGGCTGGTGCCCCTCGCGCGTCGACGCATCGCGTAGTAACCGATTAAGACACTCAAAAGAGATCGGTTGCTTTGATTACATGATCGCACGATCAAACGCATCGTACGATCGTTATTAAAGCATTCATGTGCTCGCACGATTACTTGCGAGGTTCAAATAGGACACTCTGATGAAATCTGTATGTTTGAACTCATCGCACGATGAGACCGCATCGTGTCATCGTGCGATCTTCGCCAATTAGGACAACGCCTTAAAGTAGTTATGGACACTGATAAAAATAATTAAATCTAATGAATTGAAGTTTCATACATAAATATTATTCATAAACTTTCCTTTAAGGCATTGAATATTTATTATTTAAAAAAATAAATAAATACTATACATATTTAAAATAATAATAACCTGCATAGCAGCCAAAAGCCTTGGTCTTTGTGCAGCAACGGTCGTACCATCTCCCAATTGTCCTTCGTCGTTATCTCCCCAAGTATAGACTTCGCCTGTATCAGTACACGCTACGCAGTGCAAACTGCCTGCAAGTTATGCGGAGAAACTTTATATTTTTTATTATTCACATTTTGTTTATTATATTTAATATGAAAAATCTTGATATGTTGCATTGTCAATATGACGTTCAATGGTATAATATGAACTTTCAAATCGACACATTCTTGTACACGAACGCAAATACGTCCTTAATGTAATCTAAATTACATTAAATTTCACCTAAAAAGGCAACTAAGGTCGTGTAAAAAGCTAAATCCTCTCTCATATCTCATCTATAAAGAGGTTTTACTTAAAATCGAGCAATTTCATCTCCAGAAAGAATCAAAGCTATGCAAAACGAGTGAAAAATACAAAAATTATGGGCTGGCTGTTGATTGTGACTCTTATTTTTATGGTTGTTAAATGAATTAATCGTAATTAAGAATATATGTGAATACCGGTGGCTATAGACACGATCATTTTCCCCTGCATTCCCGTAACGCGCATCGGTCGTCTAACGTGATCGTAGCTTCCGTGCCCTAGTCTGTGGTAGTCGCCTTTACCCCTGGAAATATATATAGAGGATATCGAGGATCAACATTATATTGAATATAACGTATAGCTCTAAAGCGAAATCTTCCAGATTAAATAGAGATTAAATAATTTTATTCGATACAATGACATCGATTTCATACCTATGATTTATAGAATTTATAAAATGACGATAAACATTTTTAATTAATATATTTTTAAAATGTTATTTTTCAAAAATTTGAGCAGTGTTGGCTCAAGCTTGCGACTCCAACTCGAACTCCCAGACACTGTGCGTTCGAATTACGGCTGTGCACCAATGGAATTTTATTTCTATGTGCGCGATTAGCACTTGTGTCTCCAGTGAAGCCAAACATCGTTGAGAATTTGTCATGTCTCAAATCCAAAAATCAATTATATATGTCAGTCATATGGCTGATCTCCTACTTGTTTATAAAATAAAAATGATCGAAGAAACGGATACAATGTGAGAAGTGGGAAAAGACCAATTTAAGTTTGTAGCGCACAATTGCCCACTATTTATTTTTATCTTAATATATATAAATTACGTGTCACGTTGTTTGTCCGCTATGGACTCCTTAACTACTTAACGGATTTCAAACAAATTTACACACCGTGTGCAGTTTGATATAACTTAAAATATAGGATAGCTTTCATAAATATATAATTCTAGTGTACGTGTGTATGTCATTGAACTCCTCTTAAATGGCTAGACCGATTTGAATGATTTTGTTTGTATGCGTTTGGGTGGAGCCCTGGATGGTTTAAGTTCACAAATCAGCCCGGCAGATGGCGCTGCAGTCGGTACTTTCATACTTTGATTAATATACTAATCGCTTGAAATATCACGCAGGACAACGTGTCGTGTCCGATAGAATTATATAAAAATGATCTAATTTCACCGACAAGATCTTATAAAACATATAAGGTCCAAAAAATATTGATGCGTTTATTAAATGACGTGTGATATGGTCACGTTATTGTTTGAACATTGTTCTTTAGCAATAATTTGTCGTCTATAAAATATATTCTTACCAAGTATAGACGCTACCACACTGACAAAGCGCAACTGAGAATTGCGAGCCACACTCTACTTTGATGACTCGTAGGCCTTTTAGACAATCTATGCGCATCGGTAATTTACAGCCTTCTGACCCACCACGACCTAAAAATAGGATAAATAATGTATTATTATTATTTTATTATTAATAATATTTTGTAATAAATAATAAGCTGTTTCGTTCGTGTCTTCGGATTTTAAACAATGAAAAGACTGAAAAATGACTCCAAATCCAGAAAAAGGAAAGTAAAACTTTTATGTTGAAGTAACGTAGCAAGTTTAATAATCGGTGACATACGAATTAACAAAAATAATTAATGCATACTTACTTTTAATTTTATTTAAATAAACAAATAAAAAGTAAGTATGCATTATAATTATATTGGAACTTATGCCTACATAAATAAGTACAAAACAATGGTTGATATAAAATTAGATAAACAACCCTGTAACTCTGTTATAAAATACAGGGTTATTGGTAATTCGACGTATTCCCGTAAGGAGGTGATAGGAGTACTACTTGTGATATATTTAGTTTTATCAGTATTATATGCAAAAGTGAACAATTTTGAGTTATTTTATACTTTTTCAAAATAAATCAAAAATTAAACATGAAATATTTATTTTGAAAAAAAGTATTATCGCAAAAATAATCACCTATCACCTCCATTACTCGTATTCCCGAATACGTGTAGTCACCAATAACCTCGTTTATTGTATTGATTATTTTAAATACTTGTTGCGACCTATATTACGACCTGCAATAAGGGTTTGAAATAAATAAAATTATAAAAACTTACCAAGTTTTCCGTAGTCTCCGTCTCCCCAAGACCAGACGTTATCGTCGTCCGTAATACAAAGAGTTTGTGCGTCACCCGACCCACATGCTACGTCAACTACGCGGTAATTTACGAGCGCTTCAACCTGTGTAAAAAATTAAAAATTTAATAACAATGGAATTTAAACTAATAAAGTTAAGTAAATGGAAAAATTATCCTTGGTCATCCTTACTAAGAAAAGCCATATCGCTGCTTATTGGCACCACAAAATCTTCATCATCCCGTAATTCAATTAAAAATTAAATTTCGTGTTATTTAATCTACAAAAAGTTGCTAAGGAACATAAAATAACCAGCAATTAATATAGTCATGAAAACCAATAGTCGTAACAGCCGATGACGTTGTTATTAAGTACCTAATACATAGAATTCAGCCGGGACCTTTGATTTTGGTCAATATAACCGGTATGTTGTTCTAAACGATGTCGTCGTAAACGGTTTTGACTGTAATTCTTCTTGAATGGTATTTCAATAACGAAAATTAATTATATATTATTTGAACATGTTATGTTGAATACGTTAGAAACCTATGTTTATGTTAACGTTCTAAAATCTATTTTTCGTTTAAAAATTGCCAATAATTAAGATTTCCTTTTAAATAAAATTACAAAGTCAACAAAGCAAGGTTGTAAAAATTAACAATCAAAATAGATCCTGTTACAATTAAATGTTGTATTTAATTATATATTACAAAAGTATGGGAATCTGAAAAGTAAAGTAGGTAAGATAAAATTCTTAGTGAAATCAGTAAAATTTTTACCATTTTTGGCACGAGCTGATCTTCCGAGTCCCCATGCCCTAATCGGCCGTAACGTCCCTTGCCCCAGGTGTAAATTCGTCCCCGTGCCGTGAGACAGGCTGAATGTGCACCTCCGCACGCTATAGCCACTACTTCCAGACCAGAGAGGGACGTTATTAATTTGGGGCGATCGTAGCTTCTAGAATTAGATTGATTTTTTATTGCAACATTTCATTTTCGAACATGCAATTAATATAAAAAATCTGAGTTGTTACAGATAACAGATATGTATATATATATATATATATAAAGAAAGAAAGATAAATACAATATTTAATTTATTGGTAAAAGGTATTGGTAACGATTGGAACAAACCATTAAAAATGTGTAAAATTAAGTTTACTGAGAGAAAAATTCTTTACAGATATTAATTTTCCTGTATATTTTTACAATGTGACATTATTATAAATTTTATTCTAATGCGTTTTAAAATAACAAAGCCTATTATATAATATATACAGCGCTATTATTGGTAAAAATGTTTCTCTGAACTTCCAAAAATATTTCAAGATCATAATTAGCCAAAGCCATTCTCGAGTTTTAGCGAGACAAACAAACAGCAATTTATTTATATATATATTGGGTATTTTGATACAAGCAAATAATGTTTCCTTAGAAATAAATCAGTATTTATGATTATTAGAAATCACTTACACTCTGTTGCCATGGCCAAGTTTTCCGTCTTCGCCTTCACCCCAACTGTACACATCACCATCGGACGAAAGAGCTAGACAATGCTTACCGCCCGAATTGCAAGCCACCTATGATTAATATTGATAAATTAAAAAAAAGTTAGTGTCTAGCTGATTACGTTTGCAGCAAGACGCTCAAATTTCTGGGTTTAAGTAGTTTTTAAATTAACTTTTTTCCAAAATAGCATTTGATCAAACTTTGGGCAGACACTTCAGCCTTTCTAGAAAGTAACCCGAAACAGTTTTTTGGTTTGTTCAGAAATCAATCTTAGACCTAGAAATAAGAATACTTACTTTAGTAATAAACACGTGTTGAAGAGATGCAAGTAATGTAGGTTGTGACACGGAATCTATGCCTCCAATGCCCAACCGTCCTCCTGCGCCGTATCCTAGAAAAAGTAGTCTCTTTAAAATTATATAATTCAAAGTACATTATTATGAAAATATATGTTATAAATAATATTAATTGCTAAACTTCTCATTGAATATAATTCTCTCTTCTTTGGAAAAGTCACGCAATCAAAAATTACGCTTTGTACAAAAGTGTATGCCTAATTATAAATAACTGGTACATGTTAATCTGGCTAAACAGATAACATACGTATGATATTATTATTTGTTAATATCTAAACTTATGGCTTCGGTTTAATGGTTTAGTACACAAAGCTTGGTTGGGAGATGTCTAAATTGTCTATATTTTATAAGCAATTTTCCGTAAACTTACCAGTAGCATACACCTTCCCATCAGGAGTCACCGCGAACAAAGTTTGTTCCCCACCCACTAATTGCATTGGATTGAGGCTGGCAAGGGCGTGGCAGGGCGTTGGCGACCGAACCTTAGCCCCTTCGACCCCTCCCAACTGCCCCCGATGATTGTGACCCCAGCCGTATACCGCACAACCTCGAGAACCACCGTTCCACCAACCGGTCCAGTCTTCAGGACGTCTACAAAATATAAATTTAATATATGTCCAACGGTTTGTCAGTACTAAAGAAGACTGTAAAGTGAAGAAAGATCAAACGAAATAAACACCTAACAAATTTAATTATCAAATCATTTCCTACCATCGTAAGTACCTTTAAAATATGAGATTTGTTCAAGGGTATGGAAAAGAAATGTTTTCCAACTTACTTATTGACCCAATGAAGTAACTGTTCGTCGTGTTGCCTCGTAAACTTCGCATTATCCTCCCAAGCGCTATCACTGGAGCCTTCTTCTGTATATACACCTAGATCAGCTAGTCTTTTGCGTACATCCGTAAGAAAGGGTAGAGGGAGGGACGCCCGACGTAATAATGCGTCCGCAGTGCGTACACATAAACAGTACCGCTTAAACCACGCCCATCGGGCCGCATCTGTGCCATTGCATACTCGAGTGTCTACACGTAGACCGCACGCTAGCCATGCCAGTTCCTAAAATTTATTAGTTTTTTTATTGAGATTATATTGTATTGTTGACATTTTGGACTGTTCCCTAAGTTGGAATATATCTGGATCTACAGAGAATATACCACTTAGGGTCGATTCGACCAAACTTCAATCTATACACGAGTATTTATACCAGGAAAATTTATTCCATGATTTTAATCTCGAGTAAATCCATAGTCGTTTCTCCACGTAATCGATAGTATAATTGCGCTATCAATAATAATATGCGAATAGCAAAGAGAATGGTGAACGAAAATAAAACTCGGCAAATAAATGTTGTCCTACAACGGGATAGTGTAAGAGCACACATCATGTCAACTCGATTTTGCCGTATTATAGAGTGAAAAAGTAGCTTTTAACAGGTGTCAAACGACAACAAAAAGTTTTTATTTCTTGTTTGTTTGAGGCTGTCGTCTAAAACGGAACTTCTGTTGAATCTAGTTGAATTTCATTTTAAAATTATAGAAAAAAAAAATTATAATAAATTGTTTAAACGTTTCATTATAAAATGCTAGACTATTATTTAGTGCGTTGCGTTGACTTGAAACTAAAACACAGAATACATATTTGTGAAATGACAGAAATCAGATGATTGGACTGACTGACGCCATTAAATTATTCTAGGAATAGCTGTTATTCCGTGCCAAACGGCGGTATAGTAACAATTCCCGAATAGGCCCACTATTCTTAGAATTTGTAGATGGTAAAACGTAAAATTGATTTACTCTCAATTAACTGACGATTTATTCTAAGATTCAGATTTACTCTTGTTTGGTCGAATCCACCCTTACTGGTTCAAATGTTAAATTAAAGGATTATGTAAATATTAATTCTAGTTTAGTACGTAACGCGTGATTATACGAGGCATGCCTTTTAAGTTCTGTCGTTTCCATATTTCCCGGCAATTTTGAATTTGGACCTGTTCTATATTCGAATGTGTTTAAATTTTGAATCTCAAAACAGTTAAAAGTATTAGGATTAATGCTATTGTTTAGTCACAGCGTCGATTTGAATCTGTCAGGTTACGTACGAAAATGAATCTTTCTAAGGAAAATGTTCGTGCAATAATTTTCTACAACTTTAGAAGAGGCCTGACACGACTTCAGTGTTTTGAAGAGCTAATATCTGTGTTCAGTGATGAAGCCCCATGTCTGCGGACTGTCGAACGCTGCTATTTAAAATTCCAGCGTGGACATACTAGTGTTAGTGACAAATCTCGCGAAGGACGCCCAAAATCCGCCTTCACTGAAGAAAACATCATTGCTGTGAGACAATTAATTCTCGAATATCGTCATGTGACGTATCGCGCGTCGGAAAACCGTCTTCTTTGTTATTTACGCACCACAAAACAAAACAAAAAATATAGTTTATGAGAAAGCTTTAAATTGATTAACAAACTGTATCATAACAGTGTGTGTCTGGTAATAAAAATTTAAACCTTATAAATAGCCAGTATTTCAGGAAAACTCTGTTTTTTTAAGTAAGCAACATGATGTGTCGAAAATAATAATAAAACTTCATGCTTCATTAAAAAAATGCTTTTTTATTCAATACGTTTTGTTGAGAAATATATTTATACAAAAGGTCTTTTATTTATCGATTGAGGCAGTACGAAGTCTGCCGGGTCAGCTAGTTTATAAATAAATATATGTTACATATTACTTATAGTCTTACCTTCAAATAGTGTGTGTGCATAAGATGTGTGCCAGTCCTTAGCGCCGGTTCTTCGTGTTCATACTGCGCTTGTAACAGCTGCGGTAAATGTTGTAATGCTGGAGGAGTACCGGCTGTCGGCTCTCCTTCCCCTCCGCATACAACCCCTCGTAAACGACGTACGCACCAAACGCGCGCACGCCACGCTATAAATGCCAACAAATACAGATTTAGATTTATAGACATTATATTATATGATATTATTATGGAGAATTTTTTGATATTTAAGTTCTTTGCTTTTAAAGCTAACATTTTTTATATTTTTCATTAAACAAAAAAAACTACAACAAACAAATAAGTAACAAAATAACACGAATAGAAAACTGGTGCTCGTAAAACTATTGAAAACACTAAATTTTAAATTTTCTACAACTAGTTCTCCGATAAGAACATTTATTAATATCTTACCATATATATACCTTACTATTTATACTACTGTCAATTGGATAAAACTAATTTATATTAATATAAAGGATAATTGAATCAAAAGTATATTCCAGTTACTCACTTAAAGTAGGCATTTGTGCACAGATGGCAAGCGCTTGTGCCAATCGTGGGGCGAGTTGGTGGTCATTAGAAATGGCGGACAGTAAAGGACCATCCAACAGACGCCAAGCTAGCTCCACTGATGGACACGATAAAACGTATCGGTCAGTGCCGCTTTCCTATACATAGAAATAATCTTAACACAACTTCGCAGAAAATAATATGTCGTTTGTATGTTGAGAGAAGTAACCTGTGGGATAAGTTTTAGTCGCCTTGTGAGACAAAGGCCAAAATCATTTAATCATATAGGTAACACAATGTACACTTATGATCGTCAAAAAAAAGAAATGTACATGAAATGCTTCTAACCTTACATTTAGTGCCAGTTCTCAAATCAAGGGCGTAGAACGGATGAAAAGAATTGGCAATAAACACTCTTTTTAATCGCCATGTTTTTTTTACACAACGTTTGTAAGGAGCTGCAACCATTACACCATGTTCCATAATAAATAATAACAAAGACTTGTCCTCTATCAGCAGAAGGCATGGTGAAATAGGAGCACGCACTTATATTTTCGTGGGAACAACACGCAAATACATAGTCGAAATAACTAACATCACCGCATACACGAATTCAAGAACGACCACAGTCACCACAAGTAGCACCCGTTCACGAGTATGACGCATGGCCAGCCATCGGCCCCCTCGCCATATTTTAGGGAGAGAGACAACCCGACGCACGGACGCCGCCACAAGCAATGACATTTAAGCGAGCATGACACAAAAGCCATGGAGGCGGTTAAATTGAAATTATACTCCTGTCCAGTTAAGGTAGATTTTATGGTTCATTTTTAATTCCGTCTATCGAACTTCTATACAATAAACTAAGTTTGTTAAGCTATTATGAGTGTGATTGTATACTTACAGAAGGAGTGTGTGTCGGTAAAATCGGGTGTACCGTAAAGCGCCAGCCCCAACCATTAACTGAACCGTCGCTAGTGAACCTCCAGCGTAATTCATCACCTGGATATAAATATAAATGCTTTTTAATGTAATTTGTATAATAGAACTTCTATGAAATCTATACTGGACAATGAATTTTAAACAATTGTTGTGATTAAATTTAATATTTGTTTTAATTGTAGGTATTTATAAAATTTAAAACTCTATGTTTACACTTTTTATTAACTATAATTAAATCATAATGCTCTGTGCCACACTAACAGATAACAACATCGCTCTCACTGAAAGTTAGATTAGCTAAATATATTTTTTTAGAAGCGCATTTTAGGATACTCTTGCACTCTACCATTAACAATAACTTCCTGTGCCCAATCAGTGGGTTCCCTTCCAGATCTCGTAGCCAAAACTCGACCAGCTGCATCAGATATTGTAAGAGGGTCGTTTCGTCGCTCCGTAGAACAACCTTGTTCGAAGGAAACTCTGAGAGAAGAGGCTCCGGGGATTTTGACAACGCCTGCAAAACACAATTATACTGAACTTCGAGAACGAATATGTTATGATCTCATTCTAGAATGAACCATCCATTTTATAAAAAGAAGGAAGAACGGAACTGCGTTATAGAAATAACCCCTTGTTTTTCTGTAATCATGATAACTCTTTCCACGCATGAATTTGGTTTAGGATATTCTTACATTATATCTTATTCATATCATGTGGCACAGATTTCTTATCACTAACACACTGCATTCTGTTTATAAATAGAAATGTATGCATACCTGATATATCAGTATCATCTGCATAGGGATGCGGGCTATCAACGGTAACGGGCAAGGGAGGAGCGCGCCCACCCCCAGCTGCAGCTTCTTCGAGCTCACACACACACACTTCCACTACCATATCTGCTATGCTCGCAGATCTGGCGCACAAAGCTAGAATAACAATCAAATAATACAAATATAGTTTTCGCTGAGTGAAAAATTAACTTAATTTCAGATACATAATCCATTTTAATAAAGTAATACTTCTACATAAGAGGTGGATATATGTTTTACAGAAGAAAAAGTTTACGTTGACGCTCAACCCCCTTTACATTTTTAAATATGTTGTCTTTAAAACGTCATTTTGATTATATAGTCAAATATCATCTATTATATTGCACGTTTTTGCTAATATCTCAATATATATAAATTACGTGTCACGTTGTATGTCCGCTATGGACTCCTAAACTAACGAACCGATATCAATCAAATTTGCACACCGTGTGCAGTTTGATCTAACTTAAAAGATAGGATAGCTAGAATTTTTCTTTGTATATTATGTCACAATAAAAAAAAAACAACATTTTATTTTTATTTTTATTTTTTTAAAGTATATACTTTTCTGACACACCATCTACACTCTCCTCCACTACTCTATCGACTAATTGTATCCACTATTGTAATCTATGGAACTTATGAGCATAACCATTCCAAATATTACAAATGAATCTTTTCACTTCATAAGCTTATGATTAGGTTTCTCCCCATAAATGTTTTATTCTAATAATTCATCAACCCCCATTCACAATCATCCCCATCCTCCTTTCATCATAATTATTTAAATTAATTATGATTCGTTCTGATTTGTGTCTAAAGCTCTCTTACCCTATATTTGTTTTCCTCCTCAATACATCAGACAAACTTTTCTCCATTCCTCAATTTCTTCTTTTTCTTCCTATGACATTATAACCTTCATATTCATTGCGACATTCTTTTTGCGACATATGTTTTCACTATCCCCCTTTTTTCTATAATTACCCAGGTGGAACCACAGTATGACCTCTTCTATATTTCTCTATCTGTACTCTACAATCCTTTTTGCAAATCATTCATTAATTGAGGCTGCACATGATGCTCATGTTTCCTCACATCATTTTTTTTTCTAATTTATTCGTCAGATTTGTTTGAGTTATATATGGTCTGTCACAACAAACATTTTGGTTGTAAGTTGGTAAATTGGTTTGAATCCACCTTATATTGTCATAGTTCATATTGTCGTGGTAATCTCCACTTTTGGTTGGCTTTAAACATAAGCATGCTTTGGTATAAAGCCATCCATACCACCCTGAACAATGATTAAGCGGTTGCCTTTCGATATATGTTGCTTCAAACCGAGTGCTTCCATCTGACCAAGGGGGGATGTGATGTATGTATATATGTTTCGTCGGTGTAAACAATTGGTCGGCGTTGTTCACGATATTCAGCAATTTTCATCAAATAATTAATTCGCAAGTATCTAATTTCGTGTTTTTCCATAAGAAGTTTCCGTTATCTTCTGTTTGCTTCCAATTAAAACCTAATGACATGACGTTTTTCGTAACGTGCTGACACAACCTTTATAATCGATATCTTCTTTTAATTTTGCGTGAAAGTTTCAAAGTGGGAATTTCTTTATTTGTGATGTGGAAGTCATGAATTGTTCTTCTGATAACTTGCTGATCAAAGTTATCGATTACTATTGTAGGTTTACGATTCGGTTTCTTTTAGGAGATTTAAATGTTACTTCCTGATCTGAAGGTCGACATTTGCTTTCTGATACTACCTTTCTGACGGATGCTATTGAAATTCCCGTGATTTAGCAACTAATTGAGGGGAGTCATAATACTGCTCGGGTTGTTATTACACTCATTTTCGAAATATTTGTACAAACAGTACAAAACTTCTTTAGTTTGAGAAGTCAAAGGCTTGCCTCGACCATGTTTTAACACTGGAGCCATTTTTAATTAACAATATAAAGTTGCAACACTTACACACAAATTAAACACTTCAACAAATATTATAACAATAATAACAAACAATAACAACAATCAACAAATACAAAATTTAACAATTAACGTAATAATTATAATTTTTGAATGAAATGTGTGCTTTATGTTCTAACAGTACCAAGCGACTGACGCCGGACTGCACGTGGCACCTGCGGACAGCTAAACTGGTTTATTCTGGTTTTGTGCGTGTTTCCACTTTCCACTATCAAGTGACGATTTTTTGCTTTAGATTGAAATATCTCGGAAACGGTGCGTCCTAGGCCAAAAATAAATTTTGACCCCCTAGACCCCCGGAGTTTTAAAACAGATGAAAGGAAAAAAATATATATGGTCTCTCCTCTTTGAAGTTTCACTTCTATCGTGTGTGAATCGCGACACACCTTTTTTATAAAGTCAAAACCTTTTTTTTTAAATAAAAACTTGTTTTTATTGATAACAAAAATCAGAGTGTTGTAGGGATAAGTATAATATTAAATAGTAATGTTAGGATATCGAAACATTTTTGTATAGGCAGAACGATATAGTGGAAACGCGCTCTAAGATCTGAGTAATATACACACCACTACATATGCAAAAATTTCTCGAGACTAATTTCACTGTACATCTCAATTTATACCCGCAATATTATTTTATTGCAAATATTTGTTTATTATTTGATACAATTCTAACAGATGGCGCTGTGTTAAAAGTACCAACGTTTCACATAAGTTCTCCTACCGTTTCCCTTGAATAGTTTACTACTATGTAATATAACAAAAATCTTAGCCACAGCAACGCTTGGCCGGTCTGTAAGTATATATATAATTATTAGTATACTATCAGATACTAATCATTTTATAAACGAAACAAGGTGAGAATTGAGAGAAATAAACTAATATATAATCTGTTAACACGACATTCACAAACGATATTGAATAAGCCTATGTGATTTTTTTTCATAGTAAATAGACGATAGAAGCGATCTAGGGTTAAAAACATTGTTTGTCCTTAATGTAAGTCATGGCATTAACAATAGTCCACCTATTAAAATTTTCAAAACTGTTTCTAGTTTTAAGATTTAACCCGTAACAAAACCGTCTATATAGATGCAACGAAAACTAATATAAATACATACCCATAAGAACATCAGTGATAACTTTAACAGCATTATTAGCCTCGGGGATCCGTCCAGCTGCAGCCAATTTCAAAAGATCCACTAAAGCCCTCGCATCGGATTCGCCAAGTTGCGAAGTGAAGTCATCCAATTCCACCTAAACATAATAATAATAACTTATTTATTTCAGATTATATTCATATGCAAGAGCATTCATATGAGCAGTGTTGGCCTAATGGCTTCAGGGTTCGACTCTTCCTTCCTTTTTTTTCCCTGAGGTCGTAGGTTCGATCCCCGGCTGTGCACCAATGGATTTTTTTTCTATGTGCGCATTTAACATTCGCTCGAACTGTGAAGGAAAACATCGTGAGGAAACCGACATGTCTTAGACCCAAAAAGTCGACGGCGTGTGTCAGGCACTGGAGGCTGATCACCTACTTGCGTATTAAATTGAAAAATGAACATGAAACAGATTCATAAATCTGAGGCCCAGACCTAACGAGGTTGTAGCGCCACTGATTATTATATTCATATTTAGTTTAAGTTAAGAATTAGTAACAATTCGGTTTTAGTTGCTATGGTAGTATTGGTTTGTCAACAAAAAAAAAAAAAAAAAAAAACTCCTATACTGGGGCATGGACAGCATACTAAAGTTTAAAGATATGCGTGTTCTTTTTTATTAGCACCATTGGTGATATTCCTAACACAATACAAGGATGCCATGATTTCCCGAAAGATGGCATTAAACCCGACAGTTCGGCAATATTTGACGCACTGCAGAACCTCGGCCAGCCCAACACCAACCGGAACATGTTGTTATACTGAATACGGAGCGCATTCATTCTAAGTAGTATTATTTATCAGAATAGGTTAAGCTTCCTTAAATATTTTTTTTAAATGGGTAAACACCCACTGGGTAAAACGAAAGCTACTACTGTTAATCCAATCATCCAATCAATCAATATGTATCAATAAGTGTCAAAATATAAACCTTGGGTGCTTCAGATTGTTGAACTGTCATCGTAGCTGCTGCAACGGAAACAGCGCTAGATGACATCACAGCCGAATGCCGGGATGATATCGACCCACTCAAAGGAGTGCTTGCTCCACTCTGTGGAGAAAATAATATGCTATAGTAACAAATCAAATAAAAGCGTTAAAGGTACACTTCCACGGGAACCAAACTTTTTAATATTGTTTTAATAAATAAATATTATTTATTATTTGATTTGTATAATAAAAAAATAATGTAAAAAGTTGTAAAGTATAGAATCTTAAGAGATCAAGAGAACTGGGGCGATGGCGGAAATATAAAAAAAATCAGAAGATTTAAAAAGGCAATGTAAGCAAATTAAAGAGCAGTATCTAGCCTAGGCGCGCGATTCTCAATCCTGATGTCGAGGGTTAAAACTTCAACTGTGCACAAATGGATTTTTTAATATGTGCGCTATATCCGTTGCCATTACAACTATACGGCCTCAGACCAAAAAATAGACAATGTGTGACCAAAACAAGAGACTGATCATGACCTATGGGAATTTGCGTAAAAGGAAAAAATATCAACTTGGGGGAGATGTAGTGCTACTACAGGAATACTTTAGCTAGGTTATTTGTATTAAAAGCAAGCAAAGTTCTGTCATGAAGCGCTTTGGGATCAATTAAAAAGTTAAAAGGAAAAGTTGTATTTTTCTAAATTTCGTGAGGATTGTCAAGATGAGTAGGATAACAAGATTTAAACCGGGTATTATTTAGTGTTTCTTTATAATATTAAGTCAACATTTTGAAAAAACATATCACCGGTAACGTAGCTCTATCAGCCGGTGCTTCTCCTCCACCAGTACGAGCATCAGCTTCTGTATCATCTTCTTCGGTCTCCAAACCCACTGACGGAGCACTTGTGCATACTTCGTGTGCTCTCAATGCTTCGACAAGCAGACAGCGTGCCTATAAATAAATTTGCATTAGCTTGAACCATGACGAGCCCACGTAAATTATGAGTCCGATTATTGATATACGCAGAATACACCAGCAAAATGACACGTTACTTTATTATTGGATAATTGAGTCCGTTTTTTTTGAATAAAGTATAGTAATTTCTTGATAACATCTTATACATATTTCTTTGTTATGGATTGTTTGCGATTCTTATCTATATACTAGCTGACCCGGCAAACGATGTTTTGCCATGTATATTATTTCTAGGAAACATTTTTTTAGTTCAATAAAAATAACTATCAACTATAATAAAAAATAGGGGTTGATCGTAGAGGGGTGAAAATTAGGGATTGTATGTATTTAAATTAATTAAAATTTAGGTTCCACCCTACCCCTTATCACTTAGGGGTTTGAAAAAGATTATTTGAGACTTACGGAATATGCATAAGAATCGGTCGTGCCGTTGTGCGCAAACATTGTGACACGAAAGTTTTATTTATGACACAGATGTTAGAAAGTTTAAAGTTTTTAAAGTATGTATATTGTATATAGAATATTTAAGACAAAGCTTTGGATTTTATGGTGGATTGACATTTTAAACAGTTTTTGTACATTTTAATACTCATGTTGTACCTGTGTGATGTGTAAAGCCAATAGAATGAGAGATAATGCATGTTGAACAGCAACTGGTGGCTCCAAGGTCAATGCCGCAGCTGCGAGGGATGGTCGCGCACTTTGTGATTCTTCTATGTTATTTTCTTCAGCGTAAAGGCCTGGGAATATAAGCATGTATAGATGAACCCTTATATATTGGATGGTTTTTAATTGGAGTAACTTTTAGTAGCATTGTGATTGAAGTAAGGCAAAAGGCCGGCAACGCACTCGCGAGCCCTCTGGCATTGAGAGTGTCCATGGGCGGCGGTATCACTTAACATCAGGTGAGCCTCCTGCCCGTTTGCCCCCCGTTCTATAAAAAGAAAAAAAGTATTAATTTATATTATATATTTTATTTAAAAAATTATGTCATCAAAAGACAAACCTTTTTAATTTTTTTATAAACTTATATTTTAGTCACAAACACGTACATATTCTCAAAAGAGTTATAGTCCATATACGTAAATAATCATTAAATTGCTTCTAAAAGATTATTAGAGACAAAATGTCTCATATTTGTTAATACTTTAGATACAAGTACTACCTTCACATACGTAAATAAATCACGTATTGATTATTATTCACATAAAGAGATTGTATAAAAAAAATTATAGAACGAAGATTTTTAGATATTTTTGTTAGTATCAAGTATACTAACCGAGCCCTTGTCAAGTTTTCGATAAAAATATATTGTCGCAATTACTACTGACTTTGTAACATCTAGGGTAAAATCATAACTATATTGATTCATGAGTAGTGCTTACCAAGGCTATGAGCTCCAAGTGGATCTTTCAGCGATGGGAACGGCAATGGAGCAACATGGGGCGTAGTAACATCCGCTTGTAATGGAGGACGAATCGCCCAAGCGGCAGAATGCGAGGAGCCAGCAGCTGCCCTTTGAACACCTTCGACTCCCGCTACTAAAGCCGGTCGACGGTTCACACAAGTTGTACCGTTACCTTGTTGACCGTGATCGTTATCGCCCCACGCCCATACCTGTTATACAACATAAATCCCTTTGAGTAATAAAAAAGCATATCATAACGTACTTAATCAATAAATAGAGAGATGTAAATATTCAATCTTATCTAAGAACTGATAGTTTTATACGGATGCGTAAAATCTAAATGAATTAATTATATTAAAAAAACGTTTTATTATTTTACCAGAGAATTCGCATTCGAAAAGCATAAATAAAAATACTTGTTCATTTTAAAGGTATCTAATTATGAGACACTAAAACACTCTCGAATTAAGTATATATATTATTTAATATTTCAAGGACATAAAGACCATTTTGTAGGAATAATTACGTGACATAAACAAATACAAGTTGAATTGGAACGACCTTCAGAAATTTTAAATTTGGTTAAAAATATTCTAACCTGATTATCACTAGTAACAGCCAGACAATGTAGCGCCCCAACGGCTACGTGTATGACCCGTTTGCCTCGTAACGCCTCTACTAGCGTTGGGCGACGGACGTGTGCGTCACACCCATGACCCAAACGGAAATAGTCACCTTTGCCCCATGTCCAAACCTAAAAAAAATAATAGCAAAAAGCTCCATTGACAATTTGAAAATAGAATAAATAGCTTATTTATGTTTTGCTTGCTAAATACTACATCATTAAACGAATCGACGATGACGTAAATGCTTGAAAATAATATGTCTTCGCCTGTCTGATCCTCATAATGAGTTCGAGTTTATTTTTATCACAGGCTGACTTTTGACCGAAATATACGTGTAATGAAAGAATAATAATTAACACGTAAAAATCTAGACGTTTTTCTTAGTGTTTAATGGCATAGTTCGAAGTTATGAATGTTAAATTTGACTTTTTAAGCAAATTCATAAAAGCGTTAAAGATAGCAATTTATATAGATTCTAATGTTGAATGAGCCACAAAAAAGCAAATAAAAAAGTCTCGGAATTTTCTCACCTCTCCATCACGTGTTAACGCCAAGCTGAACTGAGCGCCACACTCCACTTGAACGACATCTAGTGTATTTAATCTCTCAACATTCATCGGTACAGCGCAACCATCTGAGCCACCACGACCTAGAGAAGACGTACAATTTTTTTTTACCCGAAATCATATATTAAGGTAGAATAAGACAAGAATATAACACAGAATGACTTACGAAAATAATAGAAAATAGATAGGTATCTAGTCTCAGTAGGTACTGAATAAAGAGAACGAATACAAAATATTTAAAAAAATCTGTCGGTGAGATTGATTAATTTTATAAATTGCACATGTAAATATATAAATACAAGATAGTCATTACAATAATAGTATAAAACATAGCACGAATTGCAAACAAACATACTTGCAAATGCCAATCTCTACTGAATTGATTTTAAAAAGGTTTATGTATAATTTAACATTACCTAATTTTCCAAAATCACCATCACCCCATGAGAATACTTTTCCACACGCAGTGAGCGCTAACGTTTGTGCGTCACGTGATCCACACGCCACTTGGATCACTCTGAAACCAGCTAACGCCTCCACCTAAATATTAAATAATTATTTTAGGAGTATCTACACTTTTTAAGTCCTTTAAAATAAATAGAGACAGCCTCTACATAAAAAGTATCAAAAATTGCTAGGAAACCGGCACGTCTAAGACTCAAGGTCAAGTAAAATCTACGTCATCGTGAAAAATCTACTATGTATGTCAGGCATCCAAATTAACTATAAAGAAAAATTATCTATAAAACAGAAGTTTGTAGCCAACATTCATAAAGAAGAAGTTATTATTACCATTTTAGGTGATAGCTGCGTATTATCCTCTCCGTGTCCCAATCTTCCATATTCTCCCATGCCCCATGTATACAAATGCCCTCGTGCTGTTACACACGCGCTGTGAGCGGATCCGCATGCAATGTTAACGACCCGTTCGCCCGCCAGAGATTCTATTAGTCGAGGAGCTTCTAAAGTTAAACGGTTCCCGTGACCCAACTTGCCATCTTCTCCTTCACCCCAGGAGTACACCTAGAGTAAAAAAAAAATGAATCATGATATAGTGGAACAATCACTAGCAAAAAGTTTTAGATCCACATCCTTCACAAAAGTTGACCTTGAATGATTTGATTGCCAATTTTGAGGTCAACGTTAAATTGCTTTGTTATAACTTTGTATTCTAGGGAATAACAATGGGGATTTTAATTTTTTGTGAGTTTAAGAGTTAAAATTCTCAAAACTATGAAGTATTGTTGTATCGTATATGTATAAGAGGAATTTATTGCGTTTTTTACTAATATTTAGAATGATCGATGAGCAAGGTGTTGATATATAATTTTTCAAAAGGGCCGCAGGTCACTCGCTAGTATTAAATATAGAACGACAAGTTGGAAATGGAAAACGTCCCAACACAGATTTTACTGAAAAAATCGGACAATGGATATTTAAATATTAAAAGTAGTCGATAAACCTTTCCATCAGCAGTGAGTGCCAAAGCGTGTTTTCCACCAGAGTGTACCGCGACTCGCCTTACAAGTACGTGTGAAAGGTATGGATTTGCTCGAGGCGTAGATACATTGTTACTATGCCCCAAACCCAGCCGTCCATTAGTCCCTTCTCCGCATACAAATAGCTAGAAAACGATAATAAACAATTAAAAAAATATTATAACATGTAGTGTATGTATAGCTTTAAAAGAGATGTTAGTAAAAATTTAATTATTATTAAACATATGCATAATATGTAATGATCGTTAAGGCCAAAATTGTCTGTTAACCAAAAATGTATAAATAATAAGTAAAACACGTTTTAACTATTCCAAGTAGTGTTTTAAATAAGGTACTGAAGTATATATACAGTAAAAAATGTATTTACCTTTCCATCGTGTGACACAATAAATAATGTTTTGGAGCCACCGGCAATGTGTACCGGCCGTAAAGCACTTAGCCCCGGTGAGAATATCGGTACTTTCACTTTTGAACCCTTTACTCCTCCTAACTGGTCTTTATCGTTGAGTCCCCATACGTAAACCTAATTTAAAAAAAGTTTTTTTAAATTTCAATCTAGATTAGATTGACATTACTCAAACCAATCGAATGCATATATAAATCTTTACGTGATATGAGTCAAAGTCAAAGTCAAATCGTTTATTTCAATTAGACCATCTAAAATGGCACTTTTGAACGTCAAAAAAAAAAAAATAAAGATGATTCTAGTTGCCCCTTCCAAAAGGTAGTTTCGTGTAGAGAAGAATGGGCAAGAAACTCCACACTTACTCTTTTAAAATAGGTTTACAATATTTTGTTACATTTGTTAAATAATTATATGTGAAGACAATGTACTCTTAGAATAAACTACTATACTAAAAAAGTTAGTATACATGTTCCTCACATATTTACAAATATCGAAACCTTAGAATATTAACATTAAAGAGTAATAAAAATATTAAAAAAACACAACAAAACAGTGTGTGAGATACAAAAAAAAAATAATTACATTTGTAGCATTATATAAATTAAAAAAAATAAAATAATAATAACAAAAATATGTTAAAGCAAAAAATCAGCAACCAATTTGATTTTGTCCAGGCTATAGAGCCAATCATAGGATCGTCCTATGGAGCAGGACCAGCATGTAAAGGATAACTCCGACTAGCGAGTTATTTTTGTTTGTCTAGGGCCTCAAAATCGCACATATTGCAGGAACCGGAACAGGTAAATTCTTTTTTTGCGTTAAAAACATTCCATAAATAAGTATATACCCACAAACTATGGTATTTCTATTGGCAAAGAATTTGCGTAGTTTCTGGTTCACTTACTTTTGGACAGTCCGGTTGTACAGATGGCACGTTATTATCAGTGGGTAAGGCACCTGTAGGCGGATCTTTCTCCATCCAATCCTCGGCAATAAAGTTCATACTCTGAAATATTGTTAGTAAAAAGTTTTCAGGTTTTATTTAAATTCTATGTAAATACTGGTGAATATTCAACATCCTCAAATCCAAGCATAAATAGTAGATTATGTCGCATAGAGTTTTGCGATATACTGGCCTTGCCATTTTTATTAAACCCAAGTATCGGTGTACGAGCCAAGGCTGTACATTTTTCTCAATCAGGCTTTCTTAGTATTAAAATAAATAATAGTTAAAAAACACGCTTTTACGGTTGCTCGATAGACGAAAAATATGGCACAGAGTTCCCCACGCTTTTTCACAATAATACCAGTTTTTTTTGTTCATTACCATTTTTAGCCTAAATTAGGAATTATTTTTCACTTTTTAGTTTGATGTGCTTGAAAAGCGTGTTTTTTAGTTTTTTTTAACTATTATGTATTTTTTAGGTAAATTTTTTTTTTCGGATTATTGCATTGTCATCGATCTTAGACAGGTGCGCAAAGTTTGAATTAAATCTGTCCGTTAAAAGTGGGTCAAAATCGAGTCCGAAGGAGTCGGTTACATACATACATACATACAAGTGAAGCTAATATAAAGCGTGTAAAAAGCGTGACGATTTCCTAAATCGTCGACATTACGTCCTAAGTTACGACACGAGAGTATCGTATATCGTATGCGTTTCATAGCAATTAACATTTCATTATTTCGCTTATATTCTATTGTTGTACGCGAGTGGTTGTTAATTAAAGCAACCGATAACCCAAGAACCGTACAATCGGGTTATACTTTGATACTTCATACAATGTTTCTTAAATAATACGTACTTTTATAAAAGTAAAGTTTAATTCTACTTACAGACAATATATCGGTGTAAAGTGGATTCGGTCTAAATCCAGTAATGTAAAGACCATAGACACGACAATCAGCATTTACGTTGCGATTTTGTTTTATCCCAATTTCGATGCATGGATAACACTGTAAATTGTAATTATAGTATTTGATTTATTTAAAACCTGCGCCATGGGCGAAAAGAAAAAAAATTATTTATTTAAACTTGTTTTATTTAATTATAGCATAAAGTTTTTGGTTTAACCCTTAATGGAATCTCTCAACATATAAATGTTATCGTTTGAGTCTGTTTAAAAAAATATAGTAAAACATGTATAAAAACAATTATCTAAAATATTAAGAGCAACATTTTCACACACATTCTATAAGAATTCTTAAATATGGTTTCTATAATAACCTGCTTGCAGTCCGATAGTAACTGTATCTGAGCTAAATGCGTAGGCGGTCTATCTCTTGAGGGCGGCGCAGGCGCACAAGGCACTGCTGCAAGTGGCGCTAATGCGGAGTCCTCGAAGCTCGAACCCGCCCGTACTGATAAGGCTGAGGGAGCATGCACACCGCCAGCCACGCCCAACCCTAATCGACGTATACGTACGCCACTCCGCATTTCGATGCGAATCCAATGCTAAAAAGTTTTTAGTTGAAAATTGTACTTTGTTTAAATTATTATTTCTTCAAACAAAGAATATGTTAAAGTTAACTAATATTATTTTAAAACAAGTCCAAATATTAAAGTGTTTCGTGTTATGCCAATAAAGAATCATTAAAATGTGATTTAAAGCAGAATCGTAAGTAAAGTTTAATAACTAATGCAGTAAATATTGCAGTAGAGACTGTAACTAAAACAAATTTAATTTTAGTTTCAAGGTTCCTTTCTGGACTATTAAGAAAATAGTAACCTGTCCAGTGCCAGTAGAGCTCTGCCAATAGGTGTGCGGCTGCGAGTCTAATAAGCGACGCGCACCTGCACCTGAACGACAAGATGAAACTCGCGCCGCTCGTACGGCCCCACGCCAACCTACGGTAGTGCCACCAGCACTTTCACCCCATTCCGCTATCCAAAAGAAATATATGAGCTTATATGGATTGAAAATTGATGATATGATATATATAAAAGGGAGCAAATATATAAAAAAGCTTTTTCAGTATTCAAGACAGAATCTTTGGCAGTTATCTCATAAGGCCAGGTAATATGAATCGTGGCCAAAAATTTATTTGTCTTTGGAAAAAAAAACATCGCAATCTTTTTTGGAAAACAAATCTATAGATTGACATTACCGTTTGAATTTAATGAAACAGAAGGTAAATATACTAGAAACTGCAGATTTTATTATTGTTTCATAATCAAAGGATTTAATTAGAAGAAAACACTTACATTGATCCGTCACTAATTCCATTTCACTGACTTGACCAGTCCATCCAGGTTGTTGAGGAAAATCAACTGTTAAGTCTCGACCATTGCTGGATATAGCTGTTTATGTAAGATAATAAAAACGGTTATTTACATCAACTATTAAAAAAAATCACAATATATAGAACTTTTTGCTAGTCTTACGCCTAGTGAAATCAATGTCAACAATCAACGGACATTACTGTTAACATAGATATCAAATAAATCCAGGTGCTGACGTGGATTATAACAAAACTTACTTATTTTTTCATTCTTAATTCTTAATAAAGTCTTAAAAACTTATTAGTGTGTTTTATTAGTTTTATAAACTTATTAATGTGTTCGACACATATTTTTAATAAATTTGACTAGTCATGACATGTTGATCTAAGTAGGACAGTAATTTAGCTACTCAATATACACTTAACCAGAATATTTAATATTACATTTTTGCTGTTAAGAAATCTATTATACAGTAAAAATATTACGAGCGAGATCTATTTAGTGGTGTCTACATTAATAACAAGGATAAATAAATATTATTACTTTGACGTCTATTTTTGAACTGTGTAGTAACACAAACAAACCTGTAACAGTGCCGACACTGGAGTGATCAATACACCCCCACTTATATCTTGGTTGCGTGACAGCTGAACGTACACGTACGCGATCGCCTGCGGTAAACGGCGGTGCGCCCGATACTACTTCAGCGTTAAGCGCTCGAATACCCGAAACTCGACCTAGGCCACGCCATTCGATCTAAAATATATATTTTTTTTAAACACACATTTCCATAGACTATGGGAGTAATAAATTTCATAGAAAATAAGTTTAGAATTTATCAACTTACATGTAGATACACGTTTTGCTTAATATCACGTTCAACCTTTTGCACTTGCCCCACATCACCCAACGCGATCTATATAGAAGACATACTTATTAAATATATATTCAAATCATTTTTATGCGTAGAAGTTATTTGTGAAGAAATATCCCTATAATAAAATGCTTTAATTATTGATATAAAAGTAATACAATATTAATATCTAAATTCACTTACATTTTCAAAGGCCTTGCAACACCGTACAGTCATTCCGGGTGTTATAATATCTGATAAGTACTGAGCGTATTCATCCTCAGACGCAAAGCAACTTCTCCAACGGTATGGCGTCTGTTTCTTCTCTTTTGACTGAGATTTCGGTTCAAAGACTGAGTCGTCCATACCTTGCTGTGGTAGTTCTAAGAGGTATGCTACTAATGCTTCGACGGATGGTAGACTTGTACCACCTATAAAAAAATTAAATACTTTATGATTACAATCCGATATAACTTATAAGTCGATTACTGTGAAGTGAGTATTGGCAACCTTTGACAGAGAATCAATCTCAAGCGAGTCGGCTGCGCCCTTGTTTTAAAAAAAAAAACAACAAAAGTATTTCGTTACAGAACAAACGTAAAATTGTGTATTTTCTTTGTAGCATTCTTTACTTTTGTAGCGGGAGTTCACATTAACATATGGTAAGAATCAGGTACGGAGACGTACTACTACTACGCATCGGATATAATTTTAGAAGAAAAGCACTGACCCAGTGTCTGTATGGCTGAGTACACTGCATGTCTGGAGAATCCCATCTCTATGACTTGTTGGACTTGTGCAGAATTAGCCCACGTATTGAGGTCTTTTCGAGCTGTAACATTAAATTAAATTTTGTTTGCTGTACCCAAACAAAGTAGTACTAAAAATATGTCCTTTTAAAAAATATTTTTTTACTTACATAGTGACGCTGTACTCGTAGAAGGACCCGCAGATATTTGCATTATGTTACTTTTGTCTATTAAAGGAATTTCTGGAGGAGATTCGAAATCTTTTTCGTCATCTGAAAAATATGAGTAACAATTAAATACGAAAATGGAATTAAATTACAACTTCCAATTAAAGCAGTGTTGGCCTTAGGATGCGACTCTCATCCGCATGTTCGAAGACTTTCTGTCTACGTGCGCAATTAACACTCGCTTGTACGGTAAAGGAAAACGTCGTGAGGAAACCGGCATGCTATAGACCCAAACAATTGATGGCGCGTGTCAGGCACAGAATGAAAACCACCTACTTGCTTATTAGAAAAAACATATGACTACGACATGTAAACCTTCTCAGTAACTATGGTCGATACCCTAAGTGCCCACAGAATCCTGATCCTGCCGGTAGTCTAATACTATTGTAATTGAAAAACATTTGAGCCCGATTTGATAACATTTAACTGACATATCTATAAAGAAGACATTACTTTATTTATAGGCAGAAGCGACGCAATAATCGTTGACGCCGAAAGCACTATGCAAGTTGATGAAAATAAATTGTTTAATTTTAGAAGTTACATATCTCTAAATGCGACATATGAAAGAAATAACTAATAAAAATGATTGCATTCCTTTTTAATTCATTGTATTTCAGTAAGTTTTTAGTTTCTTCGTAGATTTAGTATAAAGGACTATTTCACTAGTTCACTTGGAAGAAAGTAAGATTCATTTAAAGAATCGGCACTTTTCCCCCTTGATGTATACTTGTGTTCTATAAAATAAACGCAGAAATTTAGTTGTTACCCGGCATATAACACTTCACAATAACGGTCTAATACTTACTAGAAACATGTGCAGCCAGTTGTTGTGCTATAGCCAATGCGGCTACGCCGAGTTCTTTGGGTGTGTGTGACGCGGCTAAAGGACTAGGCCGAGTTGCTAGTGCTAGTAGACGACGTAGTAAAGTGCCTTCTGTGCCAAGTGAGTTTCCAGTTCTTTCTAGAGATCCTAAAGATAAAAAATATTAGAATAACACTTACATAATTTTACCGTTTTTGATGTAAAACTTAAAAAAAAAACAACTATCTAATACTAAAAACGACATTATATAGAGTCGAGACTTAGCACTAAGTAAGACTCTCGTATGTCAAATCGGAATAGATTTTCACATATAGAAGCCACAGTTCGCGCGAAGTCACGGTTCTTAACATTACACTTAAAGGTTGAAAAATATATTTTTGAATACTCTTTATTCAGAAAACTAAAGGCATTTAGCTAAATTGGTCTTTTGAAAAACATTGTGATGCAGAGACAGGTGAGTATTTTAATTAAACATTATTATAGATTTAAAGTAAACTTTTGAAGTTTATAAGTATGTTTACGGAATGAAAAAAAATCCAATTTAAATTAAGCTCAGATTCTATGAATTTTTTTTAATTTTATTTTTTTCAACGATGATGATTTAATAAAGTAAAATTTATTCAGTTTTAAACATCATCGCTATGTTACCTGTGGAGTTATCCGGAGGTTGCATTAATACATTTCGTAGTCGAGTCCGCGTAGTCAGTAAGCCTCGTACGGCGGATAATGTGAGCAGTTCCATTTGCTGTCTTCTCAAACCATATACGTCAATATCCGCTAAATCATCAAAATGTGATTAGGTTGGTAGTTAAACTTGTTTACAATCTCTATCACTCAAATTTCTTAACGAATTTCTTTGCGAATCCCACTCAGTAAGGCCAATTTAAAAAATGTCATTTGAGATCTTAGTGACCTCCTTAAAATATCGAATAAAGTGGGGTAAGGTGTATTAAGTATCGATACGTTACTGTAATTTTATTAATAATAATATAGATATTATTCATAAAATTAATAACATTTTTTAAGTTATTTTTATAGTTAAATAAAAGAATAATTTTTTGTTCCATAATCCGATTACATAATCGGAATTGAAAATGCTATATTGCCGTTACAAGGATACCTTATTGAATTTTGATGAGATGTCAAATGTGATATAAAATACTTACTATAGGAATCCTTGGCATCAAATAAACCCTAATTAAACACATTAAATATGATAGGGTAAGTACTATAAGGATTTATCATTTTTTTTACTAGGCCCAACAATGGATTAAATTGCTTAGCTATATTTATTAATATTACCCGGCAAATGATGTGGATGCATCGGCGAAGCCTGTGGTCCAGCGCCCAATAACGCTGCACACACTCGTAGAGCACTTTCACCGCCAACTAGCGGATGAGACAGTTTCTCACATTCTATACTTTGTACACTGTTTAGATCCGTCTGAAAATTTAATATGCGTATTAACAATTGATCGTTTGTTTCTTAAATAAATAAGTTTTTTTTAATTTATTTATTACACAGTGTTGGCCTAGTAACTTTAGCGACTCTTATCCCTGAGATCTAAACGCATGACGCGTTTGAATCACGGCTGTGCACCAGTTTGTACGCAATTAGCACTTGCTTCTACGGTTAAAACATTGTGAAAAAACTAACATGTCGCAATCACAAATCCACACATGTCATCAATATTTGTGATTCCGTAAGAATGGCTTTTAAATAAAAATGATCGAAGAAACGGATGCAATCTAAAGCAGGGTCCACACTATGCCGCGGTAGGCCGGGAGGGTTGACCCGGGTGGGCTAAGCCGGGCGGGTACGTTCGGGCCGGCACGACGTCCACACTGAAAACGAAGCCAACCGGGCTATTTCTACCTACATTATTTAGTTTCAACACCAAGACTGGTGATTTAGTTGAAGAGTACTTAAAATGAACAATAAAAAACCCTACTTAAACAAACTGAATCGAAAATAAAATAATTCGTCTACTTCGGTCGGAGGTTTAATTGTAACTGAAGCCGCTCGGGGCGCTCGGCACGTCCCCATTCTATATTTTTGTTCGGCTCGGCTCGGCTTCCGTTGATCTGTACCTACTTTATGCGGGTTGGGATCGGCACGGCCCGGGCCGGCATTTTCTAACCCGGCAAAGCCGCCCGGGGCGTCTACATCAACGCGGCTTAGGCCGCCCGGGTCAGCCCGCCCGGCCTACCCCGGCATAGTGTGGACCCTGCTTAAGACCAAGACCCATTTAGGATAATAACTAGTAGAATAATTTTTAATATTTTTTATTAGGAAATTATGGATACATACTAGTCACTACAGTAGAAACCGAAGCAAGAGTCAAAAATATAAACATCTTGATATTTTAACTTTATAAGATTCATTATTAGCTAAAAGATAAAGTGAATTCTAATACCTTAGTAGTCGAATTATCATCGTGAACTAAAGTGATCTTAGCGCGTGTAGAAAGTTGTGTTATGACCGCATTACGCGGAGGGGATCCCGCACACACTCGCTGTCCTAAACGCAATCTCCATTCCATACCACCCACCACGCCCAAAGCACCAGCTGATAAGAAAATACATAAGGTATAAGAATTTAAATCAATTCATCAAAGATACAAAACAGGGTAACATCATTGGATACACGACACCAAAAATATTCGATATTACGTTCCTTCTTGACGTTATTTACTAACTTATAGCAAAGGAAACAATTTTTTAACGGATTGAAGTTATGTATTATAAATTTACAATTATTTTACCTACTGTTCTTTTAGTCGATACCAACTCCGCGGAAATAAATACAGATAATACAACTTTTTCTACATGTGATACTTTTTGACATTCAACACCTTTTGTTTTCAGTCACCGTGACCACGCACGCTGTAAAGCACGCGAAGCGTCGGTTAAATTTAAAATAATTGTAAATTTATAATACATAAATACATAACTTCAATCCGTTAAAAAATTGTTTCCTTTAAATGTGTAAAAGTTATGTAAATAAAAGACAATACTATGTGTAACTTATAGTAGTTATTATATTTTTTATTAGATATCATAAATATAAATATTACCTATTAAACAAGTATTGAGCGAGGGAGGAGCTGGTTTTAAGGTTTGCGCCAAATCTTGACTAGCATGTGGCCACCAATGCCAATCATTCGTTATCTGAAACAAACATTCTTGAATCTATAGACACATTATTTATTTATTCATTAGGCAGATTACGAGACATATAACTCACATAGAAAATATTAAACTAAAACATATATGTAAACATTACATAAGCATTTTAATACATCATCCATTTACATCAGTTGCAATTTACATGTATGCACGACATACACAAGGACACAACAAAAAAATGGCATCTAAATAAGAAAAAAACAATGACAAGTATTAATTAGACATTGTATTAAACGAAAACATCACTTTTTATGATTAAATTTTTTTACGGTGCCGGCACAACAGCAGCATCATAATACGATTCAAGACATCTTGTAACTATCGCAAAAAGATCAGACTCGCATGTCGAAGGAACGTAACTATTAACTTTACGTAAAATCACTTGATCGAAATAAAGGATTTTTTTACGTTAAAACATAGAAAGCAGCAAAGTACGTCGACACAAAACTTTTGGACAAATTTAATACCATTTGAGCAGCCATCTGCATTTTCTCCAAAAGCAGGCTTGTGATGGGACCGTGCCACTGCTGTATTGTGTGTAGTTGCCTTAACAGACTTATTATAGCCGCACACGTTGCGCCCGTGTAACTAGATGTCGCAGGCGCACGCCATCTGTTATCTGCAAAGTAGTAGTAGGAATATTAATTTTTAAAAATTTCTGTGACGGATAAAACGCGAATTATTTTTTACATCTATAATAAACACACAATACATTTAAATAACTCGGCGTTTAGAGAACTTTAAAGTCGAGGTCAGCGAAAGACACCCACTAATATTAGTAATTAAGCCAATTAAAATGTTGCCATATCATCTATTGCCACATAATAAAATTAAAACCGGTCATGGCATCCGATCAAGAATTAACCTTGGATATCCCTAACGTAAATCCAGCAGAATGAATACCAACTCACACCTATGCGACATTAATATTATGACAAAGAATTTTAAACACCTAAAAATATTTTTTTGTAACAAAAGTTTAAAATAATTATTTTTGACATAAAACACTTACCGACTTCCTCCTCGTCCATATGCGCGGGCATCTGTGTGTAGTGTGAACTGAGCCTTAAGGCCGGATCGGCCGTATGAGTCTCTAGCCATAGACGACCAGCAAGTGCTATTAGTTGTGCGGAGACAGTACGACGCCATTCTATTGGACCATTATGTTCGGATAGCACACTACGAAGAAGCCATAAGGCTTGGATCTGCAATTAATATTGTTTTATGTCTGCTGCCATACGTTGAAGAGCTTTTGTCTATATGCGATAGTGAAAATTACGATCGTTTAATAGCCCTTATGAATTTGTCGTAAAGAAGATATAAATATAAATAAAAAACAAACCTGCAAATATATCAAATCTTGTGTGATTGGTTTGTCATTTGGTGATATAATGCTGTAGCACAATTCAAACCACGAGTCTGTACAGAGGGATATTCTCATTTCCAAAGTCTGAGCGCTCGCTAGAAAGGAAAAAAAAATGGAAATAATAAACTGCTAATTTTGATGTCTAAGGAATCCTAAGATAACTAACTTAGCTGGTAAGCATGTTGATACATTCAAGTATAATGAAATTAATGATATATAATAACTTTTTAAGCAGAAATTTCGGAAGAGCAGACATACTATTTTCTTTCACTTTCGCTGAATTAAAATTAGCCGGCGGATAGCGTAACTAAAATTAGATATCACTTGCATGTAACACTTACCTCTCAACAAAGCCAATGAAGTATGCAAATGTCCAGCAAACGCAGTGGGTGGAGGTGACACATGCGCATGTGCGAGTGCCAGTAACCGCCTCTGCAGGGCAGCAACGTTTCGTCTAGCAGTAACGCTGTAACCGCCTACACCTCTTCTAGCTCCCACTCCCGCGCACATTGCACGTACTGCGCTAGTGCAAGCCGCACGGACTTCGCTCACTGGCCACCAGTCTTGAGTCATCTCCGCTATTTATATATAAATTATATAAACATATATTAATAAAATCAATGTTCATATTACGTTTTAACTATATCTTCTCCAATGACTACGCAGAGGACGTATATGGTCTCCAAAAATCTGTATAGAAAAAGAAAAGAACAAAAAAAGAAAAACATTTAAGTCTTTCTTCTTATTATTTTCTACACAACCATGAAGTCTTATCGTGCGATAAGCATGCGTAAGATATATAAACACTAAACTAGGCTTTATGTATATTATTTTACGAACACTGTCATTAAGATTTTATTTTTAAATAAATTTTCTGGTGTAATAATAACTCAGTGGCTCTACAATCATATATGGGTCTCAGATTGCATCCATTTCTTTAATCATTTTTATGTCATAGCTGATATGAAAGCTGAGCAAGTGCAGCCTTATGCATGCATATGTCATGACACACAATTCGTTTTTTGAATTTGAGCCATGCCGGTTTCTTTACGATGTTTTCCTTCACCGTACGAGCGAGTATTAAATGCGTACAAGGACAGAAAGTCAATTAGTGCACAGCGACCTCGGGGACTCATCCCTCAAGTCGCACGCTGAAGCCACTAGGAACTTCTTTGTAAAAAATCTTTACACCTATAGATTTAAACATTTAAAATACAGAACTCAAACAATAAAATCACTTACGCGACCCCTGCACGGTTTCATCCACAGAAGGCGGTGGAGAGGGAGAACGAGCCAGTTTGAGATCGTACTTGCCCTCTTTCCCCATACGGTATGAATTGGTACCTCCAGCGTCCCACGCTACTCGCACCCACCCATCTTCACCTAATTCACCTATTACACGCCCTTCACCACCTGGTACACCGTCCTAATAAATAAAAAACACAATTGAATAATTAAATACTATAAGAGATATTCAAAGCAGTTCAGAACAAGGGCAAATGCCGTCAACCTTTTCTGAAGATGCTAAATAATATTGTTATGTCAAATCATGGAAATCAAAATCATATTAGCCTGCTTTAAATATTATTACATTACAATAAATATTTATTTTAATCTATGCTCTAGATTTGTTTGAGTAAAAAATTAGTCTGTGTGGAAAGAGAACCGTCGTCGTGGGATTTGAGCCAGCAGAGACCAATTACCTATATTGTTATGTTGAAAACACTTTTACGTCTTTATAGTAGATTATGCTATACAACCGGTAAGTTATTCTATAAAACCGGTATATTATGCTATAAAACCGTAAAATTGTGCAATTAAACCGGTAGTTTATACTATAAAACCGGTTAATTATTAAATATTAACCGGTAACATCCATTCATACCTAAAATATATTCACATTTTTAATATTAGTAGCATTAATTGTTAGTTATAACATTTTCAGACATCCGAATCCTATACTACTTCTTAGTGCTTGTTCACGTTGGAGCGAGGGTGCGGGCGCGGAGAAGTACTTAGACCGCACGTGCGTTTCGTATGTGAACACTTGGATATTACGCCATATGTTTGATATTTCGTGACCGCGCCCTCCACCGCGTCCGCGACTCAACGTGAACAAGTACTTACACATTATTATGCATTGTTTATAATGAATAAACACATTTTTTTATATTGGTAAAAATTTCGTCTTTTAACCGACTTCAAAAAATACCAAGGACGAGGCTTAGAATTCATCGTATTTTTTTAATTTATTTACGTGTTTATGGCTTTATTATTACCTGATCACCCCACTTCCAGTCTTTACCGCGAACCACTCGCGTCCCAATCTTCATTAAAGATGCTAGCTCTGGTCCAGAGAGTGAAGCACCTCTCGCTCTAGCCCCGAGTCTCTCATCCTCGTATATTATCAAGCAATCAGCTGGAAAATGTTTTTTAACTTACTTTTATTGTTAACCTACTAAGGTTTTGTAAAAACAAAAGGTAGCAAACAGTAGTAGTAGGTAGTAAAGCAGCTTTTTAGCATTATATTAGTACACTGGCAACTCTAATACAAATAATAAACGGTTACTTACAACTTCCAGTAAAATTATACCATGTTTTGATAAATTATATATATAATAGTAAACTTTACAGGGCAGCCATTTCAAAATAATATAACCATTTTAGTTTTTGACATAACTATTTTAATTCATATTCTGTTATTATGAAATTTGGCATACAAAAAAACAAAAGGGTTTTTTTTAAACAAAATAAATATAATAACATTAAATTACACAGTTTTCTAGAGAAATCACATGTTTCTATCAAAGCCGTCACTTTACCGACTGATTAATTTGAAATTTAAAACACATAGAATTTTAATTTTAATGTATACGTAATATTTAGGCAAAGTAGTATCCAAATATGATAAAAAGTGGATTTTGTTTTTTTTTCAAATCCGACATTGTTCTACGTTCTACCTTTATAGTGTACTAATAATGCGAATATTTTATAAATTCTGTTGTTGATACGTAAAACTTGCTACAACATTGGTATGTCTTTCCAGTGGTAATCAAAGAAAATATTATCAAAAGCGCTTAAAGAATTCGTAAATTAATTAGATACGACTACCTCTTGATTTAGTTCCGTGGCAAATAAGCGATGCGTGCTGAGATGTGTCGCCTCCAATTTGCTTGAGCAAAGTAAGACAGGAACTAAGGGCTCCACCGTTAATTAGCTGTTCTAACTCTGGACCTTGACAACCCTCAATGAGGAGGGATAAAAGAATTATCAGGAACCTAAAATATTATTAAAATATATTATACTAATTTTAAAGTACCTTTAATCTACGATAAAACAAATGAGTATAATTATATTAATTATATATAATTTTGTACTTAGTTACCGAAATTAGTAACTTATACTGCGACTTTTCATTCCGTAGAATTCTGACATTACAATAAGTGTTGCTATTAAAAATATTCTCCACCGAAAAAGGGACGAATTTGACCCATTTGAGAGCAATAAAAAATAAAATGCTACGTATTTTTATGTTTTACCTACAAAAAGGTAAATCTAAATATTTACTTACTCAATTGACCTAATTCAAAAATAACAAATATTTAAATATCACGAACAATAATTATTAGAATTAACTTTAATTACTTTATTTTATTCTTTAGTTGGCATCACTGCCTACTAATTCCAGGTGTAGAAAACCTTTTTAATATCATATGTTATCTTAACTTGTGCATTTTTACTGTTTGTGATGAAAAGGCACGTAATTATCACTCGCCGTTATACCACTTTTAATGTGGAGCACCGCACTTAATAAAATGGTACATTCACTAACAAATAAAATGTATGTATAAACTCAGATGTTCAGACTCGTATGTCTCTGACATGTCAAAAATGATAGCTGTCAGAATTCTACGGAATTAAAAATCGGAGTATAGGTAAAGATTTTGTAAAATCTTACCAAATATTATATTAAAGAATATTACATAATAACAAAGTGAGTGGAAAAAAAAATTATCTCAGTTGAAACTTTCAACCTCTTAAGAAACGCGTAAATTTGAAGAATAAAATAAATTTAATAGAACAAGCATTTACCTCGCCCGTGCCGGTTTGTTTAACAACGCATGTGCACCATAATTCGCACTCATTTTCAATGGTAACGGTTGGCTTTGTTCGCCTTCAATCACTCTAGATTTCAATTCAATTAGGATGAAATCCATCAATTTAGACTTCTCCAGAAGCACCATATACTTTAAATAGGGTATCACAGATTCTATGCCTTCCAGGGGTTTTTTCAATGGAATACTAGGTTTTAATTGTGTGTGTGGTACTGAGTCAGCCATACACGCCCCTAAAATGCCGCTGAGAGCCGCGTACTTTATACTATCAGACATAGTTTGTGACGAATTAATAATACTGTTTATAATAAAATAGCCATTTCTTCTTATTTCCGCTCTTTGAATCTGTAATTTTAATAATCATTGAATTTTTTGGAAAAGATTACAATTATTAAAGATATTTGAAGATTCTGACGTATTTGACAACCGACGTACCTGACAGTATAAAGCTCTTTTTAATATATCTATATCACAGGGTTCTTCAGTAATGACAAAGTCTATTATGGCCGTCGTTATATTTTGTTGTTCCGGCGTTACTTCTTCCAGGAGCCAGTACAAATCTGAAAGTAAATATTATTTATTTGCAAAAAGACTGGTTATACAATCAAAATAAGGAGTCGTCGTTACAACATTAAACAAATTCTTGCATTTCATCTAAGCCCCATTAAATTCTTCTGTTTGCTTGTTTTGAATACATACTTTTTTGCGCTATAAAAAAATTTTGTTATAGAAATTTTAGCGCTCAACCAAGACTCAATAATCATACCTTTTTCTTCACAAGCCATTCGCGACACCCACGCATTAACAAACTTATGCCTTTCCGAACTATCATCATCTTTTTCTTCATCAGCAATAATTAGTTCGTTTTTGAGATCATCAGCTAGTAGCATCACTTGTTTCTCACTTTCCATAGATTCTTTGAAAATTGAATTATCCGTTATATCATTCACGGAGCTCATAGAAATTTCATTTGTCGGAGTTTTATCATCATCCCTGTCTGTTTCATCTTTTTCTTTAATTTCGCTTCTGCTTTCGTCGTAATTAGATGCATTTTTTAGTTCTTTATCATATACTCTTACTTTGAGTTTCGTTTTAATTTTGTCTTTACTGAAATCACCATCGCCTTTTGGTTCTATTACAAGCAGTTGGTTCTCTTCGATATTTTTACTTGATTGACTTGCAATTGACGATTTGATGAGCAGTGCATCACCTTGTAGCAAGCTTCCGGTTGCTTTCAACATACTTTTACTCAAACTGTTTTGTCGGTTTCTTAACTCTTTAGTTGTTGTCTCCATACTGCAAAAATAGGAGTTATATAATACGAATGAAACTCCACGTATTTTTAAGTCGTAGTATTTATACTAAATGTCGTTTATTATGGGTAATAATAAAAACACTTTAACCAGACTACTGACATTGTTTACTTACCACTTATTAAAGTCGGGTGTTTTGGATAACTTCATGACTTTACGGAAAATTCTTTTAGAGGTGGGCGAACGATGTGATGGCGGGCGTGAGTTCAACGCAGATACTGCTGGAGAGATCGCCGCCCGAACATCGTGTAACAAAAATCGGGCCCTTTCTAATGGCGCAGCGCATACCTTAAAAATTCAAATCCACTTGTTAAGAAAGAAAGCTAAGAAAGTAATAAATTATTTAGTTTATTATTACAGCTCGAGTCCGCCAAAAATATTATTATGACAGCAGCTATAGTACTTACCTCCTTATATCCTCTGGATAGCTGCTGTCGAGTCCTCATCAAGGTCCATTTACTTTGTTGTACCGCTTTAACTATTTCTGACATCGCTGGGGAAAGCTTCACTTCTCCTTTTTCCATTTCTAAAAGGTTTATCAGGTATTATCACACTTTTCACTCACAACATTCTGATTTTGTCATGTTGTTAATTAAACGTAAGGGTCAAACCCTTATACGCTCCCTAACAGTTGATTAGAATTTGTGCAAACAAAACATTAACTAACCTGCAGTAGCAGTTGCCAACGCATGTTCTTTGAGTCCGGCGTGATAAAGTAGAACAGCCAATAAGGCTCTTCTCAATTCTTCTAGAGGATGTTCTGGTGGAAAGTGTGGAGCACAGCCTTCTCGCCTTTCACATGCCCACCATAGGTGTAAAGCTAATGGATCCTATAGAAATCATTAAAAATATTTTTTTCAGAACACGCCAACAGTTAGTGGTAGCAGAATTTACTAGGTTTAGAGCGAAACTCCACGCCTTACTTTAACCCTTTACTTGAAAATAGATACTGGAAATAAACTATAAATAAATATTTGTGCATAGTTTCTGCAACTTTCAAAAGCCATTATTATAATATAACATTAATTAAGTGGGTATCAAACGCTTTGCACATACATTCAGTTTTTCATATATATCCTTTTCATCTGAATTTGTTTTTGATATACGCAGATATAGACCACAAGCCCATGAACAAAAAATACCTGTGAAATGACCCAACCTGAATTACGCTTAGAAGGCTGTTACTATATCTGAAAATAGCTCTGAGCACTATGCCGTCATTTCTGAGCGGTACATGTGAGTACGTGAGTGAATGGACTTTCTCATGTACAATGGGGGAATTTCGACTAATTATTAATGTACGGCTTTGTTATAAGTGTATAGATGATTAAAAATAAATGTCGAAAAACCTATTGCCGTACAAAAGTGATGGTGCCGGAAGTCGGTGCAAATTTTTAATTCGACGACAGTTGCAGGAGCAATATAGGTCATTTATTACTGTACGGCATTTGTGTCATTCCTTTTGGACACATATACAGATACTTTACCCGTAAACGCCGTACATATTTCCAGCGGAGCGGTCGAAAGCCAAGGGTCGGAACCCTACCCCTACACCCATATACCCTAAGGTCATTGTAAAATGTACGGCAACATGTTCAAAATATTATTTAACACGGACAATAATGTTTTATAATTATGCCGTCCAAATATTATAGTTAATATTTGTGTAATTAAATATTTATCGAAATTTCAGGATTTACCAAGTTTTTACTGCTGTAAGATCAGAGAATAATGTACGGCAACTTGTTTTTTTACATAATGTTACTAAATATTACCGTTGTACATTATAGCCGTTCATTATAAATGGTAACAAATAAAAATATAATGATACAAAATATATGAAATTTCCGAAATTTAGATGACTTTTCAAATGCTCCTAGAGTAATATGGGGAGTAATATTTTCAAAGATTATTGTTATTTTATACGTAACAAATATAAATAAACAAAAAAAACCAGATGCCGTACATTTTACTCCAGATTATTCTTTACAGCTGATAAAAACTTCGACGACGTTTGAGGTGTCCCTTAAGGTCATTAATAACTGTACAAATCTGAGTATACTGCCATAAGGCTGTAAAGTATATTTACAGCCTTATCGATCACCGAGAGAGAGGTAAAGGAAAAATATTTTTAACAAAAATGAAGGGAAAGTACCTTAAATATCGCAGATAGGGTATTTTACTAAAAGAAGACTTTATGTTATTTATAAAGTTAGTAATTCTGCATTCAAAGATTTTTTTAAAACTACTTGCCTCGGTCTGAAAATCGAACCGGCTTAAATTAAAAAAAAAACCCTACTTTTATGATGCCAATCGAAAGAATGGCCAAAACCTAATAACTTTTCTAAAGTAACAGACTCGTAGGGGTTTTTTAGGCCGAATACGATAGATAATGTTTTTAATTTGATTAAAAAGATATATTCACGCTGTTCCTTTTCTTTTAAAATACTATGTTACTTAAGAAGAGTTATTAGTTTTTGGCCATTCTTTCGATTGGCATCATAAAAGTAGGGTTTTTTTTACATTTAAGTCAGTTCGATTCCCAGACGAGGCAAGTAATTTTAAAAAATCTTTGAATGCAGAATTAATAACTTTTAAAAATAACATAAAGTCTTCTTTTAGTAAAATACCCTATCTACGATATTTAAGGTACTTTCCCTTCATTTCCCATAACTTTGGGACGCCCTGTATTGGTAGGCGGTGGTAGCGGACTATCGAAAGTGTACGGCATTTATATTTTATTGAAGATTGTCTAAAGTATTAATAACCTGTGTTATTGCCGTACAGATAAAAGTCACCCGGAAAATGACTCTTTTCTGAGAAAAGTAATTGGCCCCATACACCTATGTGTTCCACAAAAAATGTACGGCATGCTGGAAAATGTTATCTATTTGTGAAGTACTCTCAAGATCATTTAATTTTATGTTGATTCATATCATCATCACCTATATGCTAATCAGACATATGTTGCGACCCCTGGCTGGCTTTCGACCGCTCCGCTGGGAATATGTACGGCGTTTACGGGTAAAGTATCTGTATATGTGTCCAAAAGGAATGACACAAATGCCGTACAGTAATAAATGACCTATATTGCTCCTGCAACTGTCGTCGAATTAAAAATTTGCACCGACTTCCGGCACCATCACTTTTGTACGGCACTAGGTTTTTCGACATTTATTTTTAATCATCTATACACTTATAACAAAGCCGTACATTAATAATTAGTCGAAATTTCCCCATTGTACATGAGAAAGTCCATTCACTCACGTACCCACATGTACCGCTCAGAAATGACGGCATAGTGCTCAGAGCTATTTTCAGATATAGTAACAGCCTTCTAAGCGTAATTCACGTTGGGTCATTTCACAGGTATTTTTTGTTCATGGGCTTGTGGTCTAATACTCCATAATACTTACGTGTAATTTAGGTTCAGCCAAAGCCTGCAACAGAGCGTCAGCCCTCGCCGGTGACGTACTAACATTAAGCCTTGGAACTCGTATTTTCAAAGACACTTGTGAAGTCGGATGAATCATGTTAGTTATTGGTACTTCGCTCGCTGGACTGTTACCGCCTGTGGAAGAACCGCTGCGAGCTTCGGCTTTTTCCTCTTCAAAAGGATTCGCAGGGCAGGATGTCTATAAAATGTAGATGAAAATTATTTTCTTGATAATGTTTTGCTTAATGTTAAGCATAACGTCTTTGTTTCCAGTTATAAGCAAATAATTGACAAGAAACAAATTGGATGATTTAATAAAAAGGTAATTGTAATTCATGTACATAACCATATATGACCACCAAACTTATACCAGTGTAAGTGTATATACTATTTTAGCATTTATTATGACAGGCTCGATGCCGCCTATAACAAACACTCAAACTTGACATAAAACGTAGTTCTTAAACCAATAAATCTGATGTTAAGTAATTCCACCCGTATCACCTCGACGTCCGCCGTTCCACAACTGAGCGTTTTTCAACCCAGTTTTTGCCGCGCACCACCACTTTGTGGAACCAGCTGCCCACTGAAGTATTTCCGAACCAATTCGACTTAGGGTCCTTCAAAAAAAGAGCGTACGAATTCTTAAAAGAGGCCGGCAACGCATTCGCGAGCCCTCTGGCATTGAAAGTGTCCATGGGCGGCGGTATCACTTACCATCAGGTGAACCTCCTACGCGTTTGCCCCCTGTTCTATAAAAAAAAAAAAGTGTGTCAGCAATATTTATATATAGATTTTAAAATGCGTTATGGCGTAAAATAAGTTATAAATACATGTCTTTCTATTGACTTTTATACTATTATTTTATAAGAAATACAGTATATGCAAATTTTGCATAAAATTGTTCGGGATTATTTATATAAAATAATTTCAATTTAGTAAATTGTACCTGAAGTCCTCCTCTTAAGAAGACCGCAGATATATAGGAAGATGCCTCTCTTTCAGCTTGTTGTACCGGCAGAGATCGCGCTAGTTTCAAACCACACTGAGATAGACCAAGAGTTAGATGAAACGCACATGAAGATAAAACATGATGGGTGCGTAGGGTAGAAGTACTTTCCTGAAATGAAAAAGACAATATAGCGTTTCATTTTTAGAAATCGTTTTAATTACTTATAAACGATAGTATAATACTAAACAGTCAAGTACTCTTGCAATCTTGCAAGACCTTATACTATTCTAACGTAACCAAAAAAATAGGGACATAACATTTTCATAACTTATATTTTCGAAATGAATATTTTGTACCTATCAAAAACTTTACAGAATAATTTTTGTTTACCTGACACTTATGACTATACACTTGTGTTGTATAAAGGCCAACACACTTCTCAGTTAGGCGTGAGAGATAGGCAGCGTGAGGGTCCACGCTAAGGGCCGCAGTAGCATCCGCGCCACGTAATTTACGTACTAACTCCACAGTACTAGCATTCTCACAATCAAAGTTTTCTACGTCGTATACGTAACCAGCTATAATGATCCATGATCCGCCTTCTTTTGTATGGTTGTGGAGGTCACATCTATAATTACAAAATCACTTAAACGTTAAACACTTACGACGTTTTGTAAAAATTCTAAGATTAATTACTAACGAGAAAAACACTTACTTTCTGACAACGTGGTTATTGCCTTGGTTCTTTCTGGAGACTAAACCAGGCCAGCCCAAAAGATCTGCATCTAATTTTTGTGCGGATGGAAGGCATTTCGCCGCTTCGTCACACGCACGTATTATTTTTATGAATGACGTGGAACAATCGGACATAGCGATGGCAGAGCGCGCTGCACACGTACACACCCATACTGCTAATTCGCTTACTACCCTACCTGTAAAACGTAAGTTTTTATCGAGTCTCATGAGTCACAATTTGATATCTAACTCACTTTAGCCTACTCAAATGGAATCCGAACTACATGGGTACTACAAATTTAAAAAAAATCAAGCAGTAAAAATTTTGAATCAAAAAATATAAAAAAATTTTGAGTTTGAGTTTCTCAAATTTCATTTATTTTTATTTAATAGTTATTAACATAAATATTAAATTAATCAATAAAATTATTATAAGTAAAATCAGCGTCGTTTGATTGATTTAATAAACCAAATTATTTATTTATTCACACTTTTATTTATTTAACCTTTCTAATTAAAATTATATATATATTTTTTAAAAAATTTTTTTTTAATAAATTTCTCATTCGCTTAAAGAAGTATAACTTCAAAAAGTCTGGTTTTCTAAAAAAAATAAAGAAAGGAAGAAAGTATTAAAGAAATATTTCCCTTTCACAACACACACTTACCTACAATATCAGCACTAATGAGATCGCATAGACTATTGAGTTGAGTGTTGTCCGCTCTGTGTACGGCAGTAATGAAACAACATAAGGTTGACTGTACGTGCTCCGACAGGAGATTGACGTATTGCGTCATAAGGTTACGGACACCACCGCGTGTACCCCTCCCACCACGGGACCACATGGCTTCACAGAATAATAACCTGGAGAATATAAACTTTAGATTACCAACTCAGTGGCTCTTGGTTGCCTCCCCAAGTAAGTAGTTTTAGCTCCTGTTAGGAATGTATAAAGTGGTTATTGCCGAATTGCCGAGATAGCATTGTGAGTCTTCAGTAATTTTTAAAATCTTCTTTAACTTACATTATTTACGTATTACATATATTTCACATTAACCAAAATTGTTGGTGTACGAAAAAATAAAGTTTTATTTAAACTCTATCTTAGTATATTTAACAAGTGAAAATTGTACCTTTGAAAACGTATGAGGAGATCACAGCTTGGACTAACTGTATCATGCCCTTTGAGATCGTCAGTTTTACTTGTATTGCCGTCCATTATAGACCTCATGTGCATTTGCGTTTGACATGTGGTATTTTTTATTAAATGTTTGACCTGAAATATATGGATATCTATTATGCTGTAAATGTGAAAATTAGTGGTTTTAATTATTATTTTCTAAGAAACACTTACTAGATGCATCAAAGGCACAGATGCTCCATCCGATGGTGTTTCATTGCTTATTTGATATTCTTCTACAGGCTCAACTGAAAATTCTTTTTGGGATTACAATTTTTACATATTAGGCCATTTTAGTTACATCCTATAATTTTGTCCAATTATATGCATTTTTGACATTTATTTAAGATAGAACAGAATGCATAATAAAATAAAATAAGTATTATTAATTAATAAATAAATATTTGACATGAACCGAATACCACAGTAAAATAAAATATCAGAGTATAATGTTATAGTATTTATGTTTCATAATAAATAAGTTTACCATGAATAGTTTCCGTCTCATCAGACATGGTGGTTGTTGGACGACTGCGTTGGCCGGTCACTATGTCGACTTGATCAAATTCACTAAAAAATTAAAACAATAAAGTCAGTAAAAATTACCTATTTATTTAATTGCATGCGTGCATTTAATTGCTCTTTTTATTGGAAACACTTTTAACAAGTTTTTTTAGAATGTACCAGCTGTTTGTAATTTTTAATTGTAGCCAGGGCGAATGTCGTGAGACAAAATAATCAAAAGTAATATGCTTCCGGAACGACAAGCCCGCCATATTTACTATCTAGTTGTTTGAAAATATAATGTACGACGTGACAGTATTTATCAAATAATTTAAAAAAACTAAATTATGTTCTTCAATATTAAAATATTAGTAATTTGTAAAGAAATTTTAAGGTTTAGATTAAATGCAAAATTAATTGATATCGTAAAGCAGACTTACTCGTCCAATTGCAAATGATTGTAGGGATCAGTTGAGTTTGCTTGAAGCGCATTTTTCAACGCGTCTCTAAGTCCACCACCGCCGAGCAAAGACCACACCAAAAGCTCTGTCATAAACCTGGCTCCTGCACTTGCGGCTACAGAGCCTAGAAAAATTAATAAAACTCCTAGTAGTATGTGGTTTTTGTGAGAAAATTAATTCAATTTCATTTAGGTTTGGTAATTTTGGTATACAATCTAGAGACAATTGGTAACATAAATCCTTATTTTAAATATAATATAATACCTTGAGGTAGTAAAGATATAAGATGATGTGCGCGAACATGCGGCGTCGGCAATAATACAGGCCAAGCGGCAGCTAACGCCCTTCTTGCGGCTGAAGCTGCGGCCGCACCAGCTCGCCCCTCTACCAACGACACAAGAGCTGCGTGCACACCGGCGCACCAAGATCGAGACTCTATATCGTCTGTGGAACCTCGGGCGCATTGCCAAGCGTGTACCTGATAGAAATTAGAATAGAAATATGTTAAGAAAGAATCTACTACACTAACTATATTTAATCTGACTATAAATTTCTTATAATCTTTGTCTTTATGCCAAAAAATTTCATAAAACATTCACTCATTAGGGCTTGTCACATATAATTATTTAACAAATGTAACAAAATATTGTAAACCTATTTTAAAAGAGTAAGTGTGGAGTTTCTTCTCCACACGAAACTACCTTTTGGAAGGGGCAACTAGAATCTTCTTTGTATTTTGCTTGACGTTCAAAAGTGCCATTTTAGGTGGTCTAATTGAAATAAATGTTTTGACTTTGACTTTGTACCACCAATAATAACCACCACCTCAAGGTGCTACTTAGTTTAAAGAAACTTAAGGCACAAGTATAAACTGCTTACTTTTGATCTCGAATTTAATTTTATCAGAACGTATGTTGTATAAACACAACCAATTCTATAGAGGAATACAATTTTATATATCAGTTCAATTACAAACATTATTAGCTATTTAGAACTTACTTGTAATCTTAAGAGATTCAAACATGAGATTGCCAGACATTCGTTTTCCTTCATATTCGCCGTACTGCTTTGATCGACTGCTATTCTTAATAATCGTTCTAAAAATCTGAAAAAAATACAAAAATTTAATTGACATTATCAATAAACCTCCGAAAATAAAAGGTATAAAATATAGCATGCTCACTGAAACGTTTTTTCTGATAGATCAATTACAAATGGCATAGACGACGGTAAGTCTCTTGGATTTTCTTCACTCCATGCTATTATATGATTTGGACCACTCGATACACCTGTAAAATAAAACGCAAATTAAATCTGAAGAACAACTATATATTGAAACTAGCAGACCGGCCAAGCGTTGCTGTGGCTAAGGTTTTTGTTATATTACATAGTAGTAAACTATTCAAGGGAAACGGTAGGAGAACACCGGTCATGGGGACCACCATGCTTTATTGGTGGTTATGCCATTAAATCGTAGCTTATGTGAAACGTTAGTACTTTCAACACAGCGCCATCTGTTAGAATTGTGACCATTACAAATAATAAACAAATATTTTGCAATAAAATAATATTGCGGGTATAAATTGAGATGTAAGCTATTAGATCTTTTAAGTTAGATCAAACTGCACACGGTGTGCAAATTTGATTGATATCGGTTTGGTAGTTTAGGAGTCCATAGCGGACAAACAACGTGACACGTAATTTATATATATTAAGAAGATTACAAGAGAATCACTACTTACCATTAGCCTTAAAAGATGGGTTAAAAACTTGGATTGGTTGCGGGGCAGGATTGGAAATTTGAGCTCTCTCATGCGTTCCCCATGCGTAAACTAATCCATCCGACGACAAAGCAATAGCATGAGTTGACCCCAATGATAAGTCGACAATTTTTACACCTATAAAAGATACGACTTAGGAAATTACTGAAAAATAAATGATCGCATCAAAACTCTGAAACGGTTGATGTTAATAGAGTTTAAACGAAATCATGATTATATTACAAAATAATGTGTAAGAGTGTACGCTATCTCTGGGATTACCTGCAATTTAATTATTTATTAATTTCGAAACCATAAAATAAATTACTTTGTGGTAACAATTAATATACAAATTTATGTCTTATTCTACATTTTGGGGACACAAGAAATTTCAACTTAAGAAAAACAAACATGTCATATTTTATCGACTAAATCCAACGAAAAGTATATCCAATGTATACTTTCATAATAATAGGATGAAAACCTAAAAAGCCTGTTACCTTGAAAAGCCTCTACAAGTTTCGGTATTTTAAATGTCTCCAAGTTCCCCTGCCCGAGGCGAAAACTCTCGCCTTTGCCCCAGGTGTAAACTTGACCGCTGAAACATTTATAATCAAGTACCTCACACTCACAGAAAAAGTATATTTTAATATTACTTTATAATAATATTACGTACCCATCAGTAAGCGCTGCGTGCCAGTGCTCGCCTGTGTAAACGCGTGTCACTCTAAACATTGACAGTGCGGAGAGGGTTCGCGGAGTGCCACCTTCACTATCTCCAAACACCTGTACCGCGCCTTCCCACGTACAACACAGAGTTTGACCGTCACCCCATGCTATCACCAAAGATGTACTTTTGATATTTGTAATAATAACACAAACATACGGACAGTAAATAGTATTTGTGTGTCATCAAAACAAATATTTGAGTTTGTTTTTTTTATATCACTATATTTTCGATGTGTGTAAATAAGAATTGCAAAAAATAAACTTTAAAAACTCAGGACTCGTTTTTTGATATATACTATGATTTTGATATATCCTGTTGAAATCTAATATGTGTAATTATTAGCACCAATAATCCCGTTTAAGCTAAAAAGTCTTTCGTAATGTATTAAGTAAGGACATACTTTGAAGAAATTGTTTTTTACTTTATAACATACCTAAAGCAACGTCAATGATTCGTTCAATATTGTGGGCGTTGAACGATACTGGCTGTGGTGTGAGACAGTTTTCGATTGTACCATGTCCCAACCTTCCTTGAGCGCTGCGACCCCACGTGTAAAGCGCGCCGCGAGATGTTATTACGGCACTGTATAAATAATATATTTTTTTTCATTGTGTCGTTGTAGTCAGACACATTAAGCTATTATGTGAATGACTTCTATTAGTCGATACTAAAAATATAACAAGACTTCAAAAGTTTTGTAAGTAAATTAAGGTAAAAACGTTAAGAAATAATGTTTGCAGTGTCATTGGATAAGTCCCTAAGTCCTTTGCAATATCAACTCAAACTGAGAAAATAATTGTGAAATAAGCCTTAAACTCGATTACATGCTATTGTATGTATACAAGCAAATGCTTTTTACCAAACATGCCACCGAAGGTTAACGCAAAATTGTAAAAAAACGCGTGTGATAATTTATAATTGGTATTAATAATGCAATGAAGATTATTTAAGTGCTATTTTTTCTGCTACATATTATGATACAACTTACCTGCAAGCCGGGCCAGCAGCTACTCTTACAACCTCATGATGAGCCAGGTGATGCACAGCCTGTGGCGCATCTCTTGGGGCAGTGTCCCCATGACCCAACCGTCCATCTTCCCCAGAACCCCAGGTCCATACTCCCCCACATTCCGATCGACAAAGAAAATGACGGCCCAATGGATGTGATGCCACTTGAGAAATTGTCTTTCCTTCGAGACCTAGAATTTTATTAAAACTCTTTTTTCCTACATCTTGTTTAAATCATATAAAGCTTTCTTGGCGTTTAGACCTTCGTCAAGCATTCTTATACGCCAATACGATTAAAATTATTGGCAGATAATTTTTTTCCAAATCCTCTTGTGGAATATTGATTTTGATAATGTAGGTTTCTTATAACTTGAATGCAAAGATTTACTATATTTCATTTATACCTAGTACAAATGCTAATCGTAAAAAGACGTATTTTTTGCTTTCATTTAGTTTAAAACGCACCCACGGAGCGATACCCATTTTATGCATGCAAAAAATTATATATTATAAATTCGATTTTAAGTTTTGTTCGTGCTAAGGTTGAGTAGCAATCTTATCTTAACATTACCAAACTTTCAAGAACTCAAACTCAAAATAACTTTATTCATATAGGTAAACAAGTACACCTATGAACGACAGAAAAGAAGTTACAAGTCCAAGACCAAAAAATAAGGATAAATAAAGACATAACTTGACTGACATTGGAAATGGGTGTAACACACATGTGATTAATATAAACAATAAGAAAGGACTCTTACCAGGAACTAAGTGTGGTGTCAATGTATCATACGGTAGGGTGTATATGGCGCCATCTTGTGTTAGTAGCAAGGCCAATTTCTCCGCACAGGCTATTTGCTGCACTCTAAGACTTCCCAATTGTATAGGACCAATGCCCACCGAAATGATTTCTTGGGCCGATTCTGTGCACTGGAATATCATTTAATTAAAAAAAAATGTATCAAAACATACACATATAAAAATCAATAGCATGTATTACATTTCAAAGGTAGAGTTTTATTTTTCACGAACGTACGTTCTAGAAGCGTTAATATAATTTACAATAGGTTTCATTAATATTTTCTCATGTAGTAAAGGAATAATTCGTAAAAAGCCAAACACCAAAATCAGCGAGTCTTACACCCAAAATATATAATACACGTAGACAGAAAAATTCATTGGTACATTTCCATGATTAGAACGCAAGACCTCGGAGTTGCGAGTCTACTTTATTTATAGAAGTATTGTCATGTACACACTATTACTTACAGTAACAAAACCCTTCAATGGAGGTAACAATGGTGCACCAAGTCTGTCCAAATGGCACAACAAAGCAATACCAGCTTTCTTTACACTTATTAGACCATCGCCACTCGGAATGTCTAAATCTCTGTAGAAAGAAAAAACAATTATACAAAAAATTAAAACAATGTATGCGTGTACTAGTGTGCACACGTAAGTGAAACTTCTTTATGACCTTATTTTACGAAAAATTATCTACTATATGCAACTTTACAGAAATTGGTTAAATAAAGTTAACTTAGATAAAGTTTAAAAAAATGCTTTTATTATCATAGACATAGATAGAATAGAATAAATAAATAGAATACAAATAATACAATTATTTCATTCTACCTTATTACTACTAAGATTATTACAGAATTTCATTAATTGTAATATAATTATTACTGTCTTTGTTATCATTATTATATATTTTTGTTTTTAATATAAATTTTATACATTTTATGAACGCACTACACGGTTTTTGACATAAATAATAATGATTTAAAAGCATAATTTCTATTTATAACTAAACATAATACTGAAATATTAATTAAATATAACGTGAAAAAAATTATCCAATATAAATAACAGTACGTTGCGGTAAGCCTGAAGTTACTTTTCAGAGGTAGGTAAACTTCACAAACAACAAATCTTGCAACTAATCAATAAACTGGATCCGAAATCGCAGGACAAGAAAAAGATGGCGCGTAATGGAAAAATGTGACGTCACGTGACGTAATTTTTTTTCCAACGCCGATAAAGAAGTTTCACTTCAAAAAATAAACATTATGATCTCGCATGACACGTAAAGGAACTCAGCTGAATACGCTTACACAGTTACATACTTTAAATATGTAGCTGTCGCATCGTCTTCTGGTATCGCATCAGAATTAACTATGGGATTTGGTGCGGACACTTTTGCCATTCGTCTTAGAAACGGTCCTAGTGGGGCTGTGCATTCTTCCAAAACAATCCTGAAACATTATAATAATTATTAAGTGTTTATCGGTTTTTAAATGTTATTCAATGCGCGTAAATAATTGAAATATCTTAGCAATTAAACGGGTTTTTTTCACACAAATGTTACAGCACCATTATGTATCTTATATATTGCAATTAGTATGTAAAATACACTATAGCATATTTTCACGAAATTTATTAAACAAAAACAATTTTAATAAACAAATGTATTTTCATTTAACAGTTGCAAATTGACAAAAGTTTTTATGATTTATAAATGTCACCGTAAATTTGTAAATATCGTTAGGTTGTTTTCTATCTCGCGAGATTGTGAACTGTCCAAAGATTGTGAATCTCAACATACTGCTTACAATTTAACTTATTATTATTCGACTACTTCAACGAAATTTCCGCGCGCGAGGTGCGGTCCTTTTCACAATTTGACGGTTTCACTTTGATAGATTACAATCTTCCGCATAATAATACGTTAAATTGTAAGCAGTACGTTGAGGTTCAATCTCGCGAGATAGATTACAACCTAACGGTATTTACAATTTTACGGTGACATAAACATATAAAATAAATTAACCTGTTGTCCGATTGTCGTTTATGTTTAGGTGGTAAGGTGACTAAGACATCCGCTGCTTTCAATAAAGCTGGTAATTCGGCTCGTCTCGCGCACAATTCCACCCAAACGCATAATGATGTACGCCAGTCTCCTTGCGGTACATTACAACCAACTTCTCTGTAAAATGAAATATAAATATGATTAAAGACTTTTAATATATAATATATTACCATTTTATTTCTAAATACTATTAAATATATAATTAATATATAATAATTTCCATTCTACTAAGTTATACTTTAGATAAAAAATACACCATAGGTTTTTACATACCCAGCTACTACTTGATGTAAGAATTTAGCAGCACTATCAACAACTTCAGCCCATATCTTTTGCGAGCGCGGAGTTTGTGCTACAGTCTGTCCATTTCCAGCATATAACGCCGCATCTGGCAATGCCCTAACTGCTTCAAGGGCATCCCGCAGGAGTAAAGAACAAACGTCCGCGTCTTCACCGCAACGCCATGCGCGACGTACAAGTGATAAAGCGAGACGTAAAGCAGCGCGGGCACCCACCCTAGCTAGTGCACTGGAATATAATTGGAACAACAACACAACTTAAGCATAATATACTTGTAGGTCTACAGTGTGGGATGCACATGATTTATGGCTTGCAGAGGGATATAAATTCTTTGATTTTTAAAGCTAATAATGGAAAATAGATGTTCACTTGTTTATATGTACACATGTTTACATACAATACATAATCAATAGTTACTATTTAAGGTTTCCAAATAAATAAAAATTCAAATTTTGTTTATTTTTATTATTCTTATAGAAAATAATAAAAGAAAGATTTTTGAATAATTAAAAAAAGATTAACACCTTATTTACAATTACTTTAATACCAAAATACAAAGTTTTTACATAGATATACCTGTCATAAAATATACCTTTCAGAATCTTCGGTATGTTCTTCATCATCTTGTATTTCAGAGCCAATTTCAACTGGTTTGTTTAGTGCACTAACAACATTACTCAATGCTCTATTACTGACTCCATGTAATGTTTTCTTATCTAATTTCACTTTTTTTGGCTCTTTGTGATGACTTTGATCTCTGTAAAAGATTTACCCAATGACACAAAACATAATTTAAAAATTATACAAATAATTTTTAACTACAAGGCCTTGGGAAAGATACTGTATAATTATTTTTTATATAATATCATTAAGAAGTCAGCAAGAGAGGTAATTTTATAAAAAAGTAATGTGATATGTAAGATAACAGTAAAAATATGACTGAGTAATGGTCACCTTATTACAGCTACAAGATGTCTATTACAGAGCACAATCAGTCGTCTTATTTGTGATATGTATGGGCAGGTTACAGCTGTATGTATTGCTCTCACCCGCTGCTCCCAAACCAATGACTCAATGAGATTTTGAAGATTTTCAGAACCTAAGAATTAAAATCAATTAAAAAAATGTTAATTAGTCAAGTCAGTTCTGTTACTATTTTTGTGAAGTAATACAGAAACTAAAGAAATAATGCATGGAAAAAAGAAGAAAATCGTGAGATTGCTGACAACACATTCTTCACCTGGATCTTGCTTCCATTTAATTTCATCTATGACCTGAGCAGAGTGCAATGGTGCAACAAGTTTAGATTGAATTGATGCCCGAAGTTCTTCCTCAGCTGAAAGAGCAGTGCAGGGAGGACAGGCACATCCAGAATGAGGCCCACATAGTCCATCACAACATGTGCAAGAAAGAATCTACAAAATATTTACATAATTACTATATATTAAGGAAAATGTAAGTATATAAAAGTAAATACGCCTGAGGCACAAAACTTACCCTCAGCCCACAATAATATTTCCCACTATCACCGAGTTTCGCTGTAATCCCTGCACCATTAACTAGACCATTTCCGGCGTCGAAATATATTTCTCGATCTTGAATTAAACTATTAAACAAAGTACACAAAGCTTCCGGACTATGCAATGCTTCTTGTAAGTCAGGATTTAACCACTTTGGGTCTAAATGTTGTTGTGGCCGGAAAATAAAATCCTCTAGCTCCTCAGTCACAGACATTTTAAATTAAAGCAGTGTACTATGTTTTACATTCCAGTATCCATAAAAGAGAAAACTTAAAACAGCTGTCCATTAATGCAGACAGGCTGAAGTTTTTGTAAACGTTTCATATTGAATTAAGAAATAGCAAGAAGTTGCTTAATAGGATGTAATTCAAAAGTAGTTTACTCCATTCCATTTGGAAATCGTATACCAATAGAAATTAATCGAAATTGAAATAAAAACAGCTGTCATGTCAATAGTCAAAGTCAAATATCAAATATAGTTTTTATTTGGCCAAAGGATGGCCATACCGCTTAGCTTACTTATTTCTCAAAATCTAGACTAAATTCTATCCAAAAAAATTAAGACGAATAAAGAATTAATTAATTTCAGAAGTTAGAACAGATGAATTTACAATAAAAAATTTTACGACCGAGACTTGGTGTACCTATTAAAAATTGATAGTGACTTATTTGACTTTTGTTACAAATTGACAAATACTTATAAGAAAAATGCCATCTGTGGATAAATGGAAAATGCAATTTGTAAATAATACATGTGGACTATTGTTTTGTATTGAAAACCTCCTTTTCTTGATAATATTAATATTCATACTATAAAATATAAGCACTTCGGGTCTAAGACACAACTAAAAATTTCAATGGATACTGATATTCTAATAAGTGATAAAGACAATCTTTACGGTTAGTATATAATTCTGCAATATCCGGCGACCATCACAACAACGTAAAAAATAATATGTATTGGAGATACAGACGTGGTTAAATACCACCCCATAATACTAAAATCTTCGGAAAATTATCATATATCGCTTTTGAATAATGAGACTGCATTATTCTTAAGTATTTGGACGCTAGATAAGTGGTTGTCATTGTTTTTGTTATGGTAGCCAAAAATAAATACGTATTCCGTAGTAGATATTTCTGAATACTAGACAACAGTGTTTTTTAAGACATTCCTCTATTATGTTTCAGACTTTGCCTTGGATGACTTGAACAATGACTGTCATTGGTCTTCATTATTAAATTCAGCAGATGCATCACCAAGTGAGATACTTGCTGATGCAGCACCCAGCCTTGTTTCCCCAATTTCACCTATTGCCAGCTTAAAATCTTCTCCAAATGAAAGCAGTAACTCAGATTCTGGTAGTGAAGATGATACAAAAAAGTATGTTATATTATATTAATCTATTGATTTTAGATTATATATTTAATTAAATATACATTGATAGGTGTTGTAAAAGCCTAAAACAGTCGACAATAACTAAACTAAATGATTATGGTATTTTAATAAATAAAAACCCCTAAAGTTATATTACAGACACTTGACCAACAGCTGTATCTACGTAGTTGGTCCCAAAGTTCTGTCACTAGCACATTATTTCTACATTTCGAGCAGGATTTTATAAAAAAATTATTGCATTCTATTTTGGAATGTTTGATTATTGTTTTAAAAAAAAACAATAACTTTCCGGTAATTTTTCACGATGGAGTGGACATTGAAAGTAAACCGAATAGTTGTTATTGTTTTCGTTGCACCGCTGTGGACACTCGCCGAGTACCATTTTCAAGTTGCTCAAAAAATTTGAATATAACGCTTAGGTTTTTTTGCGGATACTGTTGATAGGTACCTTGAAGTCTCCAGTGTTGAGGACAAAGAAAAGAACTGGCTGGCCACGCTCCCAAGAACACCAGCAGTAATCAAAGCTATCAAGGCGCGGATAGTAAGAAATCCTGTCCGAAAACAGAAGTTGATGGATTTGCAGATGGGTGTCAGTAGGAAAACAGTAAAAAAGGTTTTAAATGAAGATCTTGGTCTACGAAAAAGGGAAAAGGGTGGGCACTTATTAATGCTCGTCTAAAAGCAATAAGGCTTAAGAGATCGCGGGTGTTGTTTAAGCGGTACGCGAAAACCGACCTACCGACACCGTGATATCCTCTTTACGGACGAAAAATTTTTCGATATTGAAGAGAAGTACAATAAACAGAATTATACAGTGTACGCTAAGAGTTCTGAAGAAGCTGAAAATAAAGTTCCAAGGGTGCAACATGGACATCATCCATCATCAGTAATGGTTTGGTTGGGAGTGTCCTATTACGGGCTAACTGAGGTTAATTTTTTCGAAAAGGGGGTCAAAACCAGTGCTACAGTGTACCAAGAGACGGTTTTGTATCGCCTTGTCAAAGACATGTCCAGCACCCTATTTGCGGGACATCACTTCGTGTTCCAGCAGGACTCTGCGTCTGCATACAAAGCCAAGACCACTAAAGCCTGGTTTGAGCGTCAAAACATCGTCTTAATTAGACATGAGGATTGGCCTTCCTCCAGTCCGGACCTTAATCCTTTGGACCAGAAATTATGACAGGGCTTAGAGAGGAAGGTCTGTTATAAACCTCATGAAAATTTGGAGAATCTGAAGTCATCTTTAAAAAAACCAGTGACTGAAATGGACACGAATATGGTGCGTGCTGCGATAGACGACTGGCCGCGACGCTTAAGGGCCTGTATTAAAAATGAGGGAGGTTATTTCGAATATTTTTATGCTTTTTTTATTCCTTAATTAATTTACTAAGAATTGATATATCACTCATTACAAACTGATCAGTACTTTTGTTTTTATCATTATTTCCATTTATGACAGAACTTTGGGACCGACTACGTATATATTTTAGAACAAATATAGATTCTTTTTTCTATATTTATATTCTGTTATTTTATAATTCCTAAGTTATATATATATTAGTTCTAGATCTACATCAGTTAGGGATTCATCTCAATCTCCTAATGAATGGTTGTCAAATGATTCTGAAGCTGTATACCAGCTTAAACCAGAGGATGTTGAAAAGTTTTTACAAAAATCAGGTATATATTTGATTTAGTTTACTCTTTAACATTGTATTTAATTCATTTTCATGAATATAGTAACCTACTAGTAAATGCAGTAAATTTAAGCAAGTTTCATGTTAATTATTAAAATTCTTTTTAAGATAATATTGATGTTGAATGTACAAACAATGCACCAATGATCAAGAATGTCGAGCAAAAGGTACCCGTAATGTCAATAGAAAATGGCGTGATAAAGGTAAATCTTTTAACTTCATTATGATATCAATTTATTTTAATTATCTGCTTTTGTCAATATCTTAATAAGAAACATTTTTCCTGTTACAGGTGAATGGAATCGGTAGTTATGTTAATCCAAAAACTTTATGCTCACTTTCTTCTAAAGTTAAAGGTAAACAACAGTTTAAACATTGTTAATGTTTTGAAAGAAAAGAATATATAAATTATATATTACAGTCATAAGTTATCAGCTATTTCTTATTTCAGGTACAAATCATGGCTCATATTTCAATGTAATAAATGAGCATTTTAATAATGGAAGGAAAGAAGAAAGGGAACAGGCAGTTTCTTACCAAAAAGCAGTATCCATAAAAAGCCAATGTAATCCAATAGTAATTTTACCTAATTGTACATCACAAGTCACAAAAAGCAGAGTTGCTGCATTACCACAAAAGTTACACCATGAGGGCTCAAATGGTTATCAGATAAAGGTATGGAAAGATTTTAATAATTTATGTAGATACATTTTTATCTAGGTTAAAAAAAGGAAGACATTGAATCAATGTATGTGTCTTATGTATATGTTGCATTGAATCAATTTGACATTCATTTTTTTTGTATAGCTATTATAAAATAAAAAAATAAAAATAAAATATGTTTATTATGGAACATAAGATACAGGTATCACTTATTCTACGTCATTAAATTTGAATCTGTAGGCATCCCAACTCATCGGCAAAGCAGACAAAGGGTGTAGGCCGAGAGAAAAAGCCGACGTAAAAAACTCTTGGTACTCTTTTAAAATAGCAAATCATCATACAAAATTACTAACATCATAAAAATCAACACTTATTTTCAAACAAATATCGCAAATTAATTAGAAGTAGCCTGTCTAGCAGTAGTTGCAGGCCCTTTTATAGTAGAACATGCCTGACCATTCACAATTCTTGTGCTTCCAGCACAATTTTCGTTTATATTACAAAATATAATAATTAATTTGAAGTGTATTATAAATTAATTATATTTTTTAGTCTCCTAGAAGTCATATTATGTTAAGTCCAAACTCTGTTCAAGTGGAATCAGCTTCAGAATGCAATTCAACAAGTCCTATCTTAGAAGTTCCTCAGTTTAGTGAAGCGGATATTAAAGCGATGAAGAAACAGCAGCGTATGATAAAAAATCGGTAGTTATTTTTATTAAAGCTTATTACTAAAAAGATTACCTATTTGTTTGTATAATGTTTTTTTATATACATACTAAATTTTTGTATCTTATTTTACATAACAGAGAGTCAGCCTGCCAATCGCGCCAGAAAAAGAAAGAATATGTTACAGCATTAGAACAACAATTGTTAGAGGCACATCAGGAAATAGGAAAGTTACGACTAGAAAACAAAATACTTAGAAATCAACTGGAATCAAATGGCAGGATTCGAAAGGTAATGCTTGTAATTCAATAAAAGCATTATTCTAAATTAAGAACCAATGGAAAAAACACAAATAAACGTGTTACGACACAGGGTTAATTGAAACTTTATAAATTATAAGACAAAGAGTTGATACACTGCCAATACCATTCTACTGTTACGTTATTACTTTGATGGTTTACAATATAAGTAATAAATGAATTGTTCAATTGAAATTACTTGTATATTTATTTACTTCTGTTCTTAACCAAATAAAAAAAAGGAGGAGGTTAATTATTAGATGTGTAATTTTTTTTAGATACCAAGGCTAGACACGTCATTGTTAATACCGAAAAAGAACATTGCTGTTATTTTCGCTATGGTGTTCATGGTCTCCTTAAACTTTAATATGTTAGGGTGAGTATTGGTTTCCATTACTATTTTATGCTTGCGAATTTTATTACAGTATGTTAACTTCGAATGCATCTTTTCTCAGTAAAAACATTTTGGAAAGAGTTCATGCCAAGTTCAAGTAATGTTTATACTGCGAATTAATTTTGCTTGACTGCTCTTTATGTTTATTGTAAAAGTCTTCATAGAATCATTTAACTGCAATGCCTTATTGGCCAAGACTAAATCATGTTGCGGTATGTGTGACCCGCGAACGTCAGCTGAGTAGTCACAAGCGTAAATTAATCACACACAATTTAATTTATACGGGTCATACTTGCCGCAGAATATTTTTGTCTATAGCCTCGGATGTCTAAGAGCGGACCATAATTTCCAATAAAAATATTTGAAACGCAGTCTCACCTAAACTTTGTTTTTCTGTAGATGGAATTCCAAGCCATTTGTTGGACCAACACATTCTCATGTTGGTAATCGGCATTTATTATGGGCGGAAGATAATAAAGATGTATCTTTAGGTATGGGTTAATTTTAATTTGAGAACTTTGTAACATTAACTTAATTTTTATTTTCGCAAAATGTGTAGTATGTATATTATCAAATTCAACATATTATGTTGCTACATGTAATTTCATCAGAAACGCACATAAAAATAACAATTTGTATGATGTAAGATGGAATTAATGTTTTTTTTTTAATACAAAAAAGAAATACTTTGAAGTATTGGACTATCTATTTGTCGTGAAAAGACCGTCCTTATATAATTTATTGAGAATGTATTAAGTAACGATTTGTAAATATTTTAGATTATGAACACTTAAACCGCAGTACTGATGGTATTGACTGTCAAAATAGTACAATGTTTGAGAATATTAATCAGACTGAGAGCATACGAATCGTAGGAGACTTAAAACGTTGGATCCGCGGCGGGAAGACCTTAAATTGGACCTCGGCGCCCAAAAAGCGTAGATATGTCAATGAAGAACAAATTAATGGTAACAGCTTTTTATTTCTGCTATCTTATAAATATTAGTGAGACAAATCGAATAGTCGTCTTATGATTCCACATTGCAGTTAGAAAATGTTTGTAACGTTAGTAAACATTTGTTAGCAAACATTTAATCACAAATGTTAAAAAATGTTTTCATGTTAGAAAATGTTTAGTTAACATTATAACAAAACAAATTATAACAAAATAAAACATTGCTATTTGTTACAAACTATTTTAGAGTAGGAATTTAGTAAAGAGAAATAAATAAAATCTGAGTTAGACAATGGTGCGAACCGCTCAATTTCTTGGAACAGACGGGCGATACAATTATTATAACAGACTACATTGACAGATACAGACTACATAATGTTAAGTGGTTGCGTTCAGTTTAACACTATTCCAATGTGCAAATCCTCTTCCATTTTGGTGTAGACGCCCTCAGAACGCAAACCAAACTGCGAGCCAATACCAGATTTAAATGTTATAAAATGTTAGTAAACATTTTCTATTAGTGTAGGAACAGTTCCTAACAAAATGTAACAATTGACAACATTTGTTAGTAAATGTTTTTATGTTAGAAAATTTTTACAAACATTTTCTAACGGCAATGTGGGAGCACTATTACTGTAAGAAATATGAAGATGAAGGTTAAAACTGTTTTATTCTCGAGGATGGATGGATTAATTTGATAAAAAAATCTAATATCCCATAAATCCGATTAAGAATCAGTCAGAAATTTTATAACAACTATTTTTTTTCAGGTGGCCTGTTAGGAGCGTACAACCTATTCAATAAAGTGAATTTGGATGACTTTGTCGAATTTCCCACTAAAAACAGCAAAAATATTCGCGACAAGACGCGCATACGGCGTTTGCGAAGATCAACGGAGAAAGATATCGAATTCGATGGATTGTATTATGAAAGACTGTATAATAGACATATAAGGAAGAATAATGAATTTAACGACTTTGGTGAATGGAGTGAATTGCTTCAAGCCTTGCAGCGACGTGATGATACATTTTACGTAGTTGGTGTTGGTAAAGGAGAACACTTGTTGTTGCCAGCTGTGTCACATAACGTCACTAGGCCGCCGAAAATGGCGCTAATATTGCCGGCACGGGGTGCTAATGGTGAGTGTTTTATATTGTCAAATGTTTAAAAGACAAGACAAATCGAGATCAAGACAAGATCAACTACTTCTGTGCCTGGCACCAGGATAAACTTTTTTTTTCTTCCAAATTTATAAACATTTAAAATCAGATTCGATTTCCTGGGAAACTGTCATTGTTACGGACAGATCTCGTATTTGCCTTAAAAGATTATCAATGAAACAAACGAAGAGATCGTAGGCCTCAGAATCTTAGTTAAATCAAATTTGGACATAACAAAACTTCGCTGTACTTATAGCTATGAAAGCATGACGTCGTAAATAATAATAAAAAAATTCTAAAAAGAGTAATAATAATAATCTACAATTAATTAATCCCAGTCACGTACTAATCTTACTAACTTAATTTCTTATAACACTTTTCAGATTCCGTATTAAGCGATCACGTAACATTGATGCAAATTGACTGCTCAGTTGTCAACACAACTCTCGTCAAACTGAAGTCTGAATCATTACCGAAGAGCCTACGGAAAACAAAAAATAATGCAACAAATACATTCTATGAAAAACCTAAGGCGAATATACCAATACCTGAAACTGTACAAAAGTTCAATAATTCTAGTCACATAGAGAAAGGTTTAAAGGATTCCTTTGCACAGTTACTAAGTAAACCAACGGGTAATAATTCGGAATCGATTGTTGATTCTCCGCCACAGATTCCTGTAAATAGTACATTGTAAGATATTTTCTATATTATATGTATAGTAATGGGCCCTTTTGGTAAGATACAGACTCAAAGAAGTATGGCTATCGTATGTCGAAAAGTAATTCCATATATTTTTTTTGTATACCGCCGCATGTTAAGTGATACCGCCGCCCATGGACACTCAATGCCAGAGGGCTCGCGAGTGCGTTGCCGGCCTTTCAAGAATTGGTACGCTCTTTTCTTGAAGGACCCTAAGTCGAATTGGTTCGGAAATACTTCAGTGGGCAGCTGGTTCCACAAAGTGGTGGTGCGCGGCAAAAACTGCCTTGAAAAACGCTCAGTTGTGGAACGGCGGACGTCGAGGTGATACGGGTGGAATTTCGTACTCTGCCTCGACGTCCGATGACGAAACTCAGCTGCAGGTATTAATCCGAACAACTCCTCTGAACACTCTCCATGGTAAAGCGGTAGAAGATGCAGAGTGACCCCACATCTCTACGCAACACACATACACGAAAGCCATACTTATTCTTACACAGCAAATTTACGTTTTCTAATATTTCTATTTTAATAGACAGCCCACAGACAAATTTGTCGTAATATTCATATATTTCTTTAACATGGTCCTAATACAAATTTCTTCTTTTTTTAGTATGTACGTAAATCGAATAAAAAAATTAGCGGTTATCGCTGCTCGGTTTCGATAGTATGCAAAAGCTTTAGTATAACGTTACTAGGATAACGACACGTCTTTTGACTCAGTAGTTCTCTCACTCGTGATTCAAAACCTTATTTTTTTAGATTAAGGTGCATTTTACAATGCACAAATATCTTTTATAAGAATTTAAACAAGGTCCTCACAAAGTAATGATTTGCGACTTGATATAACTAATAAATAAAATAACATCACACAATTTCGCAATATTTTTCTTGAATGAGGTATTTGAAATGTGTACTAGGAATATTTAGGAGTAAACGTCTGCTGTTCCTACGGCAAGATCTCAAAAAATATTTTACACTTTTGTAATTTTTAATGAAGGTGAGATGTTAGAATATTCGTAATTACAAGAATTATGTATCTTTCTATATAAGTATTATAACAATTGGTTGGTTTAATTTTAAATAATATTTTAGATTCATTTATTGAGTAATATTATAATTCCTGTTATGGCTGTTCTTCTACTTTTAAGTTTAATGTGTTAATAATTAGAGATTTAAATCGTAAGATGCGCAAATTTGATTATTTATCATATAGTACTTATAGGACGCGATTAGGTATATATTTTTCGTTATCGCGTCTTATAAGTGCGTAATTGTTTTCTCTCTGTAATACAATCGCACGTGGTACATACATAGAATTTACAAAGAAATTATCTAAGAAACAGTAAATCCCTGAAATATTTTTCTTGTATTTTTGATCAAGTTCTTTCTGTAAACATATTTTATGGATTCGCGTACCTATATAAGGCGCGAAACACACAGAAAAGGCGTAAGGTGAAGGCGCCGCGCAGGCATCTTGCCGCTTCAAAACGCGTCAATACAAAATGTACGTAAGCGGCACGTTGTTAATTATACTCAAGCGGCGTGGCACAGGCACGTCGTTTCGTCGCCTGTTCCGCGTCGCTAGCAGTCGCGACTAGAGTTGAATTTCGCATCTTCGTCATCTGAAGAGGAAGACATGCTATCACGATAAAGTCAGCCTGCGTTATAACTCTTTGTGTCGTCTCTTCGCTTCTTTGATATAATTTAAGTCGCATCCGTGCCTTATCCGTTCCACGCCGGCTCTGCGCCTGCGCCGCGCCTTCACCTTAAACCTTTTCTGGATGTTTCGCGCCTAAGAGAACCCAAGCAGAAAAAAACGAGCAATTCTTCACTTCTTATATGCGATAACAACTTAGAATTAGTTATGAGTCACTTATCCTAGGATCAATCCAAAACTAACTACTTAAAACCTCTAAATATATTATAGCAATGTTATATTGACCATTATGTAGCTTTCCTGAATAAACAAATTTTGTCAGTTGTGTTAACTAATTTTAGTTTTTGTTTTAACTGTACAGTTTGTTTTATTAAACTATAAGCAAGGGACGGTAATGTAAGTAATATGACTAAATATATTACTTTTTACACACAATATAGGTCACCTTTAGGTCATTTACGACTAGCTTGGACTTCGCACTGTATATATGTCACCGTAAAATTGTAAACACCGTTAGATTGTAATCTATCTCGCGAGATTGTAAACTGTCGAAAGATTGTGAACTCAACGTACTCTGCTTACAATTTAATGTATTATTATTCGGTAGATTGTAATCTATCGAAGTGAAACCGTCAAATTGTGAAACGGATCGCACCTCGCGCGCTGATTGGTTGATCGGAATATGCCCCGCGCCACCATATTTTTTTGTTAATTCGTTTGTTGTCGAATGTAAATTGATTGTTTTGATGAAAGTAAATTGATGTCGTGTTGAAAGTTATTCACAGCTTTAGAATTAGTTATATGAAATTGTTGGGAAGTAAAATTAATCTGTGATTGACCAAAGAAGTTTGAATGATAACGTACTTAACGTGTTGGAAATGAAATGAAAGAAAATTTCATTACTTTTTCAAGTTTAATTTATGTTTGAGGAAAAAATATTGTTACGTTTCTGATTTTTTTATTTTGATACAATTTTTTTACCATGTGATGTCAGAATTATTGATTACCTACTAAGTAATAAATAAATACTTGATGTCACAATTCTTGAAGTGCATTCAGTTTATTGGACTGGACCCGTGTTTCATTCCTAACTCTATAGACATAGAACGGTCTACTATAAAGCCAACCAATCAGGGACAGCCTTCGGACAGTTAACAATTTGACAATTTTAAGATTGTAAATCTATCGAAGTGAAACCGTCATCACTTCGATAGATTACAATCTACCGAATAATAATACGTTAAATTGTAAGCAGTTCGTTGAGGTTCACAATCTTTCGACAGTTTACAATCTCGCGAGATAGATTGGCTACAGATTCCCTGCTCGAAAGGGTTCCTACCGCTGAAATCGTGATACTTGGCGATTTTAACGCCCACCATGCCGATTGGCTCGGCTCAGAAACCACCGATCATGCGGGAAGATCCTTTCACGACTTTGCTTTGGCTTACGACTTGACGCAAATGGTCCCTGCGATTACGCGAATACCAGATGTGGATGGTCATAAACCCTCTTTGTTGGACCTTCTACTGACTTCACATCCGGAGAACTACCAAGTCTCTGTTGAACCGCCATTGGGTTCATCAGATCATTGTGTGGTCCGGAGCATTGTGCCGTTCACGCGCCCTCTTCGGCCTAGCTTCACGGGCTGTCGCCGCGTGTGGCACTATAAGTCAGCAGATTGGGATGGGATGCGGTCTTTTTTTGCGTCCTACCCTTGGGGGCCCATTTGCTTTTCGTCGAGTACTCCAGATGCCGTCGCTGACTCTGTCGCCGAGGTGGTCCTGCAGGGTATGGAACTTTTTATTCCATTCTCTGCGGTGCCGGTCGGTGGCAAGTCCCAGCCTTGGTTTAGGCGTTCTTGCAAAGCGGCTTTGCGCCGTAAGCGTGAATGCTTTAAAGCCTGGGCAGAAGCGGTGACATCCTGTGATGTGACTATCGGCGAACGTAAAAAAGCATACAATTCAGCCTCCAGGTCCTTCAAGCGATAAATCGCTAAAGCAAAGTCAGAGCACATTGCCAGATTTGGTGATCCTTGGACATCCATAAGTCGAGCGGGCCCGATGGCATCCCTCCAATTGTGCTGCGTACTTGTGCTCCTGAGTTGGCTCCGGTCCTAACGCGCCTTTTCCGGTACCTTTACACGCTCGGCACTGTTCCGAAGTGCTGGAAGATCGCTTCGATACATCCGATACCTAAAAAAGGCGATCGCTCTGATCCGTGCAACTATCGCCCAATAGCTATAACCTCCTTGTTCTCCAAAATAATGGAAACCATTATTAACAGCCAGCTCCTGAGGTATCTAGAGGGCCACCAGCTGATTAGCGATTCTCAGTACGGCTTTCGTCGTGGTCGCTCAGCTGGTGACCTCCTTGTATACCTTACACATAGGTGGGCAGAGGCAATTGAGTTCAAGGGGAGGCGCTGGCGGTAAGTTTGGACATAGCGAAAGCCTTCGATCGGGTGTGGCACAGAGCACTGCTCTCGAAGCTTCCAGCCTATGGGCTCCCTGAGAAATTATGCAACTGGATTTCCAGCTTTCTCGCTGATCGGAGCATCAAAGTCGTCATCGACGGAGCATGCTCCGACCTGAAACCTGTGAATGCTGGTGTCCCACAAGGCTGTGTCCTATCCCCGACCCTGTTTATTCTGCATATCAATGATATGTTGCAGCTTAGCAACATTCATTGCTATGCGGACGACAGCACTGGGGATACTTTTTACACTGGCCGAGCAGGTATTTCTCGGGCCGTTGTCGATGAGTACCGGAACAAACTTGTGTCTGAAGTCGAAACTCTTCTACGTGGAGTCTCGGACTGGGGTAGACTAAATCTAGTCCAATTTAACCCCAAGAAAATACAAGTATGCGCGTTTTCCGCTAAAAAAACTCCCTTTGTTGGTACTCCACTCTTTGAAGACACTCTCCTTAAAGCCTCAGCTAGCATCGGAATACTGGGCGTTGACATATCTAAAGGCTAAATTAGCCTCCAAAAAGCTTGGTGTGCTCAGCAAGGCGAGACGGTACTTCACTCCGGGCCACCGCTTGCAACTATATAAAGCGCAAATTCGGCCCCATATGGAGTACTGCTCTCACCTCTGGGCGGGACCTCCCCAGTACCAACTCCTTCCACTTGACCGTATTCAACGATGAGCGGTTCGAATCGTCGACGACCAGTCACTTTCCGTGCGGCTTGATCCCTTGGCGTTGCGTAGAGATGTGGGATCTCTTTGCATCTTCTACCGCATTTACCATGAAGAGTGTTCAGAGGAGTTGTTCGGTCTAATACCTGCAGCTGAGTTTCATCATCGGACGTCAAGGCAAAATACAAAATACCATCCGTATCACCTCGACGTCCGTCGTTCCACAACAGAGCGTTTTCTAAGGCAGTTTTTGCCGCGCACCACCACTATGTGGAACCAGCTGCCCACAGAAGTATTTCCGAACCAATTCGACTTAGGGTCCTTCAAGAAAAGAGCGTACCAATTCTTGAAAGGCCGGCAACGCACTTTCGAGCCTTCTGGCATTGTGAGTGTCCATGGGCGGCGGTATCACTTAACATCAGGTGAGCCTCCTGCCCGTTTGCCTCCTATTACATAAAAAAAAAAAAAAGATTACAATCTAACGGTGTTTACAATTTTACGGTGACATATAACTTTTATTAGTTTCTGAGATAAGCGCGTTCAACCAAACAAACTCAATTTTTGATATTAGTATAGATTGATGAATCTCTAAGAATAATCAAAATAGAAATTAACTTAATCTCGTTTTGATAGATTTTAGGTGAAATTTGATAAATGCTGAGTATATGCCTTTTCAGTAGCACATTGCAGTATTTTTGTTGTCTTTTTAATTTTATGTAGTCTTGTGCTGCTGAATAAATTTATTTTACTTTTAAATTATAGTGTTCCATTCAAACTTGAGTTTTTGTAAAATTAACTGGTTTTATCATCCTTTCGATGTTTTACAAAAAACATCAATGCATCGAGTACATCAATACAACTTCAAATAATCGGTTTCAATGTATCGCATTGTAAACATCGTTGTATATCGTATATCTCTAATAGTTAGAGGTCCGGGTTATAAAAGACCAGACATAATGTCGGGAGGTGGCAGATATAAAATCGACTATGATTGATTTTCAATTATAAAAATAATCGTTTTTTACTTTTTAAAAAAACTATTTTTTTAATAATCGATTATTTTTTCACATCCCTAGGTCCTTCTAAATATCGAGTAGGTACACAGTTTTCTAACGGTGCAAAATAAAATACATGTGATATATGTCAGCGCTGACATTTAATTGGCTTCCAATGTAATGTACTACTTTTAAAAAAATCACAGCGTTTATGCATTCAAATTGCTAATAACTAGTATCAAAACATTAATTAGAAAGCCCAAGCAGAAACAGGGTCAAATATTTTAACGTGAAAGTAATTTAATCCAAGCAATAAAAAAATCTACAAAAACATTACGTGACACAAGGTTTTTAATAAAGAGACATTTTTGATTGTTTTAGACTTCGTCGGCGCAGTTTCGTGGTCGAAAGTTTGCAACACTAGAGCCATCAAAAAAAACACCTACAGCTGTCAATTATCAGGTGCTGATAAATAACATCTGTGCAAATAACCTATTTTAAAAATATTGGTGCCCAAACGATAAATTAACAAAAAAAGTACTATATAAAATGGTAGGTAGGTCTTCGAAGACCTAAAGCTTGGTGAATCAAACCTTTCTTTAAATTTTAATAGATCAGTAAACAATGAATTGCATAAGACTACTAGGGATATGCAGAAATCAAACAAATCTCAAAATCTCTTATGCTTGCTACAGTGCACAGCATCCCCTGAGGTTTTTAGAGACACAAGATCGCTGGAGAGATAAGGATGGATTGTCACGTAATTGGAATCTTATTTACAAGGCTCCTTTGGACAAATCAATAAACTGGGCATCAACCTTTCTAACATTTTCTTCAAGCTCAATAGCAGCAGCAACCATCTATTATTCAGCATTTTTGTTTGATATAAATACAATAAATGACCCAGTAGTTGTGGGCGATGATGTAGTGCTTGCAAATAATGCTACTGAATGCCTTGTTTATCTTGTCTCATTCTTTGTATTTCATATAGCAGTCAAAGTATTAATATCCAAATATGTTTTGCGCATGTATCAAGATGGGGACAATTATTTGGCTGTATTTAGAGGGCATTGGTATAATTCTATTTATAAACACCAGTTTAATTTAAATGAATTTAAGAAGTTAAAACCTACTTTAGTTGTATCTTGGGGAGATGCTAGATATAGTCTTGGTAAAAAGCATGGGATCATTTTGGATAATTATTTCAAAACACCTGAACACTACAATAGCTTAGTAGATAAAAAAAAATATGAAAATAGTGAATAGTTATAGATAATTGCCAATGTTGCATATTTGGAACAAATTATAAATAAATTGTTTTAAGACTAAGTATTTTTATTATTTACTATTATATTTTTCTAATATATATACTTTAAAAGCCACCAGAAAATGCATTGTTCCATTTTAGTCTAGAATCTCTTTTTATGGTAACTGAGTTCATTTTCTTTGGATCCTTATCAAATTCTTCTAAAGCTGCAATTTCATCATCTTTTGGCTTTAATGTTTTGGTTACAATACATTGACCATTTTCTTTTAAAACTGTGTGTTTTATATCATCCACTGTTGGTTCTCCATAGGGAAATGTTATTGGAGTAACTTTTATTAAGTGTTTAATTTTCCATAACTTTGCATTTATCTCGGGGATATTTTTAACAATAGCAAATTGATGCTGAAATAAAAAGCAAGTAAGACCAATCAATAAGTACTGCTTCATAATTGTAGCTTGTTAAAGTTATTACTCATGAAGGAAATCTTTCACTTAAATTTCTTGATTTCTATAAGCCATTAATTATAGCACTTACTCTTTTGAATTACAAGTCTATACAAAACTCTTCCTAGTTAAATGATCAAAAATCTCAACTAGGCAATATTAATCAAAAATATATTTACGTTTATGTGCTTTAGATATTTAAATTTATTGGACAAACATTAAAATGTATCTATTTGTAATAAGAACATTTCTAAAAATAGATGGTTATACTTCTTTATCGGTATTGATCCTTTTACTTGAAAAACTTATTTCTTACAGTTATTAGTACAAGTTTTTTATGAAATATTGTGGTACATTAAATGTTAAACTATATTTTTAGCATAGATATCATTTCAGTAATTTACCAAAGCTCTAATTTTAAGCTCCTCCAATATATTTTTTTCCCAGTAGGGCCGATGTTTAGTAGTTTTAATCTGTTCTATTCTAAAGAGCTTCGCTGGAGTGCATTCGGTTTCTTTAAAATTTGGATCCCTGAAAGATAAATACAGAAAATTTCAAATGTAGTTGGATTTATGTATTTCGTTGGACCAATTTGCTTGTTATTGTAAACATCCAAAGCTGACGGCAAAATAACATTACATCAACCCATATATGTAAGAAAAATATGACTTCGAAACATCTGTAAAACCAGAACGAAAAATTTGTTTACCTTGGATAATAGAGAATACCACCAGGACAACGAATTCCACCTGGATGTTTGTAACCTTTTGCTCTAGAAAAAAGGGTGAGTGGTGAAAATACTTTGAGCATAGTTTTGTTCATTTTTTCACCAAGTTCATTCACAATTAATTCAGCAAGATATGTTTTATCAGGTTTAATAATAATAAATTAATAAGCAACCTCCAAAGTTCCAAACCAGTATATATTATTTCTCTATGCTATAAAGTCTAAACTCTAAACCCAATTTCATTCAAAGTAAAAATTTTAAATATCAAAATTATTACTTAGACTATAGCACGTTACTTGTCTATCCTTAACTAGTAAACAGATGTCTGTGGATATAAGTGCATTATTTATTAGACATTGGCGGGATTGGCCTAAAGGTCTAGATACCAGGCCATAAACCAAAAAAAAAAAAAAAAAAAATATTAGACACTGACGGCGGTCACAGACATTACATAAATAAACGTAAATTGTCATTTAAATATTTGAATTATTTTGTAACGTTTAGATTTGAATTTAGTTCAAAACAAAGGAGGATACGAACTATTTGATTAATAATCAATTAAATTTTTATAACTAATGTAAAGTCGATCTTTAAGTTATTATTCTTTTATTTTGCTTATTTGTTCCACTTAAAGGAGTGCGTCGAATACATACTAGTGGATTTTATTAAACTATTTAAATAATTAGTTCTACATGAAGAGGGTACGATTTGCGTCCCCATTAAAAGTGAGAGATACAAACATTATGAACTATGACACAGAATGCCACTCTCCACGTCCTTTCATAGAAAAACAAACAGAACCTTCATCTCCAAGGTATAATGGCTTTGGTAGCCCCCGTTTGGTATCATACACAAATGATCCAATCCAAAAATTTGAATTTTCAAATAGTTTACCATATCCCACTGTTAATAAAACGCCTACTTCTAATTTTGCAACTTTTTCTGGCCATGGACTTCCATCAAGTGATTTAGATCTTAGCATGTTGGATTCAGCTGGTCAAGAACCTCGAAGTGTTCCTCAGAAAATATTCCTAGATAAGACTAATGATGTTTACAAAATTAATTATGTGCCAGAAAATATCTTAAAACCAGTGGATTCTAACCCTAAGTTACCAAATACACTTAATAAAAATGACAACTTTTTTCTTAAAAGGGAAAATATTGCAAATCTTAATGCACAGCAACCATTACCTGACCAAAAGAATATAATAACACTTGAAAAAGAAAACAATCCTTTTGAAATAAAAAAGGAAATAATTAAGTTTGGTACTTTAAATCAAAATAAAAACATAAATGAACACACTCATCTAAATCCATATGAGAGATCTTGTAATTGTCATCATTGTCATAATAATCAATATTACATGGAACAGCATTGCTTCCGGTCTCCGAGACCTTGTCTTAAAGCAAACTATGCACACCACTTTTCTCCTTCAACTAGTTGTGTTTGCCATTCAGAAAGTGCTCAATCACCATTAAATGCTGTTAATAAAAAAAGTTGGGAAATAGAGAAATATGAAAAAAGCAAAAAATCTGATGACTTAAGTGCTAATGTACAAAGCTCTAATAAGGAAAAAAGGGAACCTACCGTCTCAGATTTGTTTCAGATAATTAAGCTGCAAAATGAACAGCTACAGCTACTGCAAGAAAAAGTAGATCGGTTTATAGCATCTTCTAACAAAAATGATAATGTTAACTCTAAACAAAAGTGTCTTATTGACCAAACCTGTGCAGGATCAAATGAAGAACATCATAAAATATCTATTGGAGTAATGACAAGCTTTGAAATGGTAAGAACATCTACAGTTATAAACAAAGAGATTATTAAGCAAAATGAAGCACAAATTCAGTGTAACAGATCTCAAATAAGCATAAAAGAAGTGGTGTCTAAAGGTCAGCCTGTAAATATAAATTTTTTGGATGGTATACAGAAAAAAAATGATACAGATACATCTATGCATGATTCTCTTTTTGTAAATGGTAATATTACAAAAAATACTGGGTTTGAAGATAAAACTTTTAATGAGTTGAGTTTGTATAATTTGCAAGTTAACAATGACACAACACCACAAATGTCTCCAGAACCTAGTCTATATTTGGATGTTAAGGATTACAGTGAGTAAGTATATAAAAAATTGTGTTATTTTATCAGATAACTTCTACTTAACAATATGATAAAGCTATTGAATTACTGCATGTTTATTGATAAGTCATTACATCTCACAAGCAAGTACATCCCTTCAGACTTAAAAAAATAATAATATTATTATTACTTTTTTAAGTTATTACGCATACCTAAAGTGTTAGTGTGTACTAAAGTGCAAACATAATTCTATAAAAATTTGTTTTGTAGTACTGACACAGACAGTGATGATCCGGCTAATATTGGATGGACCTATTACAATAAAGTCATGGTAAGTGTAAGAATGTAATATATTCGTTTTATTTTTAAAAGGTTCAGTACTTGTGTTACTACACAATGTGTAATTGAAATATGTAATAATTCAGTAATAATAGTTACAACCCTATGTGGCTCTTAGTCTCAAAATGAATACATAGTAGATTTTCGATCATTATTATTTCATAGACGAGTAGGTAATCAGCTATCTGTCTGACACATGACATGGATATTAGGATTTGAGTTTTCCTCACCATGTTTTCCTTTACTATACAAGCAGGTGTTAGATGCGCACTTAGATAGAGAGTCCATTGGTCAATAGCTGGGGATTGAACCTACTACCTCTGGGATGGGAGTTGCAACCTGAAGCCTCTAGGCCAAAACTGCTTCTAAATGAAATATCAATATATATCAAATGATTTTTATTTAAACTGATTACAGACACGAGTAAATGGCTTACTTCAAGATTCAGATATGCCATCATCAGCAAGTGCCTTATACAGAAATACAAGACGTTTAATGCAAATTGACAAGACTAATGTTAGTGTAACCAAAAGGTATTTAGAATACACATTGTAAAATAACATTGAAGGTGCAAATGGACCTTGATTCCGTCTTAAATTTTTTGAGTACAGAAAACCATTTAAAGTAGTTGGGTTTGCAAATCCGCCACACTTGTAGGAACTTATATCTAAAATAACCACCCTAAGAAAATGCCTGCAAATAGGCTAGGGAAAGAATACTCTGACATTTTTCTATTGGGGTTTTCTACTGTCATTGTTTAGGTAAACACTAGCAGTGTAATAAGATGATTAGTTGATGAAGTTAATAAGTTGTGAAATTATTGAGTCTGTCTTTAAATGAGTTTGGGGTTACATTAATTACCCCTCCCGGAAGATTATTCCATTCAGTTACTACTTGGTTTGAGACAAACGTTTTTTTTTAAAGCAAGTGGTTGTGAGAATTAAAGAACTTTCCATCAAATGTGTGTTTTTACTTAAAGTAAAGAGCTACTCAATACTTGTCATAATATTGTGGATAAAAAAATTTAAAACTTCCAGACTTCAAAAAAATCATATTCTATATATTCATTACCCAATTTATTTCTTGTGTTTATATTTTATATATTTGATAATGTTTTAGAGTGACATTTGGAGAAAATCCAATACAACCTAGGGCTCCTTCAACTGACACAAGTTTAAAAATGAACCAACTTGCAGCTAAGTACTTAAACAATGGACAAGTTACAACTAAACCTGCAAATGATTTGTCTTTTGCTACCAAAAGTTATATGGAGAAACATAGAGTTATTCAAGGTATGATATATTTTTCTGTTGTTACTTATAAATACAACATTAATGTATTTAAACAAATCTGATAAAACTAGTAGTATATTGATATGTCCAGCATATACCAGCAATAGCGGCAATGGTAATTTCATCTTAATTTTTTTCTAATTCTACGTTTCGTGGTTATATGTGTCAAAGGTTTTTAATTCAATAATTAAAGAAAAGAGAACTTTTGGATACCAACAAAATTAAACTACTATTTATCCTCATATGTTCTTAGATATCTCACTCATACATATTTTTATGACTGGTTGTATTTTTAAGGTAATCAAGGAAGACTTCAACAAGAACTACCCAAGTTTTTAGATGTGACTGTTTTGAAACAGCAACAAAAGTTACTTTAATTGTATGAATTTTATAAGACTAATTTGTATTTAGATAATTTTATGGAATAAAATATCTGTTTTAGAACATACATTTATTTTATTTTATTGAAAATAACAATTTCATGACCCGTTTCCCGAAAACAAATAAAAAATGTATTTCTTTTATTTCATTAAAATATACAACTTCTTATTTTAATACTCAAGGCAAATACCTTTTTTCAATAAATGCAAACCTAATTTAAATTAGGTAATTTATCTTTTGAAGATACAACAAATACCTACCGACATTCGAAACAAATAATTATAGGGGGTAACGAGCCTTTATCTTATTATCTAATAATATCGTCTACATAAATTTGGTAACATCTGTTTAACATTATACATTTTCCTAAATTAGTTTAGAAACATTAATCCAAATCTGTTCACACTTATTGCCTGAATAACAAATTAATTTACTGTATACCTGCCACATTTATTAGGAATCACTACTAATTGTGTAGTGTAGCAGCTAGCTAGTAACTTCTATATAATAAATAAATCAGTGGCGCTACAACCTCTTTAGGTCTTGGCCTCAGATTTCTGAATCTGTTTCATGATCATTTTTTTAAATCTAGTAAGCAAGAAGGTGATCAGCCTCCAGTGCCTGACACACGCCGTGAATTTTTGGGTCTAAGACATGTCGGTTTCCTCACGATGTTTTCCTTCAACGTTCGTGCAAATGTTAAATGCGCACATAGAAAGAAAGTCCATTGGTGCACAGCCGGGGATCGAACCTACGACCACAGGTATGAGAGTCGCACGCTGAAGCCACTAGGCCAACACTGCTCTAGTAACTTCTATATATTTTTTATGAATATTATATTTAATTTTGTTTATCTTCCTGATTGTTAAATGTAAAGGTTGGTACTGAATGGAAATACTATAGTTTTAAATTTTCAGATGATCATCATTTTATCGGTACATTACTTTGTATATTTTTAAGGATAGTTTAAAATATGACTAAACAAATAATGGTGGTAATTGGCGATCAAAATTGTGCACACAACAATAAAACCGTTTCACACGAGAAACATTTTCATAGAGTATAGGCAGCCTAGCTCAAGCCTTTCCTTATTCCACGCAGACATCAACTACTATCTCGCTTTTCTAATAATTTCCGTGTAGGCAATAAGTGTGAGTAGAAAAATCTACAATAATTTCATTTTGTCTACTATAACAACACACAAATTATTTATCACATTTTCCTTTGTGAATTTTGAGTATACATAATACTAGGCCTACTCATGCCATAGTAGGATAACTTTCATGGTAAAAAATATATTATGTAAATAATATTTTTAAATTTGAATGGAGGTATTTAGATGCTGTTCCATTATTAAACGAAGTATATACATCAGGTTAGTTTTTAATAAAAAATTATCATTAAAACTTTCAAATTTTTAAATTCCTAAAACAACGATTCTTAATTTTATACGTTAAACATTTCTACTTAAAATATTCCCTATTAAATACTTTTTGGTTCTTCTTTTGGGTAAATAGACATCGACGAACTTTTAAGCCTAATTTTAGTTCTAGAAAACACTTAGACTAGAGTCACTCTAGCATCTATGGAGATTCATTGAATGTTCTGTCCTTATCGCTCTTATGTGACAATGGGACCAAACACTTATGCTATAACTTTTTAAGTTTATAGCAAGAATAAGACTTAGGGATTAATAACATTAAAATATTTAGGCTATATATAGTATGCAATAAATATTAATCTATTTATTTACAAATAACTATATTTTCTAAATATAACTTCAATTCTCTTGCATCGCAATGTTAATATTAAGTTCTAGAACGTAACGTGGATGGAACTTAATAGTTTATTTTGAATCCTATTCTTAGAGAAGATTATATACATCACTTTATGTCTTGCATGTCAGAAGATACAACCTTACGCTAGTACATATAAAGAGTGATACAGGGTATCAGGAAATTCTGATTTAGTCTATTGCTAACCGTATATACAAACTTATAAATGCAGTCAAATATTATATTATAAACGACATTTACACTATTGTTATTGAGCTTATATTTAAAATGCATAATAGAGGGAAAACCAACTTTTTTTAGCTTTATGCGTTCATATATAGGTTGTAAATATAATATATCCAGAGAACCGTTCGTAATTTTTTCTATTGAAAGAAACTGCGTTTTTTTAAAATTTACGATTCGTTACAATTACCAGTGGTATTCTAAATATACACCCAGGAATACTGTATGAATGACACGGACAATTTACAGCTACTTCTACGTATTTATCTAGCGAATTTTATGACTTATCAAAAGTATGTTAAATTGAGACAACAGTCAAGGTTCCTATTTACTGATATAATTCAGTACGGTAAATAGTAATACCAGTAATACATTACAAAAAACACAGAAAATATACTTATAAGATAAACACGTTTATTTGAAAGAATTTTACAAGTACCTAAATATTTTGACATTAAATCGTGCGTTTTACTTAATAACAGCAAGCACTGGGCTCGCTAGTGTTGTATATGCCTTATTATAGTGTATTTTCTTCTGAATGTGTAGTACTCGAATGAAAGAAAGACAACGTGAATTCTATTACAATGAATTATATTATGGGGCAATACGCTATGGGGCGGACACATTTCTGTGTCTATTTCCCTGTGGTAGTCGCGTAAACTGTTGTAATCAATCTTTACAAATTACACCCCGGCCCCGGTTTAATAGAATAAACACTTTCACTTCCGTTTACTGATTAATTGCAAAATACGACGCGTGAGTGGTAAATATTTTAAACAAGTTGCAAAATATGTTCTATGCAAACATTTTAAATTTGTGCCAATTACGCCTCGAAAGTCTTACAATTACCTAACCTCTCATATGTTAAAATGTACGATAATTTTAAGGACATGTATCAGTTGTGCGGTTATAAACCTCAAATATTACATGATTTCTCTTTAAGACAATCTGAAACTAGGGGCTAACACTACATTTACACTAACACGTTTATTTACTGCGAATTATGAACGATGTCATCTTCGCCACCGCCACGTGATTTGCTGTCCCATCGCAGCTCTGCCAATTTCTGTCTTATGCTATTTGGCCTGAAAATTCATTATTGTATTGAAATTCTTCTATAGAAATAAGGACATAACATTTCAGTAGTTATTCTTCACAATATATGGTGTATTAGATAAATTTAGAGAAGTTTTTAAATGGGCCAAAACTAAAATTTGTATTCCACTTTCTCTTTTTTTTTTGTGGGGTTTTTCCCCCCCCTAAAATCAGTTTTGGGTATATTTTTAATAAAAAAATTGAAAATATCTTTTAAAATAAAGTGACTCTGTGAATTGTCAATAAACTGTTAAATAAAAAATAAATTCACCTATCAGAGAAGTATGCAGTGACGACGTGGTCGGCCGACACTGACTGTCGCTGGTAAGTGGCAGCGCTCAGGTTGCTCTGCGGAATCTTGTAAATTCGCACACAACGACCGCTGTTCTCTGTAATAGCAAATGTTATTATTACGGGACAAATAAACAATTCTTAAGAAAAACTATATTACTTATGCCAATTAAACTAAACCTTAAATTTATTAGAATGGTGTTACATTCCTTAAATAACAGATTAAAGACACTTGTAAGTTGACTATTAAAAGGTAAAAGGTCAAGGTATTTGTATATTATGTTACATTTGAACTGTATATTTGCTTAGCTTGTCTACGACATACGGAGTATGTCAAATCCAATACGTATATGACATATTCCTGCTAAAGCGCTAAAGGTAAGATTCGAGAGTTTAGGCTGAGAGACTCCATTATGTCAAATGATTGGATTTTTAGTTATTTGAATTAATCAGAAGCGGTAAAACACCGCTTAGAAGACTCACTCTCTCGTTGAATCTCACGCAAATGTGGCTTATTTATTTATTAACATTTGGTTGCACAAATATAATACAGTTGACATAATTAAATGAAAAACAGGGTAACTGGCGGCCTTATCGCTTTCGAACGATCTCTTCCAGGCCATTACTGTGAGAAAAATAAATGAATTAGATATGGTAAGCAAGAAGTGCAAAAATACATAAGACATATAGTTATTTAGACCAAACTAATGGAACAAAACAAAACAATTAAAACTTATTGAAACAGTGATCAGAAAATATTAAAAAAAGGAAAAGTGCACATGAATCACGATAATTTAAGATCAGTTTCTCGTCAGTTAGTACGAAAGTTAGGGTTACGATGTGGAGAGGTAATGTTTGTACATTAGAGATTTAGAGGCTCCTTAATGAATCCCAAAATAATCTAGCTATGCGTTTTATTCAATGCATGAGAATTATGAATAATAATTAATAATACTGATTAATGAATATATTAAATTGCCAAGTATTTAATATGTACCTTGAGGTGATGTGGGCGGAGATATGGGAGTCATTCTGTGGAGTGGCGGACGAATGTTCTCCTGTTCTGATGATATGGAGCTGCTTCTGCTTGATGCTGAATTGTTTTCCGGTGTCCTGTTAGCTTGATCATTTCTAAACATTTGTATTAAAAGGTTTAAGTGCAATCAGCTTCTTGATTAACTAATAAATTTAATTAAAACCATGTTACGTTTATAATTTTTTTTAATTATACGAAATATTTTAGTACTTAAACTTTTTTATATGTTACAAGTTAGATCCCAAAATAATCATTAATTAAAACAAAAATAAATTCAGACATATGCTTTATATTGTACGTATTTATTTTGTTTTGAGTAGGATAATTTTTTGTTTTATGCATATGTCAGTACAGTGATATACCTTGCTACATGTTGTATCTAACTCTAGGTAAACTATATATAGGATGTTCAGGTCTGTTCTTTATTAATTACCTCTAAGCTAAAGAGCGATGTTAAGTATGAAAACGCTAACAGCGAAAAAAGTTAAAACTTACATTAATCGAATTATTTGTTATACTATATACTAATATGGAGCAAAAACATAGAACTTTAAAGCTTTATATTTTATTTAGAATACTGTCCAATTTAAAAAATGTACCCTATATTTTTAATACAAAAATTATACGTACTTATAATCATCGTCGTCGTCTATCGAGTAAGGTCCACATTTGCTCATCTGCCTCACCAGCTCGTAGTTGTCGTGTCTGCCGAGACATGGGTCTATATCGCGGCCCAAGGGGACGTATTCAGGGGCACATGCTACGTAGAATATGTCCTGTATATAACAATTAATTTATATGTATATGTCACCGTAATCTATAATATAAAAATCAATTGAAATGAACGTTCGTATCGTATAAGTATTAATGTCAATATTTATACGATGGTAACATTACCTGTACGTTTATGCCAAATTAAAAAAAAAATGTCCACCCGTGCGAAGACGGGACCCAAAACTCAAGACTCAAAATATCTTTATTCATATAGGTAAACAAGTACACTTGTTACCTTCTTGCATAAATTGCTCAATAACCATATACAAAGCAGTGACCTCTTACAGGATATCAAAATTGTCGTCCCTTACTCATTCCCTAGGTTTAAAATCAACAATATCTTCCAAATTCCTTCTGCCAAAACCAACCTAGGAGTTCAGGCACCTCTCGTTCGAATTCTTCGTGATTTTAACAAATTGAACACAGCTTGTCCGGAGCTGGATATATTCGGTAGTGGGCTGATCGGTTTTAGAGAAAGCATTGTGGGGTGTCTTTCTCGAACCTAATTTCGCTGTTTTCATTTTAATGAAATTTTTATTTTTTTTTTTTATGCTTAGTGGCGGAACAAAACAAATTTCATTTTAATGTGTAAATTTCTTGAAAATTTTATTTTATTTTATGTTTATGGTAAAAAAATATTTTATTTTGAGAAACTTATGCTTGCGTTGACTGTCGCACATTTTGGATGTAAGATTTTGTGAAATTATTGGTAGATTTAGGACTGTGTGTGATGTCGTGGGCTTAATAACTAAATAAATAAATAAAATAAATAACTTGTCAGAAAGAAGTTAAATTAATTGTAAATTTACATTTACTACCAGTTCGCAAGTCAAGGGCGTAGAGCGGGTAAGAAGAACGGACGGGCCGCTAGTTGCTAATATAGTTAAATTATCACATATCTCACAGCGTGAGTGTAATGCATTATTTTTGGATAAAAATGTGGAAGAAAAATGTAACCGTCGATGCTAAGAGATAGGGCTGTGAAGTAATTCCTAGTATTCTCCGGGAGTCTAACTTACAACCAGGGTTGAGAAGCTTGTTGCGTACTGCTTGCAATTACAATTATATTGTATAAAATAGCTTTAAAATTTGTTAAATGATTTTTGAATTATACAAAAAAATCTCGTAAATAAAAAGCGCGTAATAGGAATGTTGTCGGTTCATAGAACCAGTTAAAAATACGAGATATTTTTTTACCTTTTTTTCCACATAGAATTTTAAGGCCTGGGATGCAAGCTGCGTGGACCAAAGATCCGTTCGCCACCAACCGAATCTCTAACAAGTCTTCTGCGAACGCCATTATGTAGGGAAACGCACACACTGAAATAATAAATTGCACGTAAATCGTTTATAGATCTTGTAGAGTATGAGTCGCAGGCGAATTCTTTCTTAGGAGATCGGCATTCGCCATTTCCTATATAGCGCATTTATCGAATAAAATTAATGGAGGAAATAGACCTGAACCTATAATACTTTTAATAGACTTTTTTATAATATGTATTATCGAAATACTCAACGGTATTTGGTTACATTTTAGATTTCAAGTTTACGTGTAGAGTTTAGTTTTAGTGATCAGTAAAATGTGGCCTAAATTTGTATGAATGCTTTAAAATATAAGTAAATATGACATTACACATTTCACACACTCTTTAAACATAGAAATTACAACATTTAAATTTTTTTGTGTAGAAATGGAGAACACATAAAAGCAAGGAACTTAAACAATATACAATTAAAAGTATACCTAAATAAAAACTAAAACCGTAGTAGTTAATACAAGAATACTTATTGTAGAAGTAGGAAATATATCAATATTGTCATTCATGTTAGTAATATAGTTGTAAGAACGAGACAGCCATACACAGGAGTATTAAAAGTAGCGGATAAGTGCGGGATAGGTACGTCTTCTAGTAACTCCAGTGCCTCTAGGGAGGAGTGATGGTAGGAGGCTTTTCCTAGGGGTCGATCGCCTACCCGTTGGTTTAATCAGATAAAGACAATTATGGGTCTCACATCCCTAATGCACTGAGACAAGCACGACCTTCAGTAATGAAGTTTGCTAAGAAGAAGAAGAGTACCTCTTGGATTGAATCAATGTAAAATAAATTTTATAAAGTTAAGTTCTTTACGCAAATTAACAAAGTCAATGAAATCACGTCGGAGATTTTTCTAACTGAAAATTGTCTAAACGAACCTCGTACGTTTACAATGTGTTGATTGCAAAGTTAGACAACGTTTTTCCACTATCTCAATGCTATATGAGTGAATTGAACAGATTACAGATATTCAAAAAAAATTGCCTAGGCGTAGGTTGTGAAATACCTACTGAATTTATACCTAATGAATGTATTTTTATTTCGTAATGTAAATGTAAAATTAATATGCATATTTTTTGCAACAATTGACAATGTTTATCACATAAATATTTTCTTAATGTATTTTACTTTAATGTTTAATAATTTCAAAGGTAATAAATAAAGAAAACGTACCAACAGCTGTGGGAACAGTGGTCCAATGGAAGTCGTATTCGCTGTCGCTCTCCAAGCCTTTTGTAGTCAAGCGCTCGAAGTGACATGTGTCTGAACAAATAAAGTAATTTTAAGTACTCTTTCACTTCTTAAAAATTACTGTTACAAATTACTTATAATAGGTATATGGTATGCCTTAGTGTGAAAACATTCCATTGTATTTGTTAGCAAGGTTATCTATACTAATATTATAAAGAGGTACCTACTTGTAAGGAGTAATCTCTTGATTTACTGAACCGATTTTGAAAATTATTTTGCCAATAGAAAGCCACGTTATTTGTGATGGGCTATACCCGATAAAAGAAAAGAGGAAGTTAGTCGGTGAAAAAACGGTCTTACGAAAATAGATTAAATATAGAGAGATATATATTGAGTTATAGTTTCCATATACATAAATGGTAACCATAGGTTTTTTTTTTTCTGCGGTTATTTGCAATCAGCCCCAAGGCTATGAGCGAATTTTTTCTGTGGTGCTGTCATGTGGACTGACTTCCCATTGGAAGCATCTACTCATCTTCTGTCTAGAGCTAATGCCGGTCTTCTAGCTCTAGAATATGGTGACGTTTTAGTCGACTCACATACTGTCTGATGGTGAGTTGGCGAGCAAGTTCATTCGGGTGACAGCTTAACCGCTCTTTGTATTTAGCTGCCAGTCTCCGGATTTCCTCTTTGATAGTTCTCATTTTAAGGTGTTCGTGAACTTCGTTGTTGGTTATGTACCATGGTACTTTTGCAACTGCTCTTAGGATCTTGTTCTGTTGTCGCTGGAGTATATTTATGTTGGTATCACTTGCGCTGCCCCACAGTTGGAGGCCATATGTCGAAATGGGCTTTAGGATGACTTTATATATAAGAAGTTTGTTATCTAGAGAAAGTCTTGAGTTTCTTCCTAATCCAGTAAAGGCTGTTGTACTTTAGCTGTAGCTCCTGCTTTTTACATTTGATGGGTGCCTCCACGTTAATCCACGATCAATTGTAACAAATATCTTACATGATCGCTGTGGGGCAGAATACATTGGTCCAACTTTACAGGTGGGCAGTCTCCTCTTCTAAGGTTGAAGGTCACGTGTACTGACTTCGCGGCACTAGCTTTTATTTTCAATTTTTGCAGCCATTCGTTAACTTTTGCTTGCTAATATAGCGGTGTCGTCTGCAAATGTTGCTGTGGTTATTCCTGGCAATAGCGGTAGTCACAGTGTACAACGTATAGACATGGGACCGAGAACAATCCTTGTGGTACCCCGACATCAATGTTTTGAAATTCCAAGTGGCGTCACCTTCTTTTATATAAAATATGCGATCCTCTAGGTAAGATTTGAATATTGGAAAGTAAGAGTGGGAAATATTCTGCTTGATCTTACATAGTAGGCCTTTGTGCCAGACCTTGTCAAATGCTTGTTATCCAGAAACGCTGATGAGCAGTATTCCCTTTGTTCTAAGGACTTTCTTATGGCGTCACATACTCTGTGAGCTTGTTCCATTGTGCCATGGTATTGTCTGAAGCCGAATTGATGATCTGGTATTACTTTGCGCTCCACAAGGCTTGGCACAATTCTACGAAGTATTGTCTTTTCCAATACCTTCGAAAGAGTAGGCAGCAGACTGATTGGTCGGTAGGATGTTTTTCGGTCATCAGTTTGCCAGCCTTATAAATCATATGATTTCTGAAACTTTCCACGCAACTGGGAAGTAGCCTATTCTAAAGCATTGAAGAGTATAGTAAACATAGCCTTTCTTGGTACTCATCTTCTTTTGTTATCAGGTCGTAACCTGTCCTTTTTACTGTCAGGCATTTATAGTTTTATGACTTCTGCAGGCGACACAGGTCTTGGGGGAGATCCATTTGAAGGTCTTGACTCAGAACTTGGTCAACATATTCTTCTGATGAGTTGTCCAGTGTTATATTAGGTTTAAAGGAGCTTGTTAGGTAGTTCGCAAACAAGTCCGCTTTGTCCTGACTCGTTCTGGCCCAGCCGTTTTCCTTTTTAATTTGGGCTTTTGATTTGTTAGGTTGGCTACAAGAACGGGTGATTTTCCAGAGCGAATAGTTGCTGGCCTTAGTAGCGGTTAGAGACTCCAACTTTGCTTGCATTGTTAAATCATTAACATTATTTATAGCTTCCTTCAATTCTACATGGCTTTATTAAGGGCGGTCTTGTCTTTGGATGACGACTCAGTTGCCAAACTCTCCAATCTGCGTTTCTCCTGACATCATCTTATTTCCAATGGTATGTTTGTGTGCTGGTCTGTGTTCAGTAGTAGGCTGCTCTCCCCAGCTGATGAGATTAGTAAACTTCACTACTGCTGTTTAATTTCCTCTGCTTCTTTAATTCTGACATTTAGATTAAGGTTTTCATCTATGTGTTCCTTGCAGGACGGCCAATCAGTTTGCTGGTTATATAACTTACGGTTCTCACTTCAATTTAGGGGCTGACTTATAGACTGGAGTTACGAGACCCATCAGCCTGATTCGATCTTCATGTATTGTTTAGAGAGCCCTTTTGTTAGGAAGAAATCGAGTATGTCCGGACGATTGTGATCAGCTGGCCAGTTGGTAGGTTCTGATGGAGCAATTATGTTTAGGTGATTTGTATCGATGCTCAACATCAATTGTGGTAACCATAGGTAACATATAAAAGTAGGTAGTATCCAGCCTTGTCATAGCGTGTTTTTTCGCAAATACTGCCTGGGAATGGCCCGTGCCAGTCAGTGGACTACTACAAAATATAGATAAATATCATTTTCTACGGCACGCGTTTGGCACGCTCAATGTCTGTAGACCACAGATGTAGTTGAGGAGTGCTGTAGACGTAAAGAGACCTTAAACGCCTTCATGCCGTTCGCACGTCGGTTGTTATTGTTTTTTATGGCAATCACACGTCAGTTTCAGTTTGTGTAACATTTTTCTTTTTTTATTATGTGTGGCCTTGTTGGTGCGGCTATAAATAAATAATCCACTCATTTACAGATGATACCTTCGTTCTGTCACAGACTACACAGAAACCTATCTAAATACAGACAATTTTGTACACACTTACTTGACTAGTATTTTTTTTACTAAAAAGTGTGATCTGAAATAATCTACTTACGATTATAACATAGTAATAGTTGTACATCTCTATCGTCACCAATTCTTAAGGCGTTGACGAGAGCGCCGCGACGGAGGCCGCTCTCTTCGCTACCATCAACTCGTTTCACTGTCTATAACATTAGTAGATATTATTATAATTTTTATTTACTTCAGCGTGCCACTCTCATCCCTAAGGTCGTAGGTGTGATCCCCGGCTGTGCACCCATGGACTGCAATTAATTTTACCTACATATTTATTAATACGACTTTTTATATAAAAAATTTGATGTTATTAAAAGTGAACTGCACGTCTGGATCCCTTTTAGAATATATTGAATTATAATTTAAGTATGTAGTATATTAGCAACGGAAGTTGACAAGAAACACTCGCCGTTTGCAACACGGAACTCCTGATTTCGACGTGAATAATTATTGTTTCGTCTTGGAAACTCTGATAAAAGTTGTAAAGTCTGTCTTAAAGTAGTTAACATTACGTTTGCCCAAAGAAATATTTTATTTATTTTGTTGAGAAATGCTTGATACAATCAAATATTCATTATCTGTATAAACTAAAGTATGCTAGCTTTCTGGCAGGTAGTTATCAGCAAACATTCGTGAAAAAAATCATAAAATAGTGAACAAAAAAAACTTAATGAGCAATGATTTTAACTGGTGAGGGTAGCAACTAAAGATGTACAGACCTAAATTATCAATTAGTAATCAAGTAGAAATTAGTTTAAAGAAAATACCTGGCCTGTACTAGTCTCCAGCACCTCCCAATGATGTTTGTAACCCACAACTGTGACGGGAAGTTCCCCGTCCATTAACTTTAATAATACTGGAGTTTCACTCAGTTGAATATCCTGTTAAAGAAATCGACATTAGAATTTACACGCTTTTGTTAACTTTGCACATATACTAACCAGGAAATTAGGCACGCCACAACATAACTATTTTGTATCAAATTAAATTTAGTCTAAAAAAATATGTATTTATTAAAAAAATGCTTTCTAAATTGCATTATCATGGGACAACACAAAAACTCATAGTACCTATATGTTTTCATGGTAGAATTTTTGGTCTATATATATTTGATAGATGTAATAACCGAATTCATTGCATGAAAAATATCATTTCTAAATAAAGTGCTTCCTTAAAAGGATTAAAAAAATATCCATAGCACCAAATAACCACATACACACACTCGCGTATATTCCCTGAGATATGGAGTATATCACACAACACACCCGAATTAGGTATACTTCTTCTCCGTATTCTTCATTACTGAAGGTTGAAAAGCCCTTTCCGATACGGCGAATTGCTGCCTCCACACCACTCTATCCTCAACTTGTCTTGGATAAGATGTTGAGACCCATAATTGTCTTAATAGGGTCAGACCAATGGATAGGCGATCGTCCTCGACTACTCCTACCATCACTCCTCCCTACCATTTCTAGTTTGTCAAGACACATCTTGATAAAATCTTTTTTCGGTCCGCTGCACGAATTGACCAGGATTCGGATCCGTACAAAAATATGGAAATACCATAGTTCTAACGGGCCTGCTACTAGTATTAATCATTCCGTCTATTCTCGGACAAGCAAAAACTGGGGGGGCCGCCGCACCCCCCCCCCGGAACACAAATAAAGAGTCTTTCCCCCAACTTAATTTTGTTCCCTTTGGGTAGGACTGGGCGTGGGGTTCAAGTGCACAGGCGTTTAATTAGTTGGCAGACACCCAGCGGCACTTTCCTGGCTCAAAGAAAGCGCCCAAGGCTCCAAATTGTGTTTCATTTTTTTTTTTTATTTTTTTATTTTACTTTATAGGTTAAGAAATTGTAAATATGTATTTTTAAATAAAAATAAATGTTTGTATTTAATATAATTACTTTACATCTTCGGCTATATTATTAGTATAATTGTTTTTTGTTCTATATAATTTAAGTTATATATAAACTAAGAAATCATCGCATTGAACTCTTACCTTGACATGAGTATATTCAAAGCCCATCTCATGTTCAGTCTTAGGCTCTTCAACTAAAAGTAGAATTCTTCTTCCTATTGCTACCGCTAATAAAGTTTTCCCATTTTCACCTAAACATTCGAGATCCCAAAATTACACAAGGTCGAAATAAAAGATACGTTAAAAACGTACTAATAGTTAATTTGTATTTTTTATTAATTTCTGAATACAACTGGTAAAGTCAGGAAAATATTAATGTACTTAGTATTTAATTTAGTTAAGATTAAGAGTGAATTTGATTTCTTAAAAATCTATTAAACTAGAATATGCTGTTTAATCAATAATAATATCACATATTTAAGAACATAAGACGAAAAATATATACATACATGTATTTATTTATTGAAACAAACTAGAAAAAATTACCTTGTTCTAATACATCAAAGAAATGTGCAGTCTTGGTACGAGGAAGTCTTGCGTGTTTGCAATCTTGCAATGGTCGCATGGCCCAAGCTCCAGCACATAGTTCATGTATTGGTAAGGCATATAACCCCGCACCCCCAGCACCGCCTGTAGTGGAACCCCCGCCTGAGGTAACTCTGGCTCCGACTCGGAATAGGCCAGCGCGTTCTGTTATCCGTGCGGATCGGACACACCCTTCCCAACGTAGTACCACTCTCGTGGTACCACTTTCTATATATAACATTATAAAGCTATTTATTTTCATTTAAAAAAATCTACAGAAATAATATATTATATATATTATTACTTTATATTGTATGTATTTTAGAATATAACATCATCTTTTTCTCCGAAGAACATGAACAAAAACTCGTAACTTTCAGAGTTGGTAATATAAAATGGTGCCTGCGAACGTTATGAGATGCATGAGAATGCGCCATCACATAAAATGTAGAAAAAGCGATAAAATATTGATTAACACCTGTCTAGACTATACCTTTATTGACGGTATAATTTATTTACTGAAACATTAAAAATACTTTATAAACATAGTATCTAGCTGCGATACTTGTTAAAGTGGTCTTTTCATTAAAAACACATTTTATAGACACATAAATATGTTATTTTTACTAAGTATTTTACTTAGTAAAAAATTATACTTAGGAATTATATTGTCAAATATTATTTAAATATAAAAATAATTGAGTGTAACAAGTGACCTTATTACAAATTCAATACTTTTTAATGAATTGAGACTGAGTTGATTAATATTTTTTTAAGAATATCTGATGGAGAAAAATGGTCCGCGGCGAGCCAAGTTCGAGAAAATGATCTCTAGAAGTATTATTCATTCTTACCTTCTAAAATATAAGTATTTGATGTAGTAGAGAGCAGTACTCGGCTTTCATCAAGTTGCTCAGCGCAGACAGGGGTCGCGGGAAGGGGAGCCGCGCGCCATAACCTTCCCTCCCAGGGTGCTCTTCGGGAACCCCCAGAACCTGAAACATTTACATAAAAGACAGACTAATATCAGTGTTTCAAAGAAGAATTAATACATAAAAATTCAAAACTAGACAAAACCTTAAAAACGTGTTTGTTGTTAATTTTCAACATTGCACGAGATTTTACAGCGTTTACTCAAATTTAGAGCTACCAAAATATACATGTCATATGACCATGCGATTCGATAAAGGAAAACATCGCGACGAAGCCTTAAGTCGGCAACGTGGGTCAGGTACAAAAGGCTGCTCACTAACTTGCCTATTAGAAATAACAAATTATAACGAAACAGATACAGAAATCTGAGGCCCAGACCTAATAGGTTGTAGCGCTAGTAGTTTTATTTAGTTTCCTGTCACTTAATTGTAGAAACAATTTTCAGATCACCTATAGGTACCCGCCGTGTGAGAGGATTTTCTTTTCGCCAGGTTCTCATAACCCACCAGAGACGTGGAATGAATTACAAATTTAATTCTTTTTAGGTCCATTAACGAAGCCATTGCCCTTTACGATTTCTATTACCTATAAAAATATTTCTACATACTAAGTCTTTTGCTGGTACGTCCTTAAACTTACCGGTAGATACAAGGCTGGTAGGTGCATCGCCTCTTAACACAGCATCCAGTTTAAGTGCCTGCCCAACGTGAAGAAATCGCTCGGTACGTGCTGCGCCCGCGCCGCCAGCCCCTGCCCCGCCTGACCACACGTCTGATAAGGCCCGCCGAGATAACATTGGCTGAAAACGTATTTTCATTCAAGAAGTCATAAATTATTTCAGTTTTAGGGTGGATAACATTAATAGTCCTATGTATGCTAGACGTAAAAGCAATCTTTTAGGTCTTACATACATAGGCGCCGCCATTGCGACATTGTTTCTCTTTCTTTTTGGTTAATAATTATTGTGTTATTATTTTTCTTTAACTACTTAAACTTTTATTTGTACTTCAACGTAGACATTATTATACCTAAATTATTTGTGCAATGGGCGGCGTTATCTATAACGAAATCTCCTCGTACAAGCATAACTATCGATGTTTAATTTTTTTTCTGAACTTAAACATACTTACCACTTTGTGGTCGGAACAATGTTCTGCATAAATATCTCTTATTAATGTGTCCAATGTTCTTTGCCTCTTTAGAGCGAACGTTGGCGTTTGAAATGCAGCCTTCTCTCCATTCATTAGTTTTACCTAAACCAAAATGTTTGTGATATAACGAGCATACATATTATAGTTTTTATTGCACCCTATGTTGTATTAAACCAGTATAATGAGGATACTTCAATAATTGACACATATTTATGGTAGGGAGCCACATCTAAATGGGGATTTACTCGACGTCGTAGAGACCTATTGGGATGCAAAGCTTAGATAATAAGAAGAAAAAATGTTATGATATATACCTTTTCATCGGTGGGGAAGCCTATAGATTTTAAATTTAAAAAAACTTCAACTCCTCACGTATTTGATAGCATCATCCCTACTATTTTTAATAATTACGTATGTTAATCTATCGTTTGCTGATGCGGGTGGTTTATTTAAGGGTTGAAAATGAAAAAAATAAAAATTATCGACCTCTTTTCTAAGGGAGTGTTAATCCCAAAAAAGCACTCATTCACTAATCTGACGATTTCGATGGGACGCAAACCCACATTTTCATAATTTGCAAAAAAATCGCAATTTTGAAATACTCAAGCGCGTCAGATTAAGATATATGTGGTTCATCTTTATGTTCTAAACGTACTGTCTCATAATCTGACGATTATCTAGAGGATTCGCCTATCTACAAAAAAATTTAGAAAAACGGTTCACCTAAAGCCATCCCTATTCCCGCTAATTCCATTCCTGGGCGCTTAATATTGATATTTTGAGCTCACTAGTTCAAAGAAATAATATTTCTATGCATTTGAGCTCTCCCAGCTCGAAAGTCTGATAGAAGTTTCATAGAACATTATTTTTGGAATTTTCAAATCTAACTTTTGATGGATCACAATTTTCACCGTTCGGTTCACCATTTTATCATCCTCATATGTAATTTTAATTGATCGAACCACAAATTTCGGAGTAATCCCAAATAACACTTTTCGGGTTTCTTTCGTTCATATCTTAACATCACCCTTTTGACCACTTGGTGGCGATCGACTGGTTTTTCAAGCTCAAAGGCGATTAGTTTTTGAAGTTGATCGATAAAGAAACCACTTTAAAAAAATATTTCTTATTTTTTAAGATTTTTCAAAATTTCTCAAAATCTTCGGTCTCGTTCAATTACAGGAAATGTATTTTGAGGAAATATTTAGAACGCCTTTAGTAGATTCCGATCGGTTTAAGGAAATGTAGGCATCACGCACTCACGCATTTAACTTAATCGACAATTTTTGTTATTTCGGCTTGCGAAATCGTCAGATTATATATTTTTCATTATTCTTGAATTATTTCCTTCAAAATAAAAAAAAATTAGTCGAGAATGCGAGATGACGTTTTTTTACAACTTTGTTGCCCCCCCTTTTTTACGACACTTTCAAATTGTCAGATTAGTGGAATATACACTTTTTAGGATGTAATCAACTCCCCTACCTTATCTGACCCTGGAATTTCTGATGGTCAATTTTTTTTTACTAATCTGATCCTGTCTCCTTCACGGGCGGCCTTATATATGGGCCTCATATTTTGGGGAGGTACTTAACCGGGTACAAGGTATCCCCTATTTTATTAATCTGCCGCGCTTTAGTAAATCCCCGAAACCCCCTCTGGGTCCCTACCATTAATTTAATAATACTAATTATGTGTGAATGTATTTTTATGATATTTATGGGTCAATTTTTTATATTCTGGGACTGATTTTTTTAGTTTTATACATAGAGAATAAGGCTTCTGTCTTTACAATGAAATACAATTATTTCATATAGTTTCTCCAGAAGCGGAGACGTAGTTCAGAGCTAAAAGTTTTACAACATTATCTAATCCAACTGTGTAAACAAACACATTTCAGCGCCCGTTTTATTGATATGTGTTTGTAGGAGAGCTTTCTGTGAATTCCAACCCGTTAATGATGAAAATCGAGTTGCGTTTTCGACTTAACTCCAAAGGCGCTATGAAATTATATAACAATCAAAAACTACAATTTTAAACCACTATTAGAGTTCTATAAAATATATAATTAATATGAAATCTTTAAAACATAAGGTTAGGTACATTACTTTACATTATCTGTATTACTTAGATAAGTTTTCGTTCTATAAAAATATGTAAAGCGGTATTGAAACGGAAATAAATAGTGATATAAATATGCCAAGATTACCAAAAGGAATTCCCTAAAGAGCTGAGGGTCGCTGAATATCGGTGGGCAGGGGAGTGAGGGGCCGAACGGGGGTACCGTGTCATCTGTGTACACGCTCAGCCTGTACCCTTCACCCTCCACCTCAGATACTACGGCAAATATATCTGATTGTCTTGTAAGAAAATTAACCTCATTTTGTGTAATGTGTTGATTAAGTTAATTTGATATAAGCTATAAATTTTGTTACATTGTCAGTCTTATATTATCTATAAGAATGTTTTCCCTGTATATTTATTATTAAGATTCCATACACTGAATTAACTTTAATGGCTGTTTACTAACTACTAATGTACGATTGGGAATAACAAGGTAAGTTTGCTATTGAGGAAATAGCGTCGATTTTGTCAGTGATTTAATACCCAAACTAAAACAGATTTTTGTGAAACTGTATTGATATTGATACTACTTACCGTAAAGTAACGCCCGGTTTTACAATTCCAAATAGAATTGACACAATAAAAGCTATTTTATAGTTTGCCTTTATTACTCCCAAATCCCTTGCTAATAAATTAATGTAACAAATTCATTAACTTATTGTGGGTGGCGAACAAGTCCGGTGGAACTGTGGTAGTTCTACAGAAGAGAGCAGCCTTGCGATTCTGTAACTCACTTTTCGGACTCGCACAGCGGTTTTCGCAGCGGCGGTCGCGCTCAAATCAGTCGTGAAGCAGTCATTTTACGATTTGGCATTCTGATTAACAATAAACTACAAGCTCCCTCCTTATCAGACAGAATGCCAAATCGTAAAATGACTGCTTCACGACTGATTTGAGCGCGACCGCCGCTGCGAAAACCGCTGTGCGAAAAGTGAGTTACAGAATCGCAAGGCAGCTCAAATTCTCCATAATTAGATAAGTATAAATAACTATTCAAAATTGTGTATAATAGATAAAACAAACAAAGACTAAACAAGTATCTTAACTCTTTATAAAGGATACGTGTAAAATGGCTCTTCACACATTGGGGGTTGAAAGTGTTGTGTGCTGTGTCGTCAGTGAACACTATGTTGACAATATCGTTCCCAATATGCCGCTTCCTCTCCAACTATGAACAATACCAATTACATACAAACATTGTTCAAAGTTCAAACATTTGCTCTTGTGAAGGTCAATGGAGGTGTTGTTTGTTTCCTCTTTTCCGCTATACAAAAATAAACTTTGAAAGGAACTAACAATATTTTGTGATTTCCAATATAAAAATAACAATTCTACATTGAATCAGCAGTACACTGCAATCACACTTTCAAAGAAACAACGTAATATGCCAATTTCTTTCTATTTAATTTTCTTGTTATATAAAAGATTCCTAAAGGGGCATCTTTATATCACACGTTAATTCGTAGATAGGAAAGTTTATAATTGCCATTAAATTTTATGCCAGGTATTAACATTGGACTAAATTGTAGCGTGTAAGCCCATTGCCCAGGCGACTTCGTTCGACAGGAAACGGGAACACATATTATGAAATAAAACACACATGATAATCACAAGCCAAGCCATGGAACGTTCTAACTTTTACTATTCAGTTGATTTTTAAAATCCGGTCAATTTTATTTCTTTATAATAAATATAGTTATACAATCCACAAGTGTGTGCAACGGAGACCTTTTTGAATATATTTCATGGTACAGTTTGTTTGATTAACATCTTTTTTTGTTATTCCAACTCAGGGACACTTCTATAAATAACCGTGTGTGACCAACCGACTATATTTCGTATCCTTGTTATAACAAGACAATGTATACATTGTCTAATAGTGACAAATTATATGTCGCAGCCAACTAGCTTAATAAGCCATTCAATTAACAGCCTAGCCTTTTAACTAAACAGCGCTGTTTAAGTAGCAGTCTGAATATATTCAGCCGTAGCGTTTGTAACAACATTTAATAATCTGGCTGGCTAATGCTTACGCCATTCGTACGATCATGTGACAGAAATAAAAAGCTGAAATATCTAATACTATAAGAAATTCTTTATTTATTATATTTAAAATGCAACTTATTAGTGTTCTTACGTAGTCACGGGAATCCATTATTCCTCTGTGAAGTTGAGCATTCGCGATCGAGTTCAAGATTGTATATCGTGATATGTTACGTGGACGTATGAAGTAAAAGTAAAGACAAATGAAAACCGATTTGTAAGTACCCCGCTGTGGCTGGTCTAGTTCAAATTCATTCCTTTTTAGATTTAAAACCCGATATCCCTATCTAAGTTTGTGTATTTTATTACAATATGCAAAATATAATTCACATATTCACGCCCACGTAATATCGTATATTGTAAAACTAAACTAAATAATACGTTCCACAAATTTCGCTCTGAATATAAACCTTTGAAAATGTATACTTACTGGTAAAATAAACAAATAAACTCAATGTTATGCATTACATTGAATTATTATTTAGAAACATGTTTGCTATCTACCTGAGTAGTTGTATCTTAGTAGTTAACTACATATAATTATCGCTAGTTACATTTTAAAGTTTTATGTTTTAACTTCACATTCTACGTCAAATTTGTCGACACTGGATAAATCAGTTGGACTATAGACAGGGCTTGAAGGTTCAACCTTACAGTTGATAACTACAACACTAACCCTGCTCTATATTATGTATAATATCTGATCCAATTTAATTGGGTTCATTAAACAAATTTTAAGTAACTACTATAATATAAAGTAGATATAGGTATATTCTGTTCAGGGCTTAATATTTTTTTAAATATAAATTACCGGTCGGTTTTAATTTATTAAATATCACTAAAGTAATCTAAAGTCCCCTCAATATTACATTACTTATTAATTGATTCACGCAAATCAATCATCCAAAAAATCGTTGAAATGCTTGATAGAACCGTGAATTAATTAGTCTAATTGCGGGATTTCCATTTCACCTGATGACCAATGATCCGTTACGTTACGATCTGTCGAATTGACATGAATTTAATACTGTGTCTGGTTTATTTATTATTAATTATGTTATTACACTGTTATGGGACGAAAATGATATTAAAAGGTTGCTGCTCAAGGACTCCGATACAAAAATTTATCTACTACATAACTACAGACTAAAAGTTTATGCATGTCATTGGCACAAATTTGAACGTAGAAGAAGCTAGTAGGTACTATAGACGCTACTTGAAAGTTACAAGTTACAAAAGTACAATTGTTTAAAATTTGTAATTTTGTACAAGAACCTAGTGCAAAACCATTTTATGTAATTCACACACAAGTTATTTTAGTTTTAGCACAGATTTAAAAAGGTTACATAATCTTTTCCAAAAGCATTACTTACTGAAACCCACCAACTATACATCCATACAACTTTAAAATTAAATTAATAGCTAGAAACAAAGCTTTTAGAAGTTTTATATCGAAAATAGGTGAAAAGCGCAAACAACGGTTTGTCGACCCTGTTTTTGTTGAGCTTCCGCTTCCCTTAAAATATTTCTGAATCTGTTAATAATAACTTTGATGGTAATAAGCCGACTCATTTCCATAAACAGGAATTATCTTAAAAGGTTTCTTTATTTGAGAACCGTAATAAATGTGTTATCGGAGGTAAACAGGAAAGAAGAGGTTTTATTAGGATTTATCAAAATACAGATTTTGCTTGATTACCGAATAATTCATATAGGAGATTGAAAAAACTTTTATATACCATTAGGTTTTTAGAACTATAATATCAAGCACACTTTATTTTTGTTTATTTCTTCTAGAAGTACATTACAAATTTATTTTGATCGAATTGACGTTTCACTTTGTTATACACCTGTTTGGAGGAGGTAATCTCAAGAACGAAGACTATTTTCCAAAATTGTCTTAAAAGGTTTAGTCACTACTGGATGGATTTCAGTGCGGTTTCAGAATATTCAGAGGTTTAGGTATATAATTTTTCAAGTTTTAGGGGTCATGGTTGGCTGTGCGAACCCGTGGCCCGCTCGTAGGATATACTTTTAATAGATTTTAAATTAAGATAAAATTTTGAAACAACGAAACCGCTGTGCGATAGGCAGTGTACAGGTGTTTATATTACGACTCTGTTTTCCTACATGTATTATGCCTGTGCATACCGTAAGTGCTGCATATATTAGACTGACCTGTTGTTTATTGTCCTTAGAAAACGGCAACATTGTTGATACATGAAACATAATTTCGTGCCCTTGGTGCATCGTGTAAATGGAATGGCTGCCTGTCATGTCACCTGCGGGAATTAAAATTAGATAGATATTTCAACTAATAATGGGTTAGATATAATGTTATGAGTTGAATTTACTTGTATGTTTATATTAATATTTTACTTTAGGCTAAGCTATGGTATAATATATATGATGCTAATATAAGCTATTTGGTAGGGCAAATAGCATGAGCAGTGTTGGCCTTGTGGCTTGAGCCTCCGACCCCCATCCCTGATGTCATAGGTTCGAACTCCGTCTAAGAACTAATGGAGTTTTCTTTCTATGTGTGCGTTTCACACTTGCTCGTAAAGGAACGGTGAAGGAAAAATTCGTGAAGAAAACCAGCTTAGATTCAAAAACTCGACGGCGTGACGACGCATGGAATGGTTATCAACTACTTGCCTATTCGTAAATAATCACGAACAAAAATCTAAAGCAAAGACCAAGGGTTCTAGCGCTACTGGTCTTTTTACGGACATAGCAGGTAGCCTAGTGGTTCTTTGATTGATATCGGAACTAGGTTGGTAGGTAAAAGGCTATATGTCTATCTTAGTAGGGGCTACCGATATTATAGTATCAATCACACTAACTAGTATTATTATTGTATCAATTTCGCAGGGTTCAATCAAGGATTTGTGAAAGTGACTTCACTTCGATATGGGTCTTGCAAAACAAAACAAAAAATGCCGTATATTTATTATAGTATTTGCAAAACACTAATTTATAAGAGATCAAAACAATTTAAGAAGTAAGTTTTTATCTCTATCAAATAATACTAAATTGCTTTCAAAGAAAACAGCTTTATTTATATTTGGAAAACGTTTTCCCTTAGATAAATATTTCCAAGTGATATCAATTTACCGAACGTACAGTAAGTAAATAATCTTTGAGATCAACGAAAAATTCGTGCAATAGGTGCCTTGCGCAACATCAAACACAAATAAAACTTAAAAGAATTGACAGATTTAACTTTTAACAGCGATATTACGTATACAACTATTTTATATTATTAAATTCATGCCTTTTCACACTTTTCTATAATATATGTTCCACGAATACATATATGTAATTAAATTTTTACTACTACTGGGTACCAACACGGAACTAATATTATTATAACTAATTATATACTACTATAACACCGGGAATTGTGAATTAGAGAATTGTTAATATCCTGAAAACTAATAACAATACCATTTATAAAGATACGTATAGAAAATGATTCATTTGACACCAAAAATCGACAAATTAAGGACGATTTAAATCATCTAAAAGATTTAAATTGAGCATAAACAGCGCTGTAGCAACTTTTTAGAAGTTACGTTAACGTTTTTTACCCAATTAGCTGGGCCTAACATATTTAGTGTGTCTAAAAAATATTGCCTACCTTTGACATCCAAGCCTCCGCGAAACCGGTTCCAGCCTCTTAATCGAATCTTGTCGCCCAAAAGTGAAATAAATTTGTCCCATTTCGCGTTACCTTTTTCTGAAATAGAGCTTTTAAGTAATTTACAATAGGATTAGATATGACTGAAGCATTTGCGATCAGAATTAAGTTTCTGAATAAAATTATTCTTAGTGAAACCCACGTCTATAGGCTCTCTATAGGCGGTTTTAAACAAATAGTTTGTGTAACAAATTATATACATATACGATTTTATATTCATTTTAAATACACATTATTATTATGTATAAGACAAGTATTCTTGATTTATTAAAGACAAAGATTTAATTATTTTAATTTAAAAAAATATAATACAAATAAAACTAAAATAATAAACTGCACGAAGATTATTCTTAAACTTTGTTTCTCAATTTTCCAAAAAAAAATGCAATTAATTACCATTTTGTAAATTAGATGAGCATTCACTACAAATGACATAATTTATATAAAATTTATGATTACCATCAAAGTCACTAATTAAAACCTAATGTAACAGGTTTCTTGTCGTATGTTTTGATTACATAAAACATTTTCCCTGTTTCTGCCTACAAAGGTAAAAGAAACAATTACCATTAGACAGCATTTCATCGTCAGTCCTCTGGCCGGGGTTCATTATAACGACACCAATCTTGAAATTCACAGACCCCTCCTGTTCTTCAAGTAACAATATGTCCTTCTGTAGTTCCGGGCACGTGATCTTAACAAACAACAACAACGTGCTTTACTTAACGTCGTTAAATTATATAACGTGTCGTTTATACAATAAACTTATAGTTTCAGGTTTTACGCTAGAAAGTTTAAATAAAGGTACCCCTGCATCTTCATGCATATGACCCATACATTTTAAAATATTTTTTCAAATAGTGACCCTAATTAAAACAAGAATATAAATATTAAATCACTTGCTTTAGTAAATTCCTTTTAAAAATTTGAACATAATTGAAAACGCATTGAAGAGTATTAAAATATAACAATATTTATTATTTCTATTGATTAGTATTGTATTACTTAGAGAATTGAATGTATTAAGAGGTATATTTTAAAGTAGATGTTAAAATATATGTTAAATTTGACTTTAATTTAAAGGAAATTGAAATATATAAATGAATACTTTAATTCAAATTTGTATGTTAGTTTAGTATTTGATAATTTAACTTTAAAATAAATCAATTACTTTGAGATATATTTAACTAAATAAAATATAACCTCAGTATAAAATTAAAGTAGACAAAATTTTTATTGAGATTGTTGTAAGATTGACGTTAGCAAAAGTGAAAGTAGTTAATCACCTCTCTGGGCATTTTATCGATTTTCTCAATGGCTGTGAACTGCGATAGGATCTGTTTAAGGGTCGGCCTTGTTGGGGTTTGGCCTCCTCCACCACTCCAAGCACTCGCCGGTAAATAAATTTTGTGTGCGCCCTGTTAAAAAGTCTTTCTTAAAGTCTAGATGTAATTTAACCTTACATACTTTATGGAGATTGGACATATGTGATTTTTTTAATATATAATATCAGCTAGTAATAAAAAGACGAAACCGAATGTAACATGTGATACATATTTATTTATTTAATGAAGTTTTGTGATTTCATAGCCCCTTATTAGGTCCGTAGAGGGTGCTACGTATAGACTCGTAGTATGAAGATATACTGGTACATATGGATGTTGTAAAAAGTTGAACTTTTTATTTGTAAAAATTAGAACACTGACATAAGTACTTAGAAGGGTTCCCAAATTTAACAATGGTATCGAATACACACATTTTTTAAAGAGGCGCCACAATAAGACATAAATCCATATTTTACACTACTACTATTGTAATAAACGTAAAAATATGTTTTTATTTATGACAATTTATTACAAAGTGTTATGTTAGTACTATGTTACTAAAATGAGGAATAAAAAGTGTACTGACCATTTTATTAAAGAGAATTGCTCGTAAAAGTCCGGCCCCTTCCTGTACAACGCTTAGAAGATATGGTTCACGTGCGCCATCTACTCCAATGTAGTTTTGATGCACTGAAACAATTAATCTTTACTAGCTTCTGCCCGATAACTTTGTCAAACTGAACGTGATTAGTTCATAAAAGACGACTGGATGTTCAGAATATTCAAGTTTTAATGAGCTCATTAATATTTTGTTATTTATTAATGTCTTAGTTAGCTATATTATTCACAAAGTATTTGTGATTTCTTTTTTGTTTCTATAATTAGATGTAAAGAACCTTTTTAACTACAAGTTGGCGGTAAACGCTTGGGAGTCTCGCAATACCTAATATGAAATAAAAATAAATTACATACAGTTTTAAGGTGTAATACCGTTGTAAATGCATTAAAATTTAACGAACAAATTATATCGCGGAAGACAATTACGTCCAAAAAAACGTGAAAAACGTTTTTATGGTAATGAGTCATTAAATTAGAATGCCACGGGTCATGGAAGGCCTAAGAAGACTGATGATCATGATCTCTAATTGTATTCCACCTATTTTTAGAAATTTATCTAATCATTCTTACTTAAATATTGTGTCAGATGAATTGTTTTTTTCTTTGCGTTCGGCATACATTCGGTATTATATTTGTTTTAACATTTCTTAAATACAATTTTTATACGCATAAGTATAAGGATTATATTGCATACCTACGTATTTTAATAAGAATAGCCTTTAAGTTGCTCTGAATCTGGTATATATGATGGATTACACAATTTCGACAATACCACACAACCAGCCAATTAAATGGCATATAAAAGTAATACTAAATTAAAATAATAAAAAGCCAATTTCATGTCAAAGAGTTCTTGTACCGAAGAGAAATTATTAACTGATTATTGTGTCCTAATTGCCATGATTTTCAGATATAAATATATCGTACACGTCTACGATTATATAATAATTAAAAATATTCTTTTGAATGAAGTCCTTTATAACCTTAATTAAAATTATCAATACAAGGGTTTATACATTCGAAATAAATATTGAAATCACTCACATCTTATCAGTACCTTAGTCTAAATGATAACTACTAAAAGAAAGTAACAACTAACAGTTAATACAATATGTTCTGAATCAACATCAACGTAATATAAACCACAATTTCGTTCCAACTGACTATATAATAACCCTTAACTTTTCTTTTGTATGTTACAGCTACTTTGTAGTTGAGTAGCATTATCACAGACCTTGACGACTCGCGCTCCTATAGCGAATTTTTAAATCTGCAATTCATAAGGCTTTAAAAGTGTCACGATAGAAATACGTAATATTTTACTTTGAATAAAGAACTTTTTATTGTCTTTGGCATCTATTCTGTGTGTATAATGTTCAGTAGATTTTTTATAGTAAATTTTGGAGGATCACATGATAAGTGATAACGCGATGGATACTCACACTGTTAGTCGTCGTGATTCCATATATATTTTATGTTTTATTGATAAAATAAATCTCAACTAAATCACTATCTCAACTTTCTTTTCATTACAGCAGAAACAAATTTTGACAAAACAAAGACTCGTTCAGAACTTTTGGTTTAAAGAACGAGGTGATTTATTGCGATCTTATCAAAACTTATACATTTTGAAATTAAATGTTTGCATATATTTTCATTCTATGTAACGTGACGTGGAGTATTTTTAGTATGTGTTTGTGTGCGAGAGTGTTAAAATATATTTTAAACGCTTTCCCTGGTGTATATTAAAATATTCCTTTATTAAATTGTCTGATTTTGTGGGGTGAGGTTTAGTTACAGGTATATTTCTTTCCCGAGAACTCCTTCAGGATGGAATAATAATGAAGTTAAAAGGTTAAGTACCTCTTAAACATAATAATCCGCTAAAAAGTCAGTAAGTCTCATGAATAATTAATGAAATTAAAATTATATTTTTAACATTTTTTTGAAAGCCTGTGCAGATGGAAGCTCATATGTTATGTTTTAAATGTAAGCATAAAATTACGTCGTCCTTTATAATAAGTACTTACTTTTTCCGAGAAAATATTTGAAGTACCACCGCGTTTGAAATTCAGGGTTCTCGAGTACCGGAGCACTTGGTGGTCCAAATAACTGTAAAATATAATCATGTATTAATTGAAATCTGTGATTCAAAGTAAAAATTATAAAAAGGAAAATAATGTTAGTATATTTATTATTGCATAAATAATTAAACCAAGTAAATAATATTTGCTAAACTATAATTTAATATTACTTTTATAAAGAACTCATATGAAGCTGTAAAAAGTTTTTATTTTTTATTAATTCTGAGATCTAACTTTAAAAAGGTTCGTCGCTTCAATCAGTTAATAAATACTTATAAATGTCTGATATTTAAGCGTAGGATCACGTAATCTTGCTTTAGAGAATCTACTATATTTTGTATTTTAACATGTCATATTTGAGAACATTATAACACTTTCAGAATCTATTTCACTTTATAGTTAGTACTGGCACTAACTAAACTGAACAAGATTTTACTCGTTTTGATGAAAACAAGCATAATATACTTAATAAATATAGTCGTATCTGTGAAAGCAATCTGTGTTTATTATGTCCAGATTGTCCCACGTTACACGACGGACTTGATTCGAAATGACAACGCTGTCTTTCATATGAGGAAAATATATTTCCTACGAATGAATGTGTTACAAAAACCTGCCACGAACAATTACTAAAGAAAGATATTGATCTTTCATATATCAGTTTTACCAATACAGAGTATAAAGAGGTTCACCAATTTGACTGGTAATGCATTGTGCATTCGCAGGACTGTTGAAATTACAATCTTTTAAGGGAAATATGGTTGTGTAAAAACCTGTCATGATCAGAGTTTAAAGCAAATAAGCGCGAGTGAAGCCGCAATCAACAGCTATTGTGTTATAAAAATTGTCCTGATAAAATTTCATTTAAATATTTTTTAATCTTAGCTTTGCTAGTCTTTGTAAAGGAAAACCTTCTGAGGTGACGCTACTAAGCTAAAAAGTCGACGGCGTGTGTCAGGAACAGAAGGCTCATCACCTAGTTGCGTATTATAATGCCAAAAACAAATGATGATAAAGACATCAGAACGCCAGTATAATTCATACATAACGTAATTTACCTCATCCTTTTCGCCAAGTGAATTCCCATTTTCTAGTCGATATCGGCGGATGATCGTGTCGACCGCCCCACTGATCTCTCCAGCTGTTGCAGATAACTGTAATAAATACGTTAAGCATGAGTTTTGAAATCAGCTATTATAAAGAACAAAGTTAAAAAATCAATTATATCTGTATAAGAAAAGAAATCTTAAAAAGGATATCTATACCGTATTAATTTTAGAATGCACCCAAACACATATCCACACTGGCTCTAGATTGGAACCCAAAAGAAAAGAGTTAACGTAACCCAAAAATTCCTGGAAATTCTCAGTGGTTTCCTCACTATGGTGGTTTAGGGCAATATAATCACATTTTTTTTCTTGCTCTAGCGTTAGAAATAATCGTATCTCATTCTCTATCTGCGTGGTAACGAAGAAAACAAAAAATGTATTACGTGTTCGCGTATCACTTTAATTAATAACTATATTTTTGAACAGTAATTATTTACATTATTAACCTAGTTCGTGCTGGATGTAATTTGCTAAAATTATTTCCTTGGGAAAGTTGCAACTACTACAAATTACTTTCAACTAGATATGCGATTATAGCAATCTACCTCATTAACTATACACGTACTAAACTCTTTAGCCTATTTGACAGATACGAGTATGGTCAGGTGTCGTATATTTACATAGATTTAAATACCAGGGTACAAAAAAGGGAGTTTCCCTCTTGTAACGTTTGTAACATATACGCATTTAAATTTATAATTACTAAAGCCGAATATAAATTCAGTAATTGTTTACACTTAAAAAAACAGTACTTTATGCTTAAGCTGAAAAAAATACGCGGTTGACTATTATTATTATAAAGGTTTGAGTTTTAGAATATGTGAGTTGGAATTGATACAATATTTCCTAAACGGATACCATACGAGTAAAATCCCTTTAAATTTATACTTAAATCTCGAACGGATTTGTTTTATTATTGATTGCTTTACCTTGTTTTGTTTGTAAAATTTTTATTGTATATGTCATGAAAAATCCTAAAAAAATAAGGATGGCCGAAGTGCCTCGGCCATAAGGCCATGACGCTAATATAATATGTAAAAAATAACACATAGATTAACAATCGTAAAATCACAAATAGCTGGGTAGTCCCTTTTTTCACATTCATTTCTAATAACAGACGTTCTTAGAAGAAGAAGAACATATGTATAATAATGTTATGAAATTTATTACAATAAAACATAACATGGCGCCAAAACCCAGCATGTCACCGCGCATGCGTATCTGTGGCTATGATGATGACGATTCGAATTTGGAATACGCAGTACAAATGGCTTACTTCATATAATATGCTCGAATAAGTTCTACTAAAGACAAGCCAAGACTATTTGTCAGTAAAAAATAAAAAAGTTATAACAAAATTAAAAAAATATATATAAATATAGGTATAGCTTTCATAGTCACTAAACTGAAATATTTTTTAAATATTTTTCTAATTCGACATATATATTATTAGTGGACCCCACAGACGTTGTCCTCCGTTTTTTTTTAAGGGGGTTGGTTTTTAGCAAAGTTTGTAAGTCCCGCCGGCCGGGCCCTTTGCGGGGGTGTTTTTTTTTTCCCCCCCCCCCCCCCCCCCCCCCCCCCCCCCCTTTTTTTTTTTTTTGTTTATATACAATCTAGCAAAAATCAAAAGGAATCTGACGTGAAAAGATATAAAAGTAAGCTTTTTAAATGCAAACTCTATTACTGTAAGGTTATAGTAATACGAGAGTTCTGAGGTGTTGATTTTGACACAAATTTATGGATGTTTGAACTTATGCCCGATAAAATCGAATTTCACCCGAGATCTCATTTCCGTCCCGTAGCTCAATTTACCTACACAAATTGAAAAACATCTTTCACAAGGGCCTTGAATGTGGCTTCAGTGGTTTTTCATTAAACACATGTATATTATCCTTTCTTAAATACCACACATGGGTTCCGTTAATGGAGGAGAGCACATGAATATTTTGTGTCTATTTTATTGATATTATATCTTTATAAGAAAGTTAGTTTTCTATACCGATGCTTCTTTTAACAAACTGACGAGTGATGAACAGAGGCCTTTAAATAGATAAAATACAAAATATTGATCTTTTCCAGAAGACATCTTGCCTTCTTTCGAACAAAGGACATCCACTGAAGTTTTCTGAAACAAAATTTTTATTTTGCGGGAACTTATTCAAAATTTTTATCTGCAGTTGAATATGTTAGCCAATAGACCAATAAGACTATGAAGTAATATAAGTTAAGTATAGTTGAAATTGGGAAGCGAAACAGAGGAAGACCGCTCACGAGGTGGGCGGACGACATTCCTAAAACGGCTGGCTCGAGCTGGATGCAACTCACCCAAAACCGAGATACCTGGAGTTCCTTGGAGGAGGCCTTCACCTGCAGAAGGGTTCTTCAAAATATTTTGGAAATAGATATAAAAATAGAACAAAAAAAAAAGGTGCGTGTACTTATGTACCGCGTAAGAAGATATACTTCTTTGGCATTATTAAAAATAGTTTTTGATTGCATGCAAATAATAATTACAATTAAATAATCAAAGACTGGAAAAGGAGTCATTAAAGTCAATAAAGTTCAGTTTACATTTGAAAAATTAATTAAATAAATATTTATTATTATTCTCTAATTAAACAAATAAAAACATATCTTTAAAACATTTTTATTTCATTATACTATTTATTTTTAAGTGACTCTAATGTCTTCATCAGAATTTCGGTTTGTAATTTTAAATTAATCATTACTTGGTTGTGCATCTACGAGGCTTCTCCAAAACTACTTGCTTTCTGCAACAAATAAGAGAATATTAATTTAAGCTCTGTCCATGCAAAACTTAAAATTTTTATAATTCATATTATAAATTTTTAACACATTAATTAATATAATTATAAAATGTGTTATAATATAATTTGTAGCACATGCTACAGACCTGGATAGCAACTTTCTTTATTCTATTAGAGATAGAGATAATTTAAATATAATACCGGTGTCTTCCTTGTAGGTTTCTTTGGAGTTGTTTGGGGATTCTTGTTGTTCAGTTCGACATGATTTTCTTTAACCTTTCTTTAATCCTACAAAATAATGAAATTGTTAAGTTATGTTGTCACTGTTGTGCACACCTTTGTTTGGCTTTTTTAGTATTCAAGTTATGTCAAAACTGATTTATTACCTTGTCATTGTTGGCTTTATTTGCTTTTGGGATATCAATTGTTTCCAAAATGATTTTATTTGTAATAACCTGAAATATATAAATAACATCTATTAATTTAAGTATCATGGTGAGTGGTTCGCACTCAGGTATTAAGGTGTATTATACCCACTGTCCATTATAAGTGGGAATGGGCTCACTTCTGGCAGGACAGAGTTTCGGTACTACAAGTGCAACATGGATGTTTTGAGGTATTACAATATCTCTAACTACCCTGTAGGGGAATAAAGTATGATGTAAGCATATGCCTATGCTTGAAAGGTTGAACCTTGAACATCACCAAATCATATTTATAATTAACATTCCTACCTCGACACCATCACAATCAAATTCATTGAAATCTACTTCAAACCATTGTGTCTCGAGAAGGTGATGGTGGCTTTGTTCCACCTCAGTTTTGATGTTTCACGGCGATAAGATGAAACTCTTTTTGTATTCAATTTAGTGCACTTACTGATTCATCAATTGTTTTTGTCTCTTGTCCTTATATTTGCTAGATTAAATCTGATGTTTTGATTAAATAATGTGGTCATTTTTTTGAGATGCAGGTACTTATTAAAATGTTTACTTCTCTGTTATATCGCTCAAGCCTTCATTTTCTCCTATAGTATTCGTGCTTAAATCTTTGTTCTCAATATTGATATATAGGGTCGTAGAATATTTCTAAAAGTTGCTGTAACAAACGCAATAAACAAAAGCAATGAATAATGGTTCATGTTTCAGTTTTAATCAACAATAATACTCGATAATACATACGGATAGTTAACCTCAATTGTATTGAAGCACTCAGGAAGGTTAGCACAGTTTTTCACAAATATTTTATATTATTTCACAAATATTTTGTATAATGAAAATAACTAGGTATATAATTATTAATTTTAAACAATAATTAAAACTCCTATATTTGTTTAAAAGGTAAATGTCATTGTCAGATGTCAATTGTCATGGTCATTCAAAATTCTTGTTAAGCTGCTAAGCTAGAATATGCGTGAAGTTAGCTTCACGCATATTCTATTTCTTTTACTTGTAGTTTGTCTTATTCCCATCTCGCTCGCGCACGCATATATCACACTGCCAATTTTGTGTCATAGGTGTGCGCGCAATAATAAAATTTCACTCTCATCAATTTTTCATAACGCGCCAAAAAAATAGAACAAAAAAAATCAGTGTAATTTATTTTCTTAAAAATGTATATATAATAGTATTAAGTTAAATTTGTTCTTTTGCAAGAAATAAAAAGGCTTTTTTATTTTTTATTATTATATAATAGTTGAAATAAGAAGCTATGTTTCTGTGTTAAATTATAAACAGATACTCTATCTGTGACAGTGGTTATAAGTTTGAAGGACTTTATGACAGCCATAACCCGGGTGTCACCTAGCCAAACGATCTCTTGAAACGTGCCTCATAAAATTGTTCATTGCGATCATTATTAACGATTACGGTAAGGGAAAGTTTATTTTGACTTAATTAAAGAAGTGAGAGGTGTTTAATGGCTACGTGGGAGTTATGTTATTAATGTTCTGTTAATGAAATGAATATCCTTAACATAACGAAATATTGCTTTAACTGAATTAAAGAATACCAAATAGTAGCAAAGGAGCAGTGTTGGCCTAGTGGCTTCAGCGTGCGACTCTCATCCCTGAGGTCGTAGGTTCGATCCCCGGCTGTGCACCAATTGTCTTTCTTTCTATGTGCGCATTTAACATTCGCTCGAACGGTGAAGGAAAACATCGTGAGGTAACCGACATGTCTTAGACCCAAAAAGTCGACGGCGTGTGTCAGGCACTGGAGGCTTACTTGCGAATTAAATTGAAAAATGATCATGAAACAGATTCAGAAATCTGAGGCCCAGACCTAAAGAGGTTGTAGCGCCACTGATTATTATTATTATTAAACAGTAGCAAAACATGATGTATTTTCACACACCTATATGTTTCAAAACAATTAATTACCACGATTCAGTTTAAAATTATGTGGTTATAAGAGTTAATAACCTCATTTTATTAAATTAGCACGCAAATGATGTGGCGACCTATGAAAGGCATGATTGATTGTCAACACAATATCACAAACGATCCGTGAGGATACGAGATAACGACTAGGGCATGCATGAACTGTATGCGAAATAAAGTTTAAACGGTAGAAATACAGTACAGTATCCCTAATGACATGGAAACCACAGTGTTAAAAAATATTAAAAACATCGTCTATATAAACCTCAACGCACGGTTTTTATATTTTTCATAAGTCAGTGCGCATAAATGAAACAGCCTATGTTTTTCTTAATTCTATGTGACTCTTTAAATCATGCATAACGCTAAAGATTTAATATCGTTAGAACAAATATTATGTTAAAATATAAAGTTCGGATTACTTTTATTTCATAAAATTAAGAGGGAAGAAAACCATCCTTTAGACTTTTCCTTATTTTTTACATTTGGTCGTAACGTCGAAGACTGTCTAAAAAATCCATCTAATACAACTTGCTTTTTAATGTGTATCATACAAATTTTTACGTATACTTTTTACGTTTCGTTCTAATAATTGATATTCATTTTAAATAAGACAAAACAAACAAACAGTGGTTCAGTTTAAAGATAGTTTGAAGTTTCTATCCGAAAACGTAAATGATATGTTAATTTTTGGGGCTTCTTCGGTGAAAGTAGTGTTTCGCCAAAATGGTAAGAACGTCTTAAAGCAGCATATTAAAGCATAGATTAAGCGTGCGATTATCTACACTGAGGTCGTGCATTTGACCCTACATTACTAACGGATTCCTCTATCTATATAAATAATTATACACAGGTACGATGACAGAAAATATCTTGTTACCGCCATGAATTAGACCCAAAAAATCAAGGACGTTTGTCAGGCGCAGATACTACTAATACCAACTCACCTCCTTAAAGAAAGAACGATCACGTAGACGAAAAATCTGCCTATCTAATATTTCTAACTAGAGGTTTATGCTTCAAAAACAATATTTAAAAGATTCATCAACTCATACAACAGAGTTAGAATCGTAATGTTGGTGATGTGGCATTGTCCCGACTGCGTACATGCCTAGTAATGCACGGTCTTTTATTGCTTGCACCACACACCTTGGTGTGCTATATACTGACAGATAGTTCCTACTCTAATGACTCAATAAATTATATTTTAAATCACACAATTTATGCATGCATTAACTACACTGTTATATATAGAAAGCATAATAGCATAACTATTAAGGAGATTATAAGGGTAACAAACAAAAGCGGGCTTTATTTCAAACAATTTTTCAAATCACAACTAATGCTTGAATATGTTCAGCCATAATCCCTACAAACCTTGATTTTTTTCTACAGTAACCACGTGTGTTTGCTCTATTCTCTACATCTAAGTCTAGTACCAATAATTACGACTGATATTTTCGATTAAAGATTGGACTTTATTAAAAATTCGGAGATTTCATAGCTGTTGAAACTAAAAAAAAGTTCGATTTACTTGCCTTCGAGAATCTTGTAAGTTTTATAATACAGGAGGTATAATTCAATACTCACTCGTACAACTAGTTTCATATGAATATTTAAGATAATTCTGATTTGTCAACAAATAAATATTACTACATGTCATACCAACGACCTCAAACATGGTTTTTCTACAAATTCTAAGTAGCCGAAAGCCGCCAGACTTACAAGTATATAGTTTCTTAAGTATCCGAGACATGTAAGAGGATTTGTTAAGTCTCCTAGAACTAAGTCGTCTGAACTCTGGTGTTAAGCTAGTCGTTACTATCAATATAATACATAGTCCTATGTTATTTCTAAGATGTAAAGTTTCCGTATATGTTTTGAGATAAGATTATTAAGCATTTTAATACTAACAATATTTTTTGTATCCCATATTTT